GGTGATCCTCTCCGCTGGCCCTCGCCTTCAGGAGCTCCAAAGCCAAGGCCGCCTCGCCTCGTCGCCGCCAACGCTCTCGGGCAGCCCCATTCAGTAGGCCCCCCAGCTCTCCTCGGGTTAGCGTATCCACCCACGGTGGCTGCGATGGGCATGCGGGGGAGGTCGAGGGCGGGCGCCTCCGAGCGCATCCTTCGTCTCGCCCTCCTGCCTCCTCGATCCCCCTCGTCAGGTTGCACAGGGGGTGGTCCTCCCTCCCCGTCGCGCCTCGTGCCAACGCCTGGGCCACTGGGCTAGCTGTCTGACCGTACTCGTCCATTCCGTCGGGTATCTGATTAACCGTCCGCACGATGATGGCAGGCGCTCCAGCAGTGGCAGCCTCAGCCCGCACCCGGTCGTCGATCACTGGCCCCAGGTTGGACGGGACAGTTGCCTGGGCCTCGAGCCCTGGGATACGATACGTAGTCCAACCATCCTCCTCAAAAGCCAACTGGCACCCGTAGCAATAGTACTTCTTCACCATCTCCGTACCCCGCGGGCCTCGCACCAATGCCGTTAGCCATGCCCCACTGGCCGACACCAAGGGTAGGAGTGGCCTCCCAGTCATCGGCGTAGGTGACTTCGACCGGTACCGCGTAGGTTGCTCGGATACCATTCCCGCCACCACAGGCGCTGGTCCCTCGGCGTCGGCGACGAAACGTGCGGCCTCCTCATTCGCCAGGTCGTGCTCCAAACACGTCAGCACCCCACGGTTCAGGACTCGACCCAAGGCGTGACAGCCGAGGTGCGCGCACTTCTTGACTCCTCTCTCGCGCTCGTAGGCGTTCGTGTGCTGCCAGCGCAAGTTGACCACCTTCTCCACCCCCTTGACGTTCGACTTCTCGCCATCCTCCGTGACCAGGCGGACCGGGGCACCTCGGGCTCGGTCCCGACACTTCTCCTTGCACAGCTGAAATATCGTGTCCCCCTCTTGGTACAGCACCTCATTGGCCATGCAGCGCTGGTGCTCCGGCTCCGACTCCGTCTCCGAGTTCGGGTTCTTCAATAGGGCGGCAGGGATATCTGCTCGGCTCCGGCGGCCGCGCTGGCAACCCCTCTGGCCGCAGCGCTTGATGGATCCGCAGAGCCTGGCACATCCCTTCAACCCCATAGCGGCACAACCCCGCCCACACGAAGCAGCAGCTGCCCCCACTGCCCGGCCGGCCCAGCAGGGCTTTGGCGCCGCCTCCACCAGGGCCTCCAGGTTAGTGTCCGTCTCAGCCGTCACGTACCCGTACGCCGGGGCGTGCACCGCGTAATTGCCCTCGTCCGTGCAGGGCATGTCCCTGCACAGGTGCACCACCTTGTCCTGGGACTCCTCCAGCAGGTCGCGTAGCCGCCTTGACGTAGTAGCAAGCACCTCTCGGTATGGCCATGCCACTCCTGCCTTCTTATACTTAATCCCAGTGTTCAGAGGTGGCCTCTCCAGCCTCGCGGCGGTGTCGCCTACCTTGATGATCAGGTGATGCGGCACTTTGTCGGCCCCCTTGGCGCGTAGCTGGGCGTAGAACTCGTTCTCCACAGCGATGGCGGTGGCGGGTCCCCTGAGCTCTGGCACCACTCCCTCGTCGGCGGTGGTAACTTGTGGCTTCGAAATCGGACAGCACAATCCCATCGCCCGTCCCAGGCAACGGAGTGGCGCACAGATCAATACATCCACCGCCGAGGCGATGGAATGTAGACCGTATCCCAACCCAATGACGAGCGCCACAATCAGTCCTGCAAACGTGGTCCAGCACAACAAGGGCCACCCGGTGCCGAACGCCGCGTAGCCCACAGTGTTGATCCCGCTCCCGACCAAGCCACCACCGCCCCACATCAAGTCTGCCCACTGTATCTCAGTTGGCGGCAGATCCGTGATCCAACCTCCAAGCCAGCTCACTCCAAACTTGACGGCACCAAAGCTGAACCAGCCTCGGACTTCCTCCTCTGCATCCTCTGGGCCACCAGTGCCCGCTGGACTCTCCCGCAGCGGAGGATCCCGCCGGCGGCCCGCGAACCAGCTCCACCTCTCGCTCCTGCGGCGCCGTGTGCCCTCCTCACCTTTGTCGCCTGCGGCTGGCGGTGGTGCCTCCGCGGCCGGCTGGGCAGCTGCCGACGCCATCGTGGGCTGCTGGCGCCCCTTGCCTCCTGCGGGCGGGGCGGCCGCTGGCCCGGTAGGCCCTCCTCTTCCCTTCCCAGCGGCGGGTGCCGGTCCTGGTGGGTGAGGGGGCTGGCGCTGCGGCACCTCCGTGGCCGCCGCCAGGCCGCGGCGCCGCTGGTCCTCCTCCAGCGCCCGCAGCAGCGGCGCGCATGCCCCTCCGTCGGCCGTCGCGGCCTCCGCGGGCAGCGTTCCGTCCGCGGCGCGGGCCGCAGGCGGCAGAGCCGGCGTCGCCGGCTGCGCCCGCCATCTGCGCCCAATCTCTGCGGCTGCCACGGCCCCGATGAGCATCGGCAGCAGTGCCATCATGCACTCCTCGGCCGCGCTGCCCACAACCAGCGTCTGCTGGCCCCAGGCGGGCAGCCTCAAAACTTCCTCCTCACCTCCCCATGGCTCTCGGCCCCTGTGCGGACTCTGGTCCGCGGGGCAGGCCGCGCTCCCCCGCGCGGATCGCCCCCTCAAGGGCCCGAGAAGGAACTTGAGCCCCAGAGGGGCCGCGGAGAGGGGGAAAGGGAAGAAGGCAAGAGAGACCCTTCCCCCTCACCAGGCACTACTCCCTGAAACCCTACGTTTTACGCACGCTCAAACTCTCACTTCTCCACGCCTTCCCTCCACTCGTCCCGACGTCGGGCCTGCTTCGCAGCCTGGACCTCTGGAAATCTGGACCCTCTCGCCTGGGCCAGCCCAGCATCCCGAGCTCTGCTTTTGGACCGCCCCTGGGGCTCTGCGACAAACCTCCCGCAGCGAGATCTGCTTCACGACGGCAGCAGGTGGGGGTCCGCCGGGCCCCGCCCGACGCCCCCCGCGGCGAGGCGGGGAGCTGTGCCGACTCACCGCCTGGGGAACAGGGCGTCCTGGGATCCCAGCTGGCGGTGGATCTGTATCCATCTCTACCGCCCCCGAAGACCAATCTCCCAGGGGGGCGGTGATGAACAAATCCTGAGGGGCAGCGATACGGAGGGACTTGCTCAGGGGAGGGGGGCATCGACCTCGAATCGGCGATGCATCGCCGATAGATCGGCGGTGGGCCCCCGATGGCGACTCTAGAGGCCTCCCAGATGGGGGCCGAGCAGATGGGGTTCGGAGGATCGCGCCGCGTCGCCGATGCATCGGCGATGCGGCTCCATGTGGAGGCTGACTTTCTCGCCGCCCCGGAACGTTCTCGGCGAGGCGCAGCCGCTGCAGGGCACCCCGAGGCTGAAACGCCGCCGAGGACCAGCGAAGAAGTCCGAAAACCTTGAACCTGGCGGCGGCGAGCGAAAGGGGGGAATGAAAAGGAGAAAACCTTTCAAAAAGGCGGCGGGGCTTCTCAGAAGGCCTCCGGCCTTCCGAGAAGTTCTCCGCCTCTCCGGGGAAGGCCCAGAACGCTTCTCGTAAGGCCGAGGGGCTTCCGAGCCTCCTGAGAAGGGGCCCGCCCCTTCTTGCTGCCCGCCCGGGGCTCGCCGCCGAACCTGGAACCTCGAGCCTCAAAACTTTCCGCCCCCGTCATTGCCTCTGAGATTCCCCGCCTCGCGCCCCGGGCTCCGCCGTGCTCCAGTGCGCATCCCCGACCGCTCCAGAGCGCGGCCCCCGATCGCGTTCTCGCCGCGGCGGCCCTTACCTTCGCGCTGTTGGCAGCCCTGCATATGCCCGCGCGCACCGGTGCTGCGGCCCCTACAGCTGCCAACGACGCTGCCGCGATGCTACTAGTGATGCCTGGGTGATGCCGATCTGGAAAAAATATCAGCGGCCGTTTGCTTCCGATGTTCTGCGTACGTGGGCCCGCAGCGGGCCCCAGGACCGTCAACAAAGCGGCCCGGGACGGGAAGCCAGCCCGGGGGAAGCTGTCCAGACCTCCTGGGGCCCACGCCTCGGGGAAAAAGGTGTCAGCATGCGACCTCAACACGTCCTGGGGGATGTCCTGCGCGTGCTCACGGTCGCCATGACACCGAGGCCAGCTTGGTGCGGGTCGTGGTCGACGTGGCGTCACAGCACGGCCGAATCGACCACAACCACAACCAAAGGTGCTCATGACGAGGTCTGTGGGTTTTCTTCGCCGACGGGCCCTCCCGAGTGCTCCACGCAGCTGTGGTGGTGACTCTTTGTCGTGTGTGGACCTACCTCCCCCACCCATCCATTCCCATTGTGGTGACTGTGTCTGTATCCGCCGACACGTGTCATCTGGCGGCGCGCACACGGGGGTGGGGGGAGACGGGAGGGCTTCTTAGAAGCACCCCTGCTTCTTAGAAGGCGCCAGCCTTACATCTAAAGATAAGGCCCGCGCCTTCTAAGAAGCAGGGGTGCTTCTAAGAAGCCCTCCATTCTCCCCCCACCCCCGTGTGCGCGTGGCTTCCACATCTCGGACGATATGACTTTCCAATCCGCCAATCCGCACGTTTTCTTTATCTCGGCCGTTCGGGCCCGTCGTCGGGCCCCAAGGAAGGCCATCCAGAGTGGGTTCGGGTCGAAAAAAAACACGACCCCACGGAAGGGCTCGGGACCTGCCCCTGGGGCCGCGCATGCAACAAACATTAGTTCGGCGGATGTTAGTTCGAAGACGGCGAGAAGGTCTGGTTCATGAAGGATGATTTCGACGGTTGCTGGGGCGCCTCAGGTCGTGCTGGAGTGCGGGCTGGAGGGACCTCGAGTCCAGCGAAACTTGCCTTGTCCAACGCACCCTTCTGGCAACCGGTTAGTGCAAGGCGCCCGGCCGGAGAGGGGTGGCAGGAGAGGGAGGGATTCAGAAAAGGGGAGGTGAAACAGCACTGCCAAAGGGCCGGCCCTAATTATGGGGTGACACTGCGATGCCGCGCCAGGCGCTGTGAGCAGACCGCCTCACTCCTGATCAGCATCGACCGCCACTGCCTGCTCTGGAGATGCCTGTGGAGGGCCTGCTGGTGGCACGGATGTGTCCATGGTCGCGACGTCCGACCGTGCATCTGAAGACGCAGTCGGAGGAGCGGAAGGATCGGATCGGGCCGGGCCTGGGAGCACATTGTTATTGATGCTCCTCACCCGCGTGGCAGCCCCTAACTGTTGAACCCGGCTTTAGAGGTTCGAGCTCGAGCACACCTAACCCTTACTCCCTTCAAGACCAACCTTTTCGCGGGCGCCAGGCTGAAGGACACAATGCCCAAACGAAGGTGCATCTTAGCAACGTCGGGGGAACATTAGCAATGATAGACTGTTCTAGACTCTGCAATTCTTCGGACCACGGAACTTCGCAACCATGTCGCTTATCACATGGTTGATTGCTCAGTCGCTCTGAACGACGCCGAATCACGAAGAGCCTCTGCAACACTTCTACCACCAAACTCCTGGGTGCCTTGGGATAAATGCAATTGTCAGGCGCATATATTGGCATGACAACCGCCACAACAAAATCGACCCGCGCCATCATTGCATCATCTCTTCTCAACGACAAGCCCTGGACACGCATTACACAGATGAGTGCGTACGCACACAGACATGCCATAGCAGTACTATGTATATGTACGTATATGCATGCCTGAAACTGGCACGTGAGTGTCCAGGTTCATTCAAATTATGAGCAACACGTGAGCATCGCGAGGATGCGCAAGATTTGGAGTATGAAGTCGGATCCGAGAAGGAGGAAAAATAATAATGCGAAGCAGAGGGAGGAACAACGAAGGAGGACAGTGAAGATCACCAGAAGGCTGTCGGGAAGGAGGCGCAATAGCAGGACCGCAATCGAACGCAGGATGTTTTGGTGATGCCGCACGCGACACGGACATGTTGTCCGAGGAACGACGTCCAACATCACTGAAACTTCTGGTGTGCTTGAAAGCTGTATGTTCATCTGTTGAACATGCTCTGTGATTTTGGACCGCGACGTCGCGATCTGCGTGAGGGATGCGTCTGGCTGTCGAAGACGTCCCGAACGAGTCGGCCAGAAATGCAGCGCCACAAGCTTCAACGAATTGCACCTGAGCTCTCGGAACAGTCCGCATGACCATATATATATATATATGTACACACATCTATGTGTAGGTATAGATGTATGTGTGGGTGTGCAGGCACGTGCGTGTGTGATTGCGTGTGCTCCAACATCATCCATGCCAGGAGGACTTATGGCGACGGCTGCGACGAGACCTTCGAGATTCTCAGAGGGCGCGGGCGTTCCTAGTCGCGCGTGCGATTGCTGCTCCAAGACTTTATCCGCCCTGTCGCTGCGCGCGGCGCCGCGACGCCGAAAAAGCGTGTGTGTGTGTGTGTGTGTGATTGTGTTTGAAGTGTGTGTGTGTGTGTGTGTGTTTGTGTTCACCTGCTGACCGCGCCTGAGGTCCCTCGGCGCCGCCGACTTAAAAGTGCGTGTGGTGTGTGTGTGTGTGTGAGTGCGTGTGTGTATGTGTGTGGTGTGTGTGCGTGTGCGCTGCCGACCGCGCCTGAGGTCCCTCTGCGCCGCCGACTTAAAAAAGTGCGTGTGTGAGTCTGTGAGTGAGCGACCGTTCCGATAAAGATACCTAGAGAACACGCTTATCGGGGTGACGAAGCCGAGGCCATGGGCTACTCCGCGGGCCCCGGAAACGCACGGCGCGGGGCTGCTCTTGTTGCACCGGTTCCGCAGGGATGTTGATGTTGCTCTTGTTTTAGATCGGACATGTTCCCCTACACGGGGATTTTGGATGACAAATAAAAAACCCTAAACATTTTCAAACATTGACAAACAAATAATCAAAAAGTCGTCCCCAGGCGTTTCCTTGACCATTTTTGTGTTTATAAATATATATATATATACATATCCAGTAGAGGGGCATGCCCGACTTAACTCTTGATGCACCGGTTTCCGCAATCATGGTCATGTCTGTCCCGTCGCGGCCCTAACCGCGTCGAATCCTCCGCGTCGAATCCATGTCGGCCTCGTCGGATGCGCATCAAATCCGCGTCGAATCCACGCCGAATCTGCGTCGAGTCCGCATCGAGCCGCGATGGGCCCAAGAAAAGAGACCACGTTTGGGGGCCGTGCATCAAACATACATCGTAATTGTTGCACCGTCACCGCAAGGATGTCCCATGAACACGGAAGCGGTAAAAGCTCGGCCTGTCATCAGGTGTCCCGACGGCCCCAGGGATCCGCAGAAGCCTCGACAAGCACCTTCGGAACCTCAGAGGTTGACGAAGCGTGCGCCCAAGAATTCTTTTGTAGCAAGATGGGCGGGGCAGGTGCGCCCCGCCAGCGACCGGAGCAGGAGGAGTGAGGGAGGTAGGGGAGGACATTTGAGCATTCGCATTCGCACTCTCATCAGAACATAAACCTTGCCTCCTTGGGCCAGAGCGTGGAGGTCGTAACCTCTCTATGCGTACACGTGCTGGGGAAAGCAAAGGCCAGACAGCACTAGCGTGATTCCCTGCTGGAATTGGTTCTGGGGAAGGGGCGGTGGGTGTCGTGTATGGGGAGGACAGCGCTCACTAAAAACTTAGTCTCAGTTTTCGGGCGGCGCCCAGCCTCAGGGGGCGACCGCGGGAGCTCAAGTTCTTAGTCCGTCTGTTTTTTTCAACCGATAGGAGGGACCACGCTCCTGGGGCGCGACAGCGAGGCGTTAACGAGCAGAGCGGGGTGCACAATGTGTAAACCCTTTCGCTGGCAAGCGAGTCCAAAAATCACGGAACGGTCCTCAGCGCTGCGATCTAAAAAGTCTGATCCCGCGTGTCTGCAGTAGGGCTCGCTGTCCTCAGGACCCATATCCTCCATTAGAGGCCTCCCAGATGGAGTCGGAGTGAATGGGGTCGGGGGATCTCGCCGCATCGCCGATGCATCCGCGATGCATCGGCGACGTCGCCGATGTATCGGCGACGTCGGCGTGGAGAAATTCTGGCTTCACATCGAGCCGCGTCGCCAGTGCATCCGTTGCGCGATCCTCCGACCGTAGCTGCTTCGACACCGTCGGGGAGGCCTAGAGACAATCGCTTCCCTCAGGACGTTCATCGACCGCAGAAACGGCAGGGCCGTTTTTCCATCGCTTCTGGAAACGATATCTTGATTTGAAAACGGGAGCGATACAAACAACTGTTACCCGACACGGCAACAGAAGTTGCTCCAAAACTGGAACTGGAACCGCAGTCGGGCAGAACCACGGCGACGGCACCAAAAAGAAAAATCGGTACCGGCACCGGCCACAAGAAGCGGCCCAAGGGAACCGTTATAACAAGCAACGGCCCTGTCGCTTCCTGGGCCCACTCAGCTCAGGACCCTTTCCCTCCCCTGAGATCCGACGTAGCGAAAAAACTGGAACATCGCGACAAATCGCGCCAGGAGCCCGAGACCCTACATTTCTGCGCAATTTTTGGGAACAGGATCGAGGTGTGAGGGTCCTGGGGCCCGAAACTATTCGATCACGCCCAGCTCGAACAAATTGCGACGCCAGGATCTCGGGGTCATGGCGACGCCTTGCTTGCTCCCGCGCGCTCCTCGGGCGCTGCCGAGGCGACGATCAAGAAACGCGTCTTACGCGAGATGACACAACGACCTTGCGCGGCGGCTCACGACCGCCGCCAGCGCAGCACACCACATCTGAAGCGAGCGCGTTTACGCGCGACCTTACGCGGGCAGCTTACGCGCCAATGTCGGCGCAGACGACCTCGTTTTTTTGCGTCGCTCCCATGGCGCCGGCTTGCTTGCTCGTCATCGCCGTCGTCGGCGTCGGCGTCGTCGTCGTCTTCGTCGTCGCCGCCGCGCTCCTCGGGCGCTGCCGAGGCGCGGCCGGCGCGCACCTCCAGGACAGAAGGTCCTCGCCACGCGCTGACGCCAGCCGCTGGCGCGCGGGGCCTGCGCCGCGGACGCCGCCTCCGAGCCCGAGGCCTCCGACGGGGGTGGCGAGCCTGCGAGGGCGCCAGCCATCCCTGCTGGGAGGGGCGAGGGGGTTGCCGAGGGGGTCGGGGGGTTCTCCGTGGACGCCGAAGGAGTTATACCTGGCCTAGCCTAGCTTGTGAGCGGGTGACACATGAGCCAAGCGCCTTAGGGGGATAAGACAGCTCCGCTAAGTGGGCGGAGCCCACTTAGCCTTGATCGCTATCACCCCCGAGCCACTTGGGGCATTAGCAGCCCACTATTGAGCTAGGTTCGGCAAGATATAACACACCTTGGCATCCACCAGTAACCCCCTTATCCCCTTAGCAAACACCGCGTCAATCCCAGTGATATTCTGGCGTCGCCATTTTCTCGCGCCAGGCATTTTCCAATGAGTTCGGGCCCCAGGACCCTCACAGCTCGGATGGTGCCGAAAGATGGGGTCCGAGGCCCCGGGCGTGAGTCTTCGTGATGTTGCAAGTTGTTCGAGACATCGGATCTCAGGGGTACACACAGATCTCCGACGACGTGTTTTTCAAGCTGGTCGTTTTTTCTGGATGCTGGCCTTCGAGCCGAGGCCTCCGACGAGGGTGGCGAGGCTGAGATGGCGCCAGCCATAACCGCTAAGGGTCCGCCATAACCACTTGGCCTTGGGTAGGACTGGTCGTAGCTGTCGTCGTCGTTGTTGCGAGGCGGGTGCCGCAGCAAAGAATACTTAGATACCCCCTTTTGGTGGGACCCCAGTCCTTCAATAAGGCCGCGGAACAAGTATTTGGCTACCCCCTTATTGGGAGGCTTCTAAGGACCCTTCGCACAGATCTCCGACGATATGCTTTTATTCGAGCTGAGCGTTCCTCCAGGATGTTGGCCTCGGGGGCCCGTTCCGGCCCCGGGACCATCCAACAACAGATCTGGGGGGCAAGGCTACCCCCAGGGAGGACACCTACTCGAGCAAGGATGAGCGGCAGACGCAGAAACTTTCGGAGCTCCGCGCGGACTTCTTGGATCTGTGCTGGGATCCTCTGGCGGCGCCTCCAGCGCCCCCTCCCTGGCGCGCTCCGCGCGTCGGGGAGGAAGGAATTTCAGCGCAGATGCAAATCATCCTCGCGGAAGTCCGAAAATCTATGTTCATGGAACGTGTTGTCGGGATGAAAAACCGGTCCCGGGAAGGGGACCAGACCTCCTAGGCCTACGCTGTGCAAAAGGCACGCCGTCGGAGTGCTTGGTACACCGGGCCCAGGATCAAGCAACCAAAAAACACCCTAGCCTTTGGGAGGGGATCTGATCAGGAGGGCCAAGAGCATTAGGGATAGGGGGTCTTCCTGCTGAGGTATCGAACCAAACCGCCCAAATATAGATTATCCCTAGTGCGAAGACGGGGACCTCAGCGAGGCCACGTCTTCACTGTGCTGTTAGAGTCAGGGGTTATTTCATGCTCGATGCATGTGTATATCCGACGCCACTGCCAAAATACAGCCCACGGGAAAGTCACGACTGGAGCCCAACAGACTCGATGTTTCTGCGGCGTTGATCGGTCGGGATCGATCTAGTCATGCTGGCCCTGGGCCAAACACCGGGCGACAGCGCGCGGTGTGGAAGAGATGTGCATACCGAATTTCAGACCGACGTCATGATTTGTTCATAACGTCGACCCTCATGACCCTGGACCAGTTTGCCATCCTCAGAGGTTTTTGACGGTCCCGAGGGCCAGTAGGGGCCCCCAAAGGCTGAAAATCTGGACACACCTCCCGTCATGATTCCTTCCTTGCCCGAGGGGGTCTGGGCTTGTTCCTTCCCGACCCTTTCCCCGGGACCTGTTTTTCATCCTGAGTCGTTTTCTAACGGCCCCGGGGTCTGCCGAGGGCCCCCACGAGCCTGAAAATAGCGGAAAGCCTCCGTCCTGATTTTTTTTTGACAGCGCGATCATGTCTGGGAGGGTGCGGGCGTGCCGTTGGCGCCCCGCGAGGGGCCCTCGTCGCCCGAGGGGCGCGGCAGGCCCCCGCCGCCCGCCGGGCCGCCTGCTGGGCCGCGCGGGGGCGCGGCAGCGCCTCCGCCGTCCGGCGCGCCGAGCTGGGGCGCGGCAGCTCGAGGGCCCCCTGGGTGCTGACCGGCGGCGAGCTGAAGGGGGGGAAGCGCGAGAAGGACCACACATATACTGACAGTGGAGGCCCACGCCAAGAAACACCCTGCTTGCCTCTGCGATGGAAAGCATGACGTTCGTGGACGTCCTGGGGTCTCAGGGTTGGGTTTTCGACCGACCGTCCCGGCATTCCTATAGTTCTACCCCGAAATGTCCTTCGAACCCACAATTGTTCTAAGAACGAGCTCTTAGAACAGAAGCCCGATGTGTTAAAACAAGAAAGTCTTGCCGCGCCAGAAATGTTCTACGAACATTTCGTGCAGACCAATTATTACAAAATTTTTGGTGGGCCTACAAGCCAAGACGCTTCGCCACTGCTTGAGGGAAGCGAGAAGGACCCCATCTAGGAAGCCTCTATGTCCCTCGTTTTTCGACCGTCCTGGAGCCTGGCGAGGGCCCCAACGGGCCGATGTGTGGGCCCCCGTCGCAAATGCATCGTCAATGCGCCGCCGATGCATCGGCGATGCGGCGCGATCCTCCGACCCCATCTACTCCGACCCCACCCAGGAGGCCTAGGTGAAATTAGAAGGAGAAGGCAATCTTCCCAGACCCCCCGCGTCATGAACAAATCACGACGGAGGGCTTTTGTTCCCCATTTTCAGCCTGTGGGGGCCCTCGCCGGGCTCCGGGACCGTCAAAAACATACCAATCAGGACGAGACACCGGTCCCAGGGAAGGGGTCCAGACCTCGGGGGGTCGACGTCGTGATTGTCGACGTCGTGACGGAATCAGGACGTCGGAGGTCGGGGGAGCGAGGGCCCCAGGAAGCCGAGAATAGCGAACAACCTCCCGTCGTGATGTTCTCACCGCGCGAGGAGGTCTGGGCCAGAAGGCCGCGGCACGTCCGAGCCTGCCGAGAGGGCCCGCCCCTTCTCGCTCACCCCCCCCCCCGGGCTCGCCGCCGAGCTGAGGGGTCTCCTCGTCCAGGCGGGCCGTCTGCCGAGGGGTGGTCTCCGCGCCCGGGCGGGCCGGCTCCTCGGCCGCGTCCTCCGCCAGCAGCGCGGCCGAGGACGCCGTCGGAGGGGAGCGCGACGCCAGCTCGAACACGAGGAAGCCTCTAGCCCACCACAGCATGGCCAGGGCAGCCGCCGAGACGGCCAAGATCGCGTAGGCGTGGGCGGGCAACCTGCTCCAGGGCACGCGTGCCTTCGCCTGGTCCTCGGCGATTCGGAACGCCAGCTCCCGGGAGATGCCCCGCTCTTCCCACATGGCCGCCTTGGCCAGTGCCACGAGCACCCTGACCCTGTCGCCCTCGGAATAGTCGTCTGAGTCAGACTTGTCAAAATGGTGCAGGGCGTCGGGAGATACGCCAGTAAGGGTCTCCCCCCACGCCAGTTGGACAGTCCACTGATCATCCTCATCCCGGGCGCCAAGAATAGCGGGGTAGTAGATGCCCCCATGTGTCAGGTCCACCTGACCTTCAGCCACAGCCAAGAAAGGGATGCCCAGGGGATCCTCAGAAACGTTCTTGCAATCCCACATTTCCGTATACGCAATCGCTGCATTCAGCGCGAACGCGATCGCGTCTTTGTTCTTCAGCCTTTCCTTTTGGACCGCGATGATGGGCTGGTCCGCGCCAGAGACGTCTATGTCGAACATCACCTCTGGAGCTGAAATGCCCGACCCTGGAGCTACTGAGCAATCAAGGCTCGCTCAATACAGGACGGGGCAAGCGCCAGAACGTACACAAGCACAGGCAAACAGCAGCAACTGCAGTCGCACGAGCCCGCTGTTGGGAGCGCTTCCCGGTTAGCCTCGCAGTGCGCCCCAACGACCAACCTGCCACTCCGCGGGTCCGTCCTGCCCCGCCCCTCCCAAGTGCCCCCACCCCACCCCAGGCCTCCAAGGGGGCCCGGCCGCCACATGTGGCGCCCCCGAGGTCACGCACTGCAGTCAGCCTCTGGCGGGTGCTCGCGAGGGCGCTCCAGATGCCTGATGCCTTCGGCGGCGCGGCCTCCCCCTGCTCCTTGCCTATGGCATGAGGGCCAGCCATGCGATGAAGTATTTGTTCGATGCGGGGCCCCAGAAGTCACGACCCGTCCGTCGTTCCCCAGGTCCCGAATTTTTGACCCCGAGTCGTTTTTGGCGGTCCTGGGGCCTGGCGAGGGCCCCCGGAGGCTGAAAGCTGCCAAAAATGATGGGCCAATTTCCCACCACCAATTCCATGAATAGGACGGGGGAGAAAGGAGGATGGAGAGGTCCTCCTCCTCCTCCTCCTCCTCCTCCTCCTCCTCCTCCTTCCTCTCCTCCCTGTGGCAGTTAGTCGTGGTCGAGACTCGGGCCATCATGCAAAAACAACCTCGCGCCGTGACTTCTCCACGACGCGATGCTGTTGGAGGGGGGGGGGGTCCTGGTGGCAGACGGGCTCTGGGCCCGCCGTGGCCGACCCGCAGGCCCAGCCGCCTCGCTCGTCGAGACAGCCCCCGGGCGAGGGCCCCCACGAGGCCCTGGGCAGGGCGGCTGGCTCGAGTGCACCGTGGCACCCCCTGGGGCCCCGTCTCCTCCCTGCCGGCCTCTCACCTCCAGGGGGGTACCCAAGTACTCGGGGGACCCTGATCACTTTCCTCGGCGGCCTTCTTCGCGGAATGGGGTCCCAACAATAAGAGGTCACTGATGCTTTTGTTCGCGGTACCCGCCGCACGACTACACGACGACAACGACGATGACAGCAACAAGGACGGGAGAGGAGGGAGAGGATGGAGAGGAGGGAGAGGAGGGAGGAGGGAGGAGGGAGGAGGGAGGAGGGGGAGGACGAGGAGGAGGAGGACGACGAGGAGGAGGAGGAGAAGGGGAGAGTTTTAGGACCAGTCCGATTCACCGCCGAGTGACAAGGGGTGGGTGGGGGATCAACGAACAACTATTAGACGTTACTTCGAGGTCGGACGCTCTGGAAAAATTGGAGCGGGTGGTCCTTGCCTGCCGTGGTCCTCCGGGGGCCCTCGTCGGGCCTCGGGATTGTTAGGAAGGGGCTCGGGATGAAAAGACGCTCTCGGGAAGGGGTTCAGACCTCGGGGGGCCCCGCACCGAAAACAAATGGAGTAGCTGGATGTCTGGGTGCCGCCCCCCGCTGCTTCGGGACCCCCTCCTGGGTGCCAGTGGCGGGCGTTGCCGCCTTGCCTGGCCCGAGCTGGGCCGCCGCCGTCTCCCCGCGGCGACCACGCGGCCACCGCCAGGGTCCAGGGGGCATGCCGCCTCCTCCTCTCCTCCTCCTCCTCCTCCTCCTCCTCCTCCTCCTCCTCCTCCTCCTCCTCCTCCTCCTCCTCCTCCTCCTCCTCCTCCTCCTCCTCCTCCTCCTCCTCTCCTCCTCCTCCTCCTCCCTCCCTCCTCCTCGCTCCTCTCCTCTCCCTCTTCTCCTCCTTTCTCCTCTCTCTTCTCCTCTCTCTCCTCTCTCTCCTCTTCTCCTCTTCTCCTCTTCTCCTCCTCCTCTCCTCCTCCTCCTCCCTCCTCCTCCTCCTCCCCTCCTCCCCTCCTCCCCCCCTCACCGCCCCCCCGTCGGGCCCCCACCGGAGGCCGCGGCCCAGCCCGACCTGCACCGAGCCGCCGAGGCGGTCAGCCGCAACGGTGCCCTCGCACTCCAAGCCCTCGGGCCGCGGGCGGAGGCAGGCTGCCCGCCTACTCGGCCCTCTCCCGCCTGCTCGCCCCGCCCTCCCCTCCCGGCTGGCCTCCTCTGATGGGCCTGCTTTCCACCACCACCACCACCATAAGCTGGAGGGGGGAAGGAGGCGGAGGGTGAGGAGGAGGAGGAGGTGGAGGAGGAGGAGGAGGAGGAGGAAGAAGAAAAAGAAGAGGATGACCCCCTCCCCCTCCTACTTATGGTGGTGGTGGAAAACAAGCCCACCATCCTCTGTAGTAGGTCATGGGGGCCTGGTGTGCCCTCTCCATGATGTCTCTGGCGTCGACCGGCGTCAATGGGCGTCTCGGAGTGGATGAGGCATCGCCGATGTAGCGTCGGCTAGCGTCGATTAGCGTCGAGTTAGCGTCGATTAGCGCCGATGTAGCGTCGATTTAGCGTCGATTAGCGTCGATTTAGCGTCGACTAGCGTCGATTCGCAAGAGCCGACAAGATTGTATGTGAGGCTCCCATGAGTTGCCACCAAAGGCCGCCCTTTTCGGGGCGGACCCAGGCATCCGGCGTCTCGAAAAAGACAGGACGAAAGTTTTTCATCGTGTTCGGCCGCTCGGAGCCCTTACGGGGCCCAAGCGCCGTCGGATAACGACAGGGGATGAAGAACCGGTTCTGGGGAAGTGGTCGAGAGGTCGGGGGCCCATGTCTCGAACAAATCTGCTTAGCCCAGACGTTCCCCCCGGGGCGCTTCGCCCCCAGTGGTGCGTCGCAGTGGCTGGGGCTACTGCCACGGACGACGCGGGCCAGCCTCGCCCCCTGGGCGCCCCCGGGGTGGCCCCGGGGTGGCCCCCTGAGGCCCTGAGGTCCCTTTTGAATTTTGGTCTGGGGAACGCTTGCCCTTCCTTGCCTCCGCCCCCCTGTGGCCTCAATTCCTCGGGGCCCCGGAGGCGGCAAAGCCGTTTTTTGTTCACCGTTCCCCCAAAAAAGAAGCGACCGGAAGCGGCAGAGAAAACGGCTCCAAGATTCATGGAGCGGGGCAGAAAATCGGCGACTGAACCGGCAACAAAAAAGGCAAACCGGAATCAGCAACAAAAACATCCAAACGGCCCTGTCGATTCGTGGGCCCACTAAGTAGGCCTCTACCCCCCTGGCCCACCCACTAGAGAGCAGAACGTCCACCCTCAAAAACACGCACCCCGACCAGCGAAGCCGCTTCGCAAACGCACCCGAGGCAGGCATCGAGCAGGGTAGGGCTGTTTTTAGTCAACGTCCAGGGCCGTTCTGGTAAACGCCAATGGTCGAGGTCGGCGTGGCTTTCACTGCGGAAGCCACAAGGTACCGATACCGCTACTCCCCCGACCTCTCCAGGGGCGCGCTCTGACCAGAATGTCGAGGCGCACCCAGCCGTGGCGAAGGGGGCCCCCGGGGAGGCCCCGAGGAAAACGGGGGGCGGGCAGCGGCATCGGTGCCCTCTTACTTATCCGCAAGGGCGGGATGCTATACATGTGGCGGGCTGCGGAAACCTGAGCCCCAAAATGTTGTCAGCTTGGGGGCGTACCTTTTGTGTCCGCCGCCCCTCGCCGGCCTTCCGCTGGCGGAGGTCGCCTCGTTTGACTTCCGCAGACCTCCAGCGACCCTCCCGCCGCCTCCTCCTGATGAAGAGAAGCTAACTCCCTTGACCCTCAAAGGCGAGGCCCTTGATGGAACGCCCTACGTCTAGACCCCCGAAGTGTGATTTTCCATGACGTGACCCCCAGCAGCCTGGACCCCTTCTCGGGGACTGGTTATTCATCTTGAGTTGTGTTTTGACAATCCCGAGGAGGCCCGGCGAGGGCCCTCGGAGGCAGAAAATAATGCAAAACCTCCAGTCGTGATTTCTTCGCAAACGCGTGGGGGTCTGGGCGTATGTGCTGATTCTTCCTCTCGGGTGCGCGCTGTTTCGGTCGCGCGCAGCCGTGGCAATGGCCCGCTGGGGCGCTCCAAAAGTCCAACAATGCGCCAGAAGGCCGGCCCCGCGGCCCGCACCCCCCCCCCAAGCCAGAGCGCTGCACGTCCTCCATCTCCTCGTCCCCTTCCCCCTCCTCCTCCTCCTCCTCCTCCTCCTCCTCCTCCTCCTCCTCCTCCTCCTCCTCCTCCTGCTCCTGCTCCTCCTTCTCCTCCTCCTCCTCCTCCTCCTCCTCCTCCTCCTCCTGAGGCGAGGCGCGCTGAGACAAATTACGACCTGACGCTGCAGATGGGGGTGGTCAGGATGAAAGCATGCGCGTGCAGAAAAACGCAGGACCGCGGGTGCACCTGGAAGACGCCGAAAGGCCAAATATTCACCCACACACGCACACATTGGGCAACGTCTCGGCGCGGAAGTCCCCTCCCCAGACACCCGACGTCATGTCCTTTTTCGTCCCGTCCATTCCTGCAAAGGTCTCGATCCTTCCCCCAGGACCGGGTTTTCATCGTGAGTCGTTTGTTTGACGGTCCCGGGGCCCAGCCAGGGCCCCCAGAGACCGGAAATAGCGAAAAACCTCTCGACGTGTCTTTGTTCATGACGCGAGGGGGTCTGGGAAGAAGGCATTCTCCTTCTCATGGCCTCTAGACCTTCTAGATGGGGTCGGAGAAGATGGGGTCGGCGGATCGCGCCGCATACGCCCTGGGGTGGGGCGGGGAGAAACGCGTATGCATCTCGAGGATACCCGGGCACGCCTCCACGACCAGCTTGTCGCACACCGCCTCCGCCAGCCGGAAGGTCAGCGACTTGTTTGCCAGCCTCGGGGCTGGGCCGTCGGCACGCCCGACCCGCCCGAATCTTGATTTTGTTCACGGGCCACTTCGGAAACCTGGCAGAGAAGGAGACAAGCCCACGATTCCCAAATCCCAGATTGACTGAGGAATCACGAATCGTCCAACGATTTCGGGGTATGGCTTGCGTGCGCCGGCGTCGCCAGGTACAAGACTACCCCGAAATCTCCCTCACCCAAGTTTCAAGGAGCTCAGGTTCTGCCTGGGCGCTCGTGTTTCAAGGGTCTGGGCGGTATTTTTATAAAGTGGCCATCGGCACTGGTTCGGGAAAGGAGGTGCTCCTGGTACAAAAGCATACTGCGAGCTCGGCCGCAAGAAACCTTCGAACAAAAACACAAGGGAAAACCCGCGTGGGAGACGCACCCGGGGGGGCAACCCTGAGCACCTTGAAAGCAGCAACTTATTTGACGGCCGCGGGAAGTCACCGCGCAGCGCGCGGAGCGAAAACATCTCCGGGTACCCTGACGAAAAGCACATGGTTTCTTGATGCGCGTCCTCGTTGCACATGTGGCAGACCCCCGACGTCCTGTTTTTTTCATGAAGTCGACCTCCAGAGGTCTCAACCCATTCCCTGGGATAGGCTTTCCATCATGAATCGTTTTCCATGGTCCCGAGACCCAGTGAAGGTCCCCAGAGGCAGAAAATAAAGACAAACCGTCCGTCGTGATTTTTTCGCGGATCAAAAGGGTCTGGGTATGCAGTGCACCGCAAAGCCAAGCGGACAAGGTTACAGGCATACATGGGCCGGCCAAAAGGTACCGATACTGCTACTCCCCAGACCTCACCCTGGGCGCGTTCTGACCAGGATGTCGAAACGTCCTTCGAGGTGGGTGACAAGGAGGAAGACGTGCGAGAAGTAGCGGTATCGATACCTGCTCCTCCTCTGAATACATGCGCAGCGTACTGCAAATGGGAAGACCCAAAGGTACCGATACCGCTGCTCCTCGGACCTCACCCTGGGTGCGTTCTGGTCAGCATTTCGAAGCGGGCCCAGCAGTGGCAACGAGGCCCTTCGAGGAGGCTGACAAAAAGATGAAGACGTGTGAAAGGTAGCGGTATCGATACGGCAGGTTCGCGTCGTGCCGACTTCGGCGCTTGGTTGGTTTCTGGCACCGCGGGGGCCGTTCAACCCTGAACGATCGGCCGTTTCCGACACGTCAAATCGTTCAACATCGACCGACTCTCGGTCGCTGGTCGACACGACGCTAACCTGCCGTACCTGTTCCTCCTCTGAATACATGCGCAATGCGCCGCAGAGCCGAGCGGAAACTCTCCCTGGCGGAAACCATACAAAGGTCAGCGCGGCCTCCCGCAGGCCAGGGTTAGGTCGGGCGTGTCCTCCTACAGGCGGGCTTTGGACGAAAAACTGAAAGAGCCAAACTATCTATGTGCATATACATAGATATCTATGTATATAGCAACGATTCCGGAGAAAAAAACCCAATCAGGGCTATAGGGCTATAGGGCTATAGGGCTATTGAGCTATAGGGCTATAGAGCTATAGGGCTATAGAGTTGTAGGGCTATAGGGCTATTGGGCTATAGGGCACCCCTGGACACCCCTGGGCATGCCCAGGCACCCGGGCACCCGGGCACCCCAGGGCATCCCCCAGGCACCAGAGCCCCGGGCACCCCCGGGCACCCGGGCACCCGGGCGTGCGGCGAAAATCGGCGGCAAACCTAACCTAACCATATGAATCCGCTAGGTCCCCTACTGAGGCAAGCTCTGATCAGAGGGAAGTATTCAAAAATATTATAAAAACCGTTCGAATAATCCTCCTGCAGAGGGACAGGTACGCCTGAAGGCTAAGGGCCGCCGGCCGCCTCCCGCCGACGTGGTGACGGGCCCGACAGGAGCCGCACGCCACAGCCTGCACACGCCCCCCCCGGCACGCCGCGGCCGCCCGCGAGCGGGCCGCCGCGGCCCTCCCGGACTGAATGGGGCCCTGGGACACACAAAGATGTAGACACAGGTAACAGGATGCCCCATATGTTCCCATCTGTTGTGTGTTTTTGTCTCACCCCCCCTTCCCATATCTTCCCATATGTTCCTGGGAGTCGGCGATTCATTGTGTCTGTGTGTTTCTCGCCGTCCTGACAGACGTGCTCCAGTCCAGTCCAGAATTTAACCAGCCTCGGACTTATCCCTATCCCCAAGATGGGCGGGCAACAAGCGAGCAAAATTTTAGGGATGTGCTCCCAGAGCCCGAGGGAATCCTTGAGATCGGCATCGAGGTGAGGTGATGCCAAACACAGGGATCGGGATATGTTTCAAACTGGTAACAGAAGCCTTGCGCTGGCCACAGCGCGTGAGCAAGGGGCGACACTGTGCACGGAAGCGGATGCCTTCAGCACGCCGCACATAACGTGACCGCCTGCTCCGACCCGCGAGCTGCACCGCCCTCTCGGCGGAAGCAGTCAGCAAGTCGCTCGACCAGACGTGCTCGCGTCCTGACAAAAATCAGGGCCCGAGGTTTTTGGCCGCTTTGGGGTCCCTGGGGGCCCGTACCGTACCCTGGGGCCGTCAAAAAACGAATCCGGATAAAAAGTCGGTTACGCGGAAAGGGGAAAGGGTCGGGACTTCTGGGGGCCCCGTGCTGAAAACATAAGAACGTCGCTGGTCTGGGCTCGCTCTCTTCTCCTCGGCAGCCGTAGGCAGAGCGCCGCCAGCAGCCGCTCGGAGAGATGGGGGCAGCGATCGCGAGAGCGCGTGCGCTTGCAAGCTGCTTTCCATGGTTCCGAGAGGGCCCCGACAGGCTCTCAAGACGGCCTCCGAGGGCGTCCGACCGGAAGCCCTGAGGCGGCCCAAGAGGCGACCATAGACGCACCCTGGAAGCTCCCAAGTGGCCCTGGCGGGCCCCTAAGAAGCCTCAAAGGCCCCCACCCAGATCCCAGACGTCGTGATCCCCAGGAGCCCGGACTCCTTCCCGGGAACCGGTTTTTCATTCTGAATAATTGTTTGACGGTCCCGGGGTCCAGCGAGGGCCCCTGGAGGCCGAAAATACAGAAGCACCTCCCGTCGCGATTCGTTCACAACGCGAGGTCTGGGCAAGAGGGCCTCAGGATCCGCCCCAGGAGGCCCGCCAGGGACGGGGTGCTTACTTCCAGTCCTCGTGCTACCAATGGAAGCGCCGAATGGAGAACGAAGGGGCGTGTCATGGCCACGCCGAGCCTCGACCAAGACCAGGCTCCCCGACCAAGCTCTAACGGAAGGCCCGAACACCACAGCCAGGCCCAAGTCAAACGCGGTCCCCACTTCCGCGTCTTGACTGTGCTAATTACCCCGACCGATTCGCCATGTTGAGCCCCCTTGCTACGCCCCCCCTGCGGCGTCAAGGAAAGCCGTTCGGGCAAACCCGTATCCCCCTCCTCCTCCTCCTCCTCCTCCTCCACCTTCTATCTCCTGCATTGCCTTTGTCCCTCCGTGTCTCCCATCCGTCCCTCCATCATACAGACTCCTTCCCTTCCTCTCCCCCCTCCTTCATCATCCTCCCTCCACCTTCTTCCCACCGTGGGCTAAAAACAAGACGTCGGGGCTTAGCCGCTTGCGACCCAACATTTGAGCGACAATACCAGGACAGCGTGATGCTGAAGGTTTCTTCAGAACTCGCCGAGGGGAAAGGGGGCTCTCTCGTTCGTGCCTCGGTGGCGTGTTTCGTAGATCGTAACTTTCGATGTGTGGTGTGGGTGGTGCTTCGCGGAACATATCGGCAGCGCCCCCAACAAATCCGAACGCCCCCCACCGCCTCACACGTGCCCATTGCGTCCTCGACAGCCCCTCAATTCGTAGTTTTGGGTGCGGCCTTTCAAAGTCGATGTTGGAGACTCGCGCGAGGCCCTCCAGCACTGCCTGCTCGACTATGCAGCACAGCTCCATGTCTTCATCGGTACATTTCTAGCGGGCGAGGGGGGGGGGACAGGCAGAGAAAAAAGAAACGGGGGCGGAGAAGGACGATAATGGCAGATCAGCACAACATACAAGCATGATGTGTAGAACAGCACGAAGAATCATAATAGCATCCATTTCGAAAATGAGACGTGCGTAATGTTTGCATGATATGGGGCGGGACAAAAAGCTGCGCGCGCCAGCACCCAAGAACGAGGCCCTGCATGTTGGGCCAAATTGACCCGCCCACTCTACCTGAACTCACTTCCAGATAAGATGTGTGACTCAAGCTCACGTCTCACGCGAGGGAGCAGGTTCCGATACCGACCCTCCTGTCGGGGTTCTCTCCAGAAGCGGAGCGGAGACGGTGTTCTGATGTAGTGCGCTGGTCGACAAGGATTTACTGTGAGAAGGGCGTCTGGCTTCCGAACACTGGCGCATTTTTGTCCCGACGTCTTATTTATCAACCAGACACACACACACACCGTTGGTGCCACCTTCTCAAAACCAACGCACAAAGTCACATCTGCCGCAACATCTGCCTCTTCGTGCAATTGCACCTGAACTCATACATCCTTCCCGCACGTGTGGTAACCGCGGTCACGCGTGTTCGTGCAACTTTTCATGTACCCTCCCACACCCATGACATATACATATGATGGCAAGACCTTCCATTGCATTTCCAACAGTTTACAACTGACCGTCCGCCAACGAGCCTTTACATTTGTACATCGCCCAACCCTCTGCACCTCTTTACCATTGAACCGTACGCGTGAATGACCCAGGCATGTACATACGTACGCATATACACATCTGCACATATACATACTCACATGCACGTATACGCACACGTACACCTGACCAGGAATGCAACTTTACACATACGTCTATCTGGGTACAATTGCAAGCAACGGCGTCCCCCAGCATTCCCCCGCGCCTTCCCAGTCACAAGGCTCCTGCATGCCTCTGCCATGTGAAGGGTTCGTCCAGCAGTGACTGCCAAATATAGCACCAAGACGGCCCCGCGAAAACCCCAACACAGCCCCATGGGGCCGCAGCGCTGCCCCCGAGAGCCCCACGACGTCCCCAAGACGGTGCCGCCAGGATCCCCTAAACGGTATCTGGAGGCGCCAGGCGGCCAGCAAGAGGGCCGCAGGAGGCCCCCCAGGAGTCCACCTCCTCGTCCTCGCTATACATATTTAGACTATCCTCACTCTCCCTCTCTCTCTCCTCCCACTCCCGTTCCCTCCCCCTGTCCATCTCTCTCTCTCGCTCTCACTGTGTCTCTCCCTCTCTCTCTCTCTTTCTCTTTCCCTCTCACTCTCTCCTTGTCTTTCTGTCTCTCTCTCTCTCTCTCTTTCTATCTCTCTCTCTCTCTCGGCCTTTCTCTCCTTCTCTCATTCTCCGCCCCCTGTGTTCCTCCTGCTCGTCCGCCACCTTCTGTTTTCCAACGTGTGCGCAGCTCCCCTCTCCCGATGGCGCATCAGTAAAACGATGGGGCCAAGTTTGGAATTCCAAGTCCCCGCTATGACACGCGTTGGCGGACGGAGGAGAAATCAGTGCAATCGCAATACGATGGAATGGGTGGGAGGGGGAGATGTCAGACATAGCGCGAGGGCAACTAGCGCGCCCTATCCCCCTCTCCCCCCCCCTCTCTCTCTGTCTGTCTCCCTCTCTCACTCCCTCCATCTCTCTCTCTCTCTCTCTCTCTCTCTCGGCGTGGCTCGTTGGCGGGCTACGCCTACACAATCGCGTCAGCTCATGCGCCGGGGAGGCATAGGCTGCTCGTGCCGCCCTCGTCTCTTTCTGGCTGCCCCTCCAGCCCCAAGAGGGAAGGCCAGGCAGTCGCTTGCCCCCTGCCGCCTGGACGCGCGTGTCTGCATCGGTGTGTGTGTGTGTGTCTCTCTCTCTATTGTTTTCTCTTCCTCTTTTTTTGTTTTTTTTTGTTTGTTCTCTCTCTCTCTCTCTCTCTCTCCTTGTCTCACTCTCACGCATTCTCTCTCTCTCTCTCCCTCCCCATGTCTTTTTGTCTGTGTCTCTCTCTCTCTCTCTTTCTTATGTTCTCTTTCGTCCTCTCCCCCTCTCTCTCTCATCCAGGGTGGCTCAAAAGTGCCCAAGGATACCCTCAGGAAGGCCCGACTGGCCAGCGCAGACACAAAATATAGCTCCCAGATAAATCAATATGGTTCTCTCTCAATGTTCCCCTGCGGTTTGCCCAAGCCCCCTGGGAACACAGCGTCTCTTAGTGGCCGCACTTTCGCTCGACAATTTGCCGCACAGGAGTTTCCAACAGGCAGGAGGCGTCGTTGCCTCGCCATATGCATCATCGACACATGACGAAACAAATTCGACTACCGATCGATACATGCAGATGGTACATTGCAGTTTCAGGGAGCTCTGCTGCTCCGGCATAGTAACCACATGCACTGCACAAGTGAGAAACGAGTCACGTACTACACAACGCAACCACTCCCCACACAAAAGTCAGAGCGCCTGCGCTGCATGCAAGGGGCGCTCAAGCGCTGACAGATACTTCGAATCCAGCCTTCCAGCTTTCTCGGTATACATGCCAAAAGCTTGGCCTCCCGAAACAACTTATGGGGCGACATATGCCAGGGCCCTCCTACAATGCCAAGGGAGAATGGAGCAAACACGTGTCTCCAAGGACTCTGCTGCATCGGGGCCCTTACCTTGGGAGGAGCGCGCTTGCCTACAATGTTTGACAGGATCCAAGGGGAGGCACGAGGAGGGATCACATACACACGCACATATATATATATATATATATATATATACACATAGAGAGATATACATACACATATATATATATATATAAACATTCTCCGAAGAGATAGAACGAGCGAGAGAGAGAGAGAGAGAGAAATAAAGAGAGATACGACAAGCCTCCTGCTGGCATAGCCCCTGCGCGTAGATGCTGGAGCCTTCGGGGCCTTAGAGAATCACCCCACCATGATTCAGTCTGTGTGACCAAAGCGCAATTACCATGCCAGTCCAGCTGGTCCCTGGCATCCCAAAGCGCGGGATACTCCATTGATCGGTGATCACACGGACCGTCCCACATCCAACACACAAATTACCTTGGTCGAAGGCTCAACATTCGAACTGATCACGCATGACGCATGCCTGCGGAACGGGTGGCAGGAACGGAATGACGAGGAGGACAACGAGGGGCGAGGGGGGGGCAGGCAATGAGGGGAGGGAGGGGGAGAGGCAGGGTGAGGGGCAGGGATAAAGAAGAGGGATTACCCCAGACCCCCGACGTCGTGATTTCTTCACAGCATCGATCCCCAGAGGTCTGGACCCCCTTCCCGTGACTGGCTTCTCATCCCGAGTCGTTTTTGACGGTCCCGGGGCGCGGCGAGGGACACTGGAGGCCGAATATAGCGAACAAAAAGCCCGTCGTGTTTTTCTCACACAGCGCGAGGAGGTCTGGGAACAGGGCATGGGCGACGCTGGATCGGGATCCCCTCAGCTCGCGGCACGACCCCTGGAACATCCTGCAGCTCGCGCGCGCCACGCAGCACAGGGAGGTGTCGTCTGGGTGGCAGACGGAGCCTGCGTGAAGTGCAGACGGAGGGGGAGGAGGAGGAGGAGGAGGAGGAGGAGGAGGAGGAGGAGGAGGAGGAGGAGGAGGAGGAGGATGAGGAGGAGGAGGAGGAGGAGGGGGAGCAGGAAGAGGAGGAGGAGGAGGAGGAGGAGGAGGAGGAGGAGGAGAAGGAAGAGCAGGAAGAGGAGGTGCCGACGGGGGCCCAGGCCGCTGTCGCGACGGCACCGCTGCCGCTGCCGCTGCCGCTGTCTTCCCAGACCCCCTCGGGTAATACAACAAAAATCACGACGGGAGGTTTTTCCTAATGTTCGGCCTCTGGAAGCCCTCACCGGGCCCCGGGACCGTCAGAAAACGACTCGGGATGGAAAGCCAGTCCAGGAGAAGGGGTCGAGACCTCTGGGGATCGACGCTAGGAGAAACAGGAAAAAAAATGGCGTCGGGGATCTGGGTCTGCCGCCTGCCCCGAGAACGTTCACAGGTTCTGCCCCACCCTCTCTCCCCCAGGTCCTCCGCTCACGAGGACAGGATTCATCTCTCCTCCTCCCCTGAGATCCTGGCGGCTCCATTTTTTCGAGCCGGGCGTTTTCGCTCCACTTCGGGCCACGGGACACTCACATATCGATCCGGCTCGAAAAAGGATGCGGAAAGATGGAGTCTGGTGCTTGGGTCGTGATTTTTCGCGCTGTTGCATTTTTTCGACACGTCAGATCTCAGGGTCCTCTGCGCGAGCGTTCCCTTATTCAGCGTTTCGACATTGGGCGGGAGGGGGGGGCAGGGGGGGTCTGGCTCTGGACCTCTGCTTAGTGCGACTGTTTGCAACAGGGCGTTTACTATGGGGGAGACTCCACCTGCTCGGAACAGGCGCCAAAAACAGCCAAGATCTACTCCACGGGGGGCCAGGCGGTGCAAGGGCCCGCGCAGATCGGCAAAACGATGCATAAGAAGACGATCATTTCCTCTTCCTCCTCCCCTTCTCCCAGACCCCCGACGTCATGATATGTTCCTGACGTCAACCCTCGGAGGTCTCGACCCGTTTCCCTGGACCGGTTTTCGATCCCGAGCCGTTTCTTGACGGTCCCGAGGACCCTCGCCGAGGCCGCACATCAGGAATTGCCCGCGGGGCTCTGGGACCCCTTCCCCTCCCCTCGGGTGTTCGTTCACGGGGGGGGGGGGCAGTGCACGCGGGGGGAAGAGACGTGCGCCCTTCGCGCGTCGCGTGGGCCCGCGGTGGCAGTTCGGGGGGCCCCTGTCGGGCCCTCTTGGGGTCCCGCCTGCCTGGATTCGTCGGCCCCCACACACGCGTTGCCTCCCGCCGTGCATTTCTTGTCGTTGCCCGCGGGGGCCTGGGCTCCTCCACCCGCCCCGGTGGTCCCCCGCTGCCGGCGGGCGCCCGCGCCCTGCAAGAGGGCGCGAAGGGCCGGGCCACCCAGCGCGGCCCGAGGCCCCGCGATTGAGCAGGGACCGACCGTCCCGGCATTCCCATAGGCCCACCACAACATGTGCTTAGGACCCACAAGTGCTCCAAGTGAGAACAAAAGCAATGTTCTTAGAACACAAGCCCGATGTGTTGAAACAAGGCGGTACCAGCCAGAAATGTTCTAAGAACATGTCGTGGAAACCACGAAGGGTTCTTAGAACATTGTCTGGTAGGCCTATCGGCGGGCCAGGACGCTTCGCAACTGCCTGACACGAGGTCCCGCGCCCTGGGAGAGCGCCCTGCCCGGGCAGCAGGCCCGGAGGGCCCGCAGAGAGCCGGGGCCCGCGGGACCTGGGAGGCAACGTCTTTCGTGAGATCGACGCGCACAGATCCCTGCGTCCGCCTCCGCCTCCTCGTCGTCCTCCCACTCCTCATCATCGTCCTCCCACTGCTTCCTTCTCATCGTCCTCTCCTGCTGGCGGCCAGAGGGGGCAACGGGGCGCGGCAGGGCGTGGCGAGAACGCGCAGGTTCGACAACGCGCCCCAGTTACGGCGGCGGCCCGCGCGGCTCCTCGAGCCCGAGGGCGCCTTGAGCTCGAGAACGCAAAGCTGTCCGCAGCCCCACGCAACAATCAAGGTAGCCTCGGGTGCCCTCTGGCGGGCGCGACCACCGCCCCGTGCGATGGCCGTAGACGCGCCCGCACGAACCGATCTTGACACCGTTCCGAGAAAAAACGAGACGAAGCTAGGTAGGACGAGGACAACATCGGGTGAGGATAATGAATCGAGAATCCTTGGGAGCTGAAAGCTCTGGAGGATGTCTCGAGCGCATCGGCTCTGGAGGATGTCTCGGGAGGATGTCTCGGGCGGCTCTGGAGGATGTCTCGGCGCTCTGAGATCGTTCCAGAACGCTCCAAGAGCGTTCTCAGAACGTTTGGGAACAGACTGATCCTCGTCCTGGCCCCCTCCGAGACGCCGCCTTCACGGGAACTGCGGCGGAGGTCGCCCACCGTGGCCCTAGCCCGCAAGTCGTCGTGTATAGCCATCGGGGGGGCGAGGGGAGAGGACGACCCGGGCAGCAGCGGAGGGCTTCGGCGTGCTCCCTCCCGTGTTCCTGCGCCCGCTGCTCGTGGGAAGAATGACGACGTCGGCCCTCCGGAGTCCCCGGCCCCACCGTGGCACACGGGACTCCCTCCGCGAAGGGTAGCCCCGCGAGAGCCCCGAGCCGGGACCCCGGGGGCGGGGGCGGGGAGGCGGCAAGTTTCCGAGCGGGTGCTCCTTGACGAATGGGTCCGTGAGAGTGGGGTGAAGACGCATGCGCCTCCTGGGCCCGCCTCGGCAATGTTTAGGGGGGCCGCGAAGGAGCCACGTTGGGGCAGCTGCCATGAAAGCCTCGACATCCCACGTACTTTGCACCCCCGTTGCCGTCTGCCCGGCCAGAGGGACCGTTCGCCATTATCTTTGCACGACGTTCTTAATGGCCCGCTGATGCCCTTGTGGCCTCTGCACTTGCGCTCGGCCGCGCGGTATGCCAGCGACGTGCCCTGCGCGCAGGAGAAGTTGAACTCTGAGCAGTTGGGCCTCTCTACGCAGCACTGCTCGAGATCCTCGCTACGTCGTCTTCGACGTCGTCGCCATCGTCGGCAACGTCACCATCATAACACAACATCGATGTCGTCGTCACCAACAACATGGTAAATACCATCACCAGCACCACCACAAACATTGCCATTCTTAGCGGTACCGCCATGGTTATCGACAGCGTCATCGTTCACGTCACCATCGCCAGCAGCCTCGGCGCCGGCAAGAGTACTCTATCACCAAGGACATCGCCCACCAGACACCCGACAGCTCCAACTTTTTGGATGCGTGGGCCCCGCAGGTGTGGACCACTTCCCTATAGGGCTGTTTTTTCGTCCTGCGTCGTTTTTGTTACGTTCCTGGGGCCCAGCAAGGGCCCCCGACAACACAGACAAAAAACGGCCCCCCCTCCCCAGCAACCGGCCAAAGACGGCCAAGCAACGGCCCGACCCGCGAGGGGTCACCCAAAAAGCACCCAAAGGACAGCCCCAAAACAACCGAAAATGGCAAACACGCCACCCGCTCTGATTTTTCTGGGGCGTCGGATCCCCCGGGCTGGCGTCCCCCCCGCCCGCGCCCGCGCGGCTGGGGACTCCTGCTCCGTGCACTCGAACGCCATGCACGTGGCGTTGGGCTCCTCGCGGGGCGCCCGGTCCAGGCAGTCCAGGGTCATGCAGTGCGCCACGTGCCCGCAGCAGGAGTCCTGGTCCTTCCAGGACGGGTGGTCATGTGGGGGGGGCTGAAATTCGGCGGCGAGCCCCGGAGGGGAAAGAGAAGGGCCCAGACCCCCTCGGGTCATGAAAAAAGTTCCGATGGAAGGTTGTTCCTAATTTTCGGCATCTTGAGGCCCTTACTGGCCCTCGGGACCGTCAAACAATTCACTCAGGAAGAAAAGCTGGTCCAGGGGCATGGGTGGAGACCACTGAGGGTCGACGTTATGAACAAATCATGACATCGGGGGTCTGGGGGGCGGGCCCGTCTCGGAAGGCTTAAGGCTTGGGAGTCCCCCGGCCTTCCGCGAGAAGTTTCCTGGGCCTTCCCCGGAGACAGGGAAAACCTTTCAGAAGGCGCGAGAGCTCCTGAGATCTGAGAAATCCCGCCGCCTTCTTAGAAGGCCTTCTCCTTCTCACTCCCCCCCTCGCTCGCCGCCTGCAAATAGGAAGTGAAGAAAGGTCCTACAGGCCCTTCAAGGCCCGTTTTGGAGCCAGCAGGGGCCGGAAAGCGGCCCTGAAGGTCTCATTTGGAACCGTCTTCGCCCTGAAGGTCTCATTTGGAACCGTCTTCTTCACCTCTTATGTAGGCCACCCCCCTTCATTACCACCCTCCCGATCCTCCTGCGCGCAGAACTCCCCAGCACAGTCCTGGGCAGCGACAGCGCGAACAATTCCCGCACCCTCTTGCCAGATCCATTTTTTGTCGTTTCTGGTTGCCGTTTGATTGCAGCTTCCATTTTCGAGAAGCACTTGTCTCGGGAGCGGTGAAAAAATACGGCCTTGCCTTCCAGAGCCCACTGCCCAGACCCCCGACGTCGTGATTTTTCCGCAACGTCGACCCCCAGAGGTCTGGACCCCTTCCCGTCAACTGGTTTTTCATTCTGAGTCGTTTTTTGATGGTCCCGATGCCCGGCAAGAAACTCCAGAGGCCGAAAATTAGGAAAAACCTCCCGTCATTTGTCTTTCATCAACGGCGGGGGCGTCTGGGTGAGGTCCATACTTTTGGGGGGTCGACGCTGCGAACAAAATCACAGCTCCGGCGCTCTGGGGGGCGGCCCGGAGGGGGAAGCGTCTCTGGCCGTGCCCGGACAACAGAGCGGTGGACCTCTTTCTCTCTCGCCAGTGGGCCTGTTCTCCACCACAACCATCATAAGTTGGGGAGGAGGAGGAGGAGGAGGAGGAGGAGGAGGAGGAGGAGGAGGAGGAGGAGTAGGAGGAAGAGGGAGTAATGCGGAGGAAGAGGAGGAGGAGGAGGAGGATCAGGAGGAGGAGGAGGAGTACGCGGAGGAGGAGGAGGAGGATCCCCTCCCCCTCCGACTAGTGGTGGCGGTGGAAAACAAGCCCATCATCTCTCGCCAGTAGGGATCTGGAGGCCGTGTGGGCAGCAGGCGGGATACCGTGAGGAGGCAGACACATACGGTCAGTCGCGTGGCCTCGGCGCGCGTGCAAGTCTTTGGCACCGCGTCGATCGTTCTACCTGGAACCGATCGCGGCCCCGATCGTCCAAGGTGGAATTCCGTCGGGTCCAGTGGCGTTGCCGCGTCCCTCTGTGCTTCCGCGTCGCAGATTTCAACCTGGAACGCCTTCGCTGGCGTCGCTGGCGCGCAAACGCCGCATGACGTGACGTGACCACCAGGAGCCTGGACCCCTTCCCGGGGATCAGTTATTCATTCTGCATCGTTGTTTGACAGTCCCGAGGCCCGGCGAGGGCCCCTGGAGGCCTATATATATGTGTATATATATATATATAGACATACCGACATACATAACAAGAAAACTCCCGCGTAGTGAATTTGTCATTGCCCGAGGGGGTCTGGGGTTCCGGCACGGCTGCTTCTCGAACCTCTCCCGGGGTCCTGGAGTAGGTTTGACCAGGATTCCAGGGCGAAGCCCGCCGTGGCCACCTCCAGGACGAGCAGAGCAGAGCAACCTCGTGTCGTGACGGCCCCCCCTTTGGCGCTGGCCTCCGACTCCGCGTTGGTCCGTCCCACCCCGACGGATATCGGCGGGTTTTTCTGCGATCGCCAGACCCACACCCCCTCGCGCTGTGAAACAAAAATCGCGACGGGCGGTGTTTTCCAACTTTTCGGCCTCTTGCGGCCCTCATACCCGCCCTCGGGGCCGTCAACAAAACCGCTCGGGATGGAAGACTGGTCCAGGGGAATGGGTCGAGACCTCTGAGCTTCGAAGTGCTGGAAAACAAAAAAACATCCCTCGCGCTGTGAAACAGACACGACAAGAAGTTTTCCAACTTTTCGTCCCCTTGCGGCCCTTACTGGCCCTCGGGACCGTGTAAAAAACGACTCAGGATGGAAAACCGGTCCAGGGGAATGGCTCGAGACCTCTGAGGGTCGACGTTATGAAAAAGTCATGACGTGGGGGGTCTGGGGATCGTGCAGATTGGCGGATTCTGGGCTCAATGAAAGCATTTGATTTTGCATTCCCGCGCCGCGACCGCGGCAGACACGAACCGACCGTAGCGATATCGCCATCCGTTTCCTCCTCATCTGAGCCCGGAGCTCCAGGCTCTCGAGATTCGTCTTGATGACGCGCGGGGGAGGGCACGTGAAATTGACGAACTCCGCGCAGCTCGCCGCACCCGTGCAGCACAACCGCTTGTCGCTCATGTGCGTGCCACAGCGATCCTGGCCCGCTTTGATAGCTCTCGCGCGCTCGCTGTCCCCCCCCCCGCACCTCCCGCCAAACGCCCCGCCCAAGCCGAGCTCCGCGGGCAGGTGCCGCGAGCAGGCGGGCGGGGAGCCAGGAGCCTTCGGCGTCAGACCCCCCAACCCCTCTCCTCCTCCTGCTCCTCCTCCTCCTCCTTCTCCTCCTCCTCCTCCTCCTCCTCCTCCTCCTTCCCCCCCCTCCTCCCTCGTCTACCTCTCCTACCCCCCCCCCACTCCTCCTCCTCCGCCTTCTCTTCTCCCCTGCCTCCCTCCTCCATCCCTTCTCCCTCCTGGCAGAGGAGAGCTTAGCGCGGTGGATCCAGCTGACAGCGCGCAGGTCCGATGCGATTAGCTGCCACCTCTGCCCGCGCCACTGGTGCAGGACCTGAACCCGACGACTCCCTTCGTGCCGCATCTGGCATAATTTCTTCAATCACTTTGCAAACGCTCATGCGCCTCCGCACTCAGCATGGACGGCATAAGACATAAGAGGCAAGCTTGTCTCCAAGATCGGCCCCGAGCTGGGCCAAACCAACTTCCCAATGGTCACCAGAACAAACATACATATCGAAGAACCTGCCAAACGGAAATAAGGATGCTACTGGAACATCTGGAAGCGAGGAGGAGACCCGTCGTGGCCCATACATGCCAGGTTACTCATGGTATCACCACACCTGGGCAAGAAATGCCGCATACCCATCAAGACTCCACTCGCGTCTCGCGTATGTCTTACCTCCGTTTGCAGGCGAGACACAGTTTGGCAACATCGCAGGTCGAGAAGTTGACCTAGCAGGGCTTGCCATCATGTCTCTACACAATCGAGGCGAGGTCCAGGACATCTCAGCCATGGTTATCGTAGTCGTTGTTGTGCAGGCCTTTTGCAAATCGTGGCGCCATCGAGCCATGGCCTCCTGCACTACGTTGAAGATTCAGCCTACTTGCTACGTCTCATTGGGTTCCTGCCCTCCCCCATGCGCAAGGTCCCCGACAGGCTCCAGCAAGGTCCTCTTACCCTCCAACGGGCCCGTCGACCCCCACATCCAAGCCCTCACTGCTGACTCCTACCATGGCTCCTGGTCCACCTCCAAATGCGACTCAGGTAGCGTTCTTTACACTTGGTACGGTCCAGGGACAACAGATGGGAGATATCATGTTCAACTGCATAATGGTGGAAGATGTTGAGTTGGCCTGAGAACAGGTACAACACCTACACGTCCACGTTCAGGTTTCTACGCTTGCAGGCGCATTTCCAGATCAGCTCGTGGATGCCGAGCCAACCTACAACACACCAGCTGTTGGCATGTGTTCTTTTAGACGCTGGAGCCTTCGCCATGGTACTTTCGCCAGACCAAGCACCAGACTGGCACCTCAGTATCGCAGCAGACGCAGGAGCTACTGTAACGTCCAACTTCGCGGAGCGAGGCCTACGACTCAATTTCACGCGAGACAATTCAGATGATCTTTTTTCCGGCTTGAGGCGCAGTCCAACGCAACGAGGCAGCAGAAAAAGGTATCTCAGGTACAATCGGAACGAGGTGGTACGTCCGACACATATGCAATCAGGCGATTACCAAGCCCCATCCCCGCCAAGCGTGGCGCCGTCGGTCCAGAAATTTCGAACAGGATTCCAGACATCTCGTGATCCTTTCGCATCCTTAGGCACAAGGTCTTCAAGACCATCACACACGATCACGACACACTCGACGTGACGAGGCGCTTTGTAGACGCTCTGATCACATCCTCGCTCACACACAACCCCTGCACATGGACGGACAAAGAAACGAGCGCCTACCGCACGCTGCGCAACAACGTCATACGCAGGTACCGGTCAGCAGCAGGTTTGCAGCGACACGATGAGCACAGCGCTCCCGACTCCGAGGTGCTCGCAATGTAGCTAGGCCAGACCTCGAAATCTAGCTTAGGATTCATCGGCGTCGGATTCTCGGGAGTCTGATCCACTTCGGTTCAGACCTCCTCCGCGGCCTCACAGCTCAGACCTACCACCTGGCTTCCTCCAACGGTTCCACCCAACGCTCCTCGCTTCACCACAGCATGGACGCATTGCGGTGTCTCAGCTCGGTCTACAAGACGTTTCACGACATCCATTACTCCTACAGAAGGGAGGTCCACAGCAAGAGCTCACTCCCTTCGTACCTTGAGGTATTACGTATTACGACAGGCACAAACAGGCCGTGCACGAGCTGCTGCCAGACAGGTCCCCGCAAACAAGGCCGAGGCCTAGCTTTTTTCAGCTGCGCGCGCAGGTGGCTTCCCACTCACAGTCACTCACCCTGATCATCCCCTGAAGCTGGCATAGCGCAGTAACGGTGCAGGTCCACAACCACATGTCAGCCCATAGTGCTCTACACATCTTCACTCGTCCAAAACACTATGCGAGCACATTGTACGTAAACGCTTCAGAATGACGGCTCGAATGGAGTTGGTAATGGGCGCCTCGCCCACGTGCAAACCTTGCTCGACGGAATTTGTTCCCAAGCATTAGCTACGAGGCCATCTAGCTTTTGATGCGCTGCGATGCTCATTGTCCAACCCTTTGGATGGCACACAGCTGGACTACACAACGGCCAGGGAAACAGAAGCAGTGGACGCGCGGCAATGAGCTGAACAACGCACGGCAGGTCTAGGAAGGTGGAGAGCAGAGCACCCGGCGACACTCGACTGCACGCACGCGTGACCCTGGGGAAGAGCGACCTTCGGTGCGCGACCTTCGGCCGCGGGGGGCTCAAGCACAAGCGCGCCAGACGCTGCAGTCGCACCTTGCGCGGCGATCGGGGGACCCCACTGGGCCCGCACCGGAGGTCACTCCGGAGAAGGGTCACCCTTACGCGTAGTCGACACACATGGATCACGCGATGAAGGTAGTACGCACTGGGAGCTCACATCAGGCCGACGCGGCAGCCAGAGAAGCACTCGGGGAGTCAACTTCCGACGTGGACCACGCCCCTCGACGGAAGCCGGAGGCGGCCTGGCACCGGAGGATCGGCACGACGTGTTTCGGATCCAGGACTTCCAGGGCATCTCTCCACTGCAGTTCCCCGGAAGGCTACGACGACGGGCGGTCTTCGTGCTCAATCCTTTCTGTGGTCGCCGACGTGAGGGAAACATTCAGCATCACGTTGAGCACGTGCAGGTACACAGTATAATTACCATCACTACCCCATGTATCGATACATACCGATGGTGTGCGCTGTGATTTCACACAGACGAATACGGTGAAGCAGTGGACTGCTCACATTCAGGCTAAGAGGGTGTGGGCTAGATGCGGGGGGGGAGCGGGCGGGGGCCTTGCGAAACTTAGAGCGCGGCCAGATGTCTGGAGCCCCGCCCCGCACCCCCCTCCAACACTCTTCACGCGAACCAGCACTTTGGGGGAGCTCCGTGGGCCACAGATGCCCAAGCCTTACAACTAGAGATGATGGGGAAGACAACTTCTAGTACACTGTATTACCCTAATGCTAGCCGTGCACGCTCAGGTTAACTCTCATGGCTTGTGGGAACATCCGCTCCCAGCTACGTGGCGCCACCAAGCCCCATCGAGCTTCTCAGGGATGCTCTTAAGAGCCCTCGTATGCAGCTCTGTGGCCAGCACCACCAATTTCGACAAATGCATGCTGCAAGACGCCCCTCCAGAAAACATAAGACGTGCTTCTACTCGGGTTCTTGCACTCCGCCTGCCAACCCTACATGGACTTCTTACCTACAGCAATGGGGGGCTCTGCAATCACGACAGAGGCACTCACAAGACTCTTCAGAGGGAAAGCAATCATGGTACTCTCTTGTCCATGCGCAGTGTATGACCGACGCAAGTCGACAGGCATGTGACTGTAAAGATGAGGACTGCGAAGAAGTGACCGCAACATCTGGCGCGAGCGCAGAAATTACACAACTTCGAGAATTACAAGTCACATGTGGCTCACCGTTCTGGGAGGCTCCCGACTGTGCAGGTCCCACCGCCACTTCCAGGACACATGGTGATCTGGAGGTTTCCAGATGGCGTGCTCCCTCCTCATTCTCCTCCTTTTCATTCTCCTCCACCGCCGAGGAGCTATCCCCCTACCCCGCCGAGGAACGAGGGACTGGCGTGGCCTCGACGCCGTGCCCCGACATCCCAGCACAGCAGGGCCAGGCCCGAGCTGCAGGGGGACATGGTTCCCTCCTCCTTCTTCCTGGCCTCGCCGTCGTTTTCCCAGGATTCATGCGCTGGGCATTACACTGTCTGAGCTCTGATTGCGAACGGATTGAACGCCCGTTCCACCGTCAGCCGCCGCCCTTCTACTCCCTCTTCGTCTGCCCATCCTCCTCAGCCTCTGTCTGCCCCGCCTCCTTGTTCCCCTCTCCCCCATCTCGCCCTCCCTCTTCTCTTCCTCCTCCTCCTCCTCCTCCTCCTCCTCCTCCTCCTCCATCTCCTCCTCCTCCTCCTCCATCTCCTCCTCCTTCTCCTGGGTTATTCCTCGTCCTCCATCCCCTCCTCTTCGTCGCGATTGCGACCAGGTGCTGTGTCTGGAGGCTGCCTTTCACACGAGTGGCGATCGAACACCTCGCGGGCCGCTGCCAACGCATGCTGGCACCCCACTAGGACAGGCCGGCGGCCTGATGTCGGAGAGAGAGAGAGAGAGAGAGAGAGAGAGAAAAAGAAAGAAAAGAGAGAGAGAGAGAGAGACCACCCAAAATCAAGTCGGTCGACGATCCCAAGCATCCAACATTATGCATAAGACTTGGATCGGAGGCTGTTCCACGTTCCCTGGCCACCAGAGGCCCTCACCCAGCTCCAGGGCCGTCAACGAGAATGGCCTCGGATGATGTAAAGCCATCCCCTGGGCAAGGGCTGGGACGTGTTGGGCCCCTCGTATGGAAACCACCAGAGCGTCGGAGTCCGTGGCCCTGCAGTTCCTGAACCCAGACCTCCGGCAATCTAACTTTTTGAAGCGCGGCGCCTTTCTTTCATTCTTGGGCCTCCGGGGGTCGCTGTCGGCTCCCAGGGCTATCAGAACTGGATCCAGGACGCAAGCCCGCACCTTTTTCTTCCGTCGCAGCGCGGCAGACGCAACCCGCACGCGCGCTCAGGAAGTCCCGGGCACGGAATACGAATTGGCGGCGCGAGGGGGAAGAGGAGGACGGAAGGCGGCCGCGGGGGGCGGAAAGATGGGATGGGCGCGCAAACCCACACGTCCGACGATCTGATTGCTTCGGTGCGCGGCCCCAGGGATCCCGACCCCTTCCCCAAGGCCAGCCTTTCGCCCCAGCACGATGCTGAATGGACCCAGGGCCCGAAGACGAGCCCCAGACGAGCCCCGGAGGCAGTTTGCGACGAAACATTCAAAACAGCTGTTGAAAAAACCCATCTCGTCGGAGATGTGGGAGACTACCTACCCCCACGGAAGGAGCCGAGAGCTCTGGAGAGCTACGCGCAAACATGGCCCCCGGCAAGAGTGGCCCGTGGTGCGCGGCGGCGGAGGGGGGAAGTCAACCCCGAGCGCGCAAGCGGCTGCTATCGTACCGCGTTTAGCCATCGGGGGATGTTACTGTGCCCGCATAAAAGGCCACGCCAGGGAAGGGTGTCACTGTCATGCGCGGTCTCGATCTGTCGGAGCAAGGCGAATGGAGACAGCGGCAACTCAGAATCGGTCCCCGGACCCCTCCCGGGGCGACGAGCGGCTGCTATCGCACCGCGCTCAGCGATCGGAGGACCCCGCTGGGCCCGCACCACAGGTCACGCCAGCGAAGGGTTACTCTAACAGTAGGGGCTTGACAACAAGAAACCTTCTACAAGAAACCCAATCCTCAGACCCAAGGACGTCGATAGCTTTCGGTGTGGGGAGGTCACGCTTTCCATAGCCAAACCATCGAAGCCCAGGAAACCAAGGGCACCCTGGAGGCAAGCAAAGTGTTTCTTGGCATGGGCTTCAACTGAATGGGCATCGTTCAACCGATTCCTATCCCCATGAACGTGGCCTGGGCCCCACTGGCCGATGTACCCCCGAGATGGGGATATAGGCGGTTCCCTTCGGGCTTCGAGGGGCATATCCCCAACTGGGTTTGTGGGATGGTGGGCATCGAGATGGGCATGGGGATGGGGATGGGGGTAGGGATATCGGTTCAACGATGCTGTCTCTTGGCATGGGCGGCCACTGTGTGCGTGGCCGACCTGTCGCAGCAGGGCGCCTCGAGGCAGCGCCAGTTCTCGGCACCCGGATCCCTCCCCGGGGCGACGAGCGGCCTCACTAGAGCGCCAACTATGGGGGAACCAAAAGGTACCAGGGCCCGGACACGCCCGACCCGCACACCCAACGTCCAACGGAACAAGTTTTAGATCGGGCATGTCCCCCTACAGGCGGATTTTGGACGAAAAATGCAAGATTGTCAAAATGTGCCTAGGTGAGGGAGCCCAGAAGCTGAGAAAATTGCCAAGAAACTCCCGTCGCTACTCTATTTCGCAGCGAAAGAAGGTGGCTTTCGGGTCATACGCTGCTGCCGGACAGTATCCGCAGCTGCGGATACTGTCCAGCAGCTGGATATATTCCGGGGGGGACAAACGAGGCCGACCGGAACCCCAAACCTCGAACCTCGAACCTCGAGGATGTGTGTGTGTATGTGTGTATGTGTGTTTGTGCGTGTTTATGTGTGTTGTGTTGTGTTGTGTTGTGTTGTGTTGTGTTGTGTTGTGTTGTGTTGTGTTGTGTTGTGTTGTGTTGTGTTGCGTCTGTGCGGCCCGGCCGCGCGTTCGCTCCCCTCGACCGTCTACGCCGCGCCACCGCGCGCGTTGCCGCAACGCCAAAAGTGTCACGACTTTCTACGCCTCGTCGCCGCGTGCGTGGCCGCGATTGCCCGACAACTATGTGTACGTGTTTACGTGGGTTTGTGTGTGCGTGTGTGTATGTGTGTACGTGTGTGTGTGTGTGTGTATTTGTGTTTGTGTGTGAATGTGTGTGTGGAGATGTCTGAGAAGGCGCGGCCAGCCCGGCGTCCGTGACACACAGCTCGTTGCGCTGCGTGTGCCCGGGAACCATGTGGCGCGGGCAGGCGTGCGTCGGCATTTCGCTGCAGGTCTGGCGTGGCCGGCAGCACACGTCCTCGTCCTCGGGGTGGGGGGGCAACGACAGGTGGGGACGTCTCGGGTTCGAGCTTCGAGATTTGCGGACGGTTTCGTCGGTTCCCGGAGGGTTTTTTTCCAGCCTCATGCCTGCCAGAAGCCGCGCCTTGCCGAGAGCACTCCCGGGGTGCCCGGATCGTCCCGAACGGCCGCTGGAGGCCCGAGCCCTGGCCCGACAACCACTCGGGCCTGGCGGGGGGGGGGGGAACATCATCTTAGCAGTGACGACGCGCGGGTGGATCACTCACCCTCGCGCCCAGCTCGGCGCGTCCGGGCGTCGCATCGAAGGTGATCGCCACTCGGAAGCTGCTCGCCAACATCAGAAACACTGTCAATCGGTTGCCATCCGTGGGCCCGCCCCTGGAAGGCGAGGCCTGTTGCCCAAGAGTGGCACCGTGAACTTCAAGAGCCCAGACACATGCGAATTGGCACGAATCCCAAAAGCTCCCATCTATGATTTTCCTTCCCTTCTCCCGGACGTTCCTGTTCCCAGCCGCTTCCCCTACTTTCGCACATTCGAGAGAGCGTGATCCACCGCCGCTCTACTGTGGAAAATTCCCTCCCCTCTTCCTCCTGCACCAAGGGGTTACCCCCCCCCGAACGCCCCCCCCCCCCCCACTCTGCTCGAACCCCCCCGCCCCCCCCCCCCTTCCCCGAGAAAACCCCCTTTTCCCGTAACCCCCTCCCCCCTCCGGAAAACCGGGGGCGGTCACTACTGGTTCGACCCCCCCCCCCCCCTCCAGAAAACCGAAGGGTTCACTAGCGGTTCGAAGCCCCCCCCCTCCTCCCCACTCACCGCCGGCAAACGACTCCCGGGTCCCCACCGTCCTCACTACCACCCTCACCGCTGTCCCTAGCACCACCGCCCCACCACGGCTGTCCCACCGTCCCCACTGTTCCCACCACTGTCCCCACTGTCCCACCAGTGCCCCCACCACTGTCGCACTGTCCCCACTGTCCCCACTGTCCCCACCACTGTTCCCACCACGGTCCCACTCTCCCCACTGTCCCCACCGCCCCCACCACTGTCGCACTGTCCCTACTGTCCCGCCAGCGCGCCGCGCCTCTCGCGCTCTCGCGCAGGTGGTAGGAGAGGGCAGCCGCGGCGGCCGCGGAGGAGGAAGAAGAGAGCCCTCAGACGCAGACGGGGTCGGCACAGGCAGGGGCCCGAATATCCCCCCACCTCCTCAGTGCCAAAAAATTACGGCGGGAGGTTGTTGGCACACTTCGGCCTCGATGGGGCCCTTGCTGGGCCACAGGACCGTCAAACAGCTACTCAGGAGGATCCCGAGGCCCGAGTCGCAAGGATACCGCTGTGGGTGCCAGCGCCGCACCTTCTCCCCTGCTTCCGCCTCGTGTAATCTACAAAAAATGCCATAGGACTTGGGTCCGGCATGTCCCCCTACAGGCGGATTTTGGGCGAAAATGCCCCCAAAAATAATCAAGCATAGTCAACAAAAAATAGTTCCCATACTATGTTTTGTCTATTTTGAAAGATTCCTCCTGTAGAGGGACACGCCCGACCGACTCAAGATTGGACGCGACAACGTGGTCCCCCGCAGGCCTGGACCCCTTCCCCGGGACCAGAGATCTCCGTCCCGGGCCGTTTTGTTGCGGTCCTTGGGGGCCCTGTGAGGGCCGCCCCCCCTCGGAGGCCGCAGGAAGATCGCAGCGAGAGGCAGCAGGGAAGGATGGAGGCAAAATGAGAGCGTCTGCACTTCTTGTGACAGTGGCCGTTGCCGGCCTTGGCCGCCCCCCGTCCCCCCGGGATAGCGTCAGGTATGAAAACTGCACGATACCCCAAACATGCGAAACAAAGTGTGCAAAATTGTCAAAAAATCGTCCCCAGACTTTTGAAGGGGAATATTTTTGAATCTTCCTCCTGTAGAGGGACGTGCCCGAATTAAGGATACCGGTGCGATCCAAGCTGAGTTCCGAGCTGGCATCTTGGCTATCCCTGAACAGCTCCAGACCGTGCAGGCGCAAGAGGTGAGGTTTCCGGCGCCCCGTCCCCCTGCCCCCCCCAAATCAAGACGAAGCCAGGACGAGGACAACATCGGATGAAGAGAAATCGTGAATCTCTGAATCCCCGCGGCTCTGGAGGATGTCTCGGGCGCCGCGGCCTTCTCAGAGGTTACTGGAACGCTCCGAGAGCGCTCTGGACAGCTCTGGAACGGATTGATCCCCGTCTTAGTCCCCCCCCCGGTGGAGAAGGACAATTTGCGAAGCACCGGAAAAAACTGTCCGACTCCTCAGTCGGCCCGTCGGCCCGTCGGGGAGTCGGCGGCCAGTCGGCCCGTCGGCCAGTCAGAGTCGGCCCAGGACGGGAGGGAATCGTTGAGGATGCCATGGCACTGGACACTTTAACACGATGGTTGAATTAAACATGTGTTTGAAATGTTTGAACAATTTTCACCGACATGCTTAACACATGCTTTCCACCTTTAAATCGTGTTCAACACATATTTTAAACATATGGACATGATTTGGCAACACGCTCCCTCTCCATTGATCGACTTCCACAAAGGAATCGACAGAGAATCCCGGTGTCCCAGAAATGCCCAAAAGCAGTGGGAGGAGGGGGAGGAGGAGGAGGGGGAGGAGGACGACGAGAAGGAGGAGGAGGAGGAGAAGGAGGAACAGGAGGAGGAGGAGGAGAAGGAGGATGAGGAAGAGGAGGGCGGGGCGGGGGAAAAGAGCTGCCGCGGCGGCGCACCAAGCGCGGGCCTCTCGCCGCCGGCCCCGGCTCCGCCCCGCGCCCCGGGCCACCCCGGCGCCACGGGCGCGGTTCCCGTCGGAGGCCCCTCCCCGCCCCCATCTGCCCCAGCCCCCTCCCCTGTCAACCTCCGCTCCTTCGAACACAGACATGCTCGCGTTGTAAAGAAATCAGGCCGTCCAGTTTTTCGATATGTTCAGCCCAGGGGCAAAAAACTGCTCAGGATGACAAATCGGTCCCAGGGCTGAAAGCTTCCGAACCTTCTGAGAAGGCCCGCCCCTTCTCACTGCCCCCCCTCGCTCGCCGCCGACTCTCTTCTGACGATCTACCGGACCACACCAACCGAATTAACCCGAAGACCCCGATTTCGGGATGGGAGGGGCAATCAGGGGTTAGCTACACATGCGCCCTTTTTCCCAAGCTCCCCGACGCCCCGCCCCACTGGGAATGGAGGGCGAGAAGGGGCCTTCGGGTTGGGGTGGGTTGGTTTCGTGGGTGGCTTGTTTGCCCCGGTGCGCAACGCGCGACACGTGGCGCATCGATGCGGAACTCAACACGTATACTGAACACGTAAGTATGACGCGGTACGCTCGCCAAAAGTTGGGTAAACACGCCGAACAAACACGCGACGTGTTTAAACGGACGTTTCAAGCACGGAGCGTGCTGCGTCCCAACACCGGCGTATCGAGGCAACTGACGTGGGTGGCGTTCTTCGACACCAGGCACATGCGATAGGACACATGTACGAAAACTATACAGTCGGACCTGGGCCAGGAGAGAACCCCTCAAGAACATGAGGCCCTCCACCAGCCAAAACCAACACACCATTCAAAGGTACCCTCCCCAGGAGGCACAATCATATCCAGAACATGTTTCCGTCAGCTGCTCGAATCGGGACAACCGGTGGGCAAATTGTGTGGCGTGCAAGAGAGAGCGGCGAAGACGAGGGCAGCCGCGCGAAGGATGGAGGCGGAGGGCGCTCAGACGTGGAGGAGTTCCGCAGCGAGCGGGCGGGAGCGGCCAGCCAGGGCAGCGGGGACCGCGGCAGCAGCTGGGGGGACCAGATCCAGAAAGCACAGAGCACGCGAGGGTACCCTCCCTGAGCCGACCTCGATCTTATGCACCAGGGTCCGACTTGTATGGCGCACCGCCTTCGTGGACTCCCTGAGCTCTTCGCAGGGGTGCCCCGAGAGGCTCCGCGGCCCCGTCCCGGGAGGCGAGAGGTGCTGCCGTAGGGGCGGCAGTGGGCAGGCACTGTTTTTCTTGTTCGGGGTGCCTGCTGTGGCCCCCTGCTCAGAGTTAAGAAGATTCGAGGCTAATCGGCGGCGAGCGAGGGGGGGAAGTGAGAAGGAGAAGGACTTCAGAAGGTGGTGGGACTTCTCAGAAGCCATCACACCTTTTGAAACGTTTTCTCTGCCTTCGGGGAAGGCTTAGAAAACTGCCCAAAGTCTGGAGAACTCCCGGGCCTTCTGAGAAAGCCCGCCCGTCTCACTCCCCCCCGTGCTCGACGCCGAGCTGAGAAAATCGGCTTCGCTCCCAGCGTTGTCAACAGCAGTCCAGGTCCAGACAAGCAAGAAGACCCCACAAAGACAAGAAGCTCCAAGAATAGGCTCTGCGGGTCCAAGCCCAGATGCTTGATTCCCTCTGAGCGACATCTGGAGCCCACGAAAGTTGCTACGCTGCTTCTCGAGACTGCTGAGCGCAGCCCCCCTTGGCCCCCGCCTTCCCTCACCGCCCACGGCGGGGCACTGCCGCCGCGCACCCGGGAGGGCAGGCTGCTGCCACTCCTCCGATTCCCGAGGCTCGGCGGTCGGCGGTCGGCGTCCTCCTGCCGGCACACATCCGTCGCGCACTCGACGTTGAGAGCGTCGTGCCGCCGGATGGTTCCTCACGGCCGACGGACGGAGCAGGAGGAAGGCGAGGGCGACGAGGGCGAACTCGAGGACGACGAGGAGTGCGAGGGCGAGGCGGGCGACCAGCAGGAGGAAGAGGTTCAGGGTAAACCAAGGATGCGCCAAAGGATGCTGCAGCACTTCCTCTCGTCCCAAGTACCTGCTGCATTGGTCTTGGCGAGCGCTCCTGCCCACATTGTGGGGCTGTGGCAGCGACCCCCTTGGAAGACAAGCGCACTTGGCTGGCAGTCCACCGAGAGGCGCGGTCGTGAGAAGGATCCGCTCGAAATCCTTCCAGCTGGAAGATATGCAAAGATCCCAGACCTCCTCGCGTTGTGAACAAGAAGCACGAAGGGACATGTTTCACTATGTTCGGCATCCAAAGGCCCTCGCCGGGCCCCGGGACCAGACCTACTCAGGATGAAGAACCCGGCCCGGGGAATGGGTCGAGACCTCTGAGGGTGGACGTTGTGAAACAATCACGACGCCGGGGGTGTGGGATGGAGTTCCAAACAACTGGGCAGCGGCAGCGGCGCTTTGAAAAAGGCGCAGCATCCCTCCGTACACCTGTGTGGCGCAAGCGAAGGTGGTCGTGAATTTGTTTGGTCGGCGGCGAGCTGGGTCGACCCAGCGGTCGGGCTGACGGCGGGACGCGTCCGTCGCGACTTACGGCGAGAAGCACAGTCTAGAATGGAGAAGGAAGCCGCCGCGGAACGGCTGGAGAGCTTTCAGACCATGCAGACCTTCAAGGTATCCGAGGTGAGACGATGACAGGGGGCTCGGCACTCGAATTAAATTAAAGATAGTCCCATGCGAGAATGCGATTGTGGCATACATTGTGAGAACATCCCGCGCGATACAAGTTAACATAAATTGCGAAGGAGTATCCTGCGGGAGCCATTGTTGTCGTAGTCTGAGGGGGCAAAAGATTTGCCCTTAAAAATAAACAACATGCCGTCCCCGGGAAGGAAACTGGAATTGAAACACGCATGGTGCAGCAAAGAAGGGGAAACAACCTCGGGGGGACAAGACTCCAGACCGCAGATCCCCACTTCAGCCACGCACCCGGGGACAGTGCGAGACCGTTCGGCCCCCTCACTCTGATCGTAAAGGCGCGGCGCGGGAAGAGCAGGCGGAGGATGCTGGATATGCAATGCATAAAGCACCGAAAGGAAAGACCCGCGCTCAGCATGCAGGCAAGTCATCGCGTAGGAACTATGCGACCACGGCCACAATTTGCAAGATTTGAACTCGAACGATCTTCCAAATCTACCCGGACGCCCACTTAATGGTACTCGCCAATCATATTGTGGACGACCGACCTCCTGCCCGAGACAAGCCGAGACAAGTAGGTGCTAAAGCTCCACTTGAATTGGCAATGCCTCGATGCCCGGCCGCTTGCCGGTGATGCCACATGCGAAGATGGCAATGGTTAAAACTATCATGGCAATAGCGTGTTAAGAGGTGCAGGGAGGAGCGAAGAAGCATAGGAGGAAAAGGTTGTTAGCCAACGGGTTAAACGATTCACACGTCAATATGCATACTGTCTGGTCCATGATTAGGTGGACAGGCTCGCGGCTGCGAACAAAACAATAAGCTGAATGTGGGGCCGAGGTTGACCGGCAATATGTTGCTGCATCCTGCCACTACTCCGCTCGCCCCGAAACTACCTCGCATCTTGCCTTGTACTGCCTCGCCTCGTTGCTTACCTCGAAGGCTCTGGACGCTCATGGGATCACGACAACCCAGCTTCTGCAGGCGAGAAACCTGCATGACTCAGAGGCGCGCGCGGAGGGGCAGCACGGACCGAGACTTGTTCTGATATGACGATGAAGCGGTGAGGCAGAGAAGAAGAGAGACTGATGGAAGGGGAGGGGAGGGGGTACAGGAATTACAGGGACCACATGCCAAGACGATGGTGGAACGTCAGGGCATCATGAGAGGGGTGAGCCCAACGTCCAGCGTGATGTTTTCGGCACCCTCTCCTAACCCGAGACACTCTGCCATCTACATTCTCCAACAGGCTGCACTCACTTTTGAACCACTCGGACTACGATGCAAGCGGGGAAGGGAGAGGGTCGGAAGAAGTCCAATGGGGCAATCGAACTCGAAGGTGGAACACCTCGCGCGCAGGTGGCAGCACTCGTGGGCGGAGCACTTGTCCCCCAGGCCGTTGTTGCAGATGTAGTCGCCTGCGGGCTCTCGGTTTACCCTCGCGCGACCCGGTTCACATGCTAGCGGCACGCCGCCCTGGCGTTATCTCGGAGGATGCGGGCCCTCTCGGGAGCTCCCTGGTTGCTCCTTCGGGACCCCTTCGGGCCTGCTGGCCTCTTGGGGCCCTCTTGGAGCATTTAGGCCGCCGTCGAGACGTCCTGGGGCGAACTCTGGGGCCGTGTTGGTCCGTCTTATGGGGCCGTCAGGGCTGCCTCGACGACTCGCAAGAGCCCCGTGGAGCATCTTGGGACAGTCCTGCTTGGAACTACTTGAAGCTGCAAATAAAAGTTCGTCAAACAGGCATGATTCACTAGACATAGGTTTATACTTTTCGGCGATGGCCGGGGCTATCCGATGGGGGGGGAGGTGCTGGCCGATATTCGAACCTTTCCGTTTTGGGCAGCCCCACGCATGCCCGCGCGAATCAGCACTGCACCCCCCTTCGGACCTTTTCACAGCCAAGAAACAGGCTATCCAGGGGAGGGGATGAGGGTGGGGGAGGGGGGCGATAATCGCCAGACCCTTCAATGAGGAGAACAATTATCGTCGGCCTGTCGGCGACGGCCCACCCCGATGTCCAGGGCAGCGAGTGGCACGACCAGATGGGCGCAGGCAGATTGGCGACGGCTGGCCCCGACGCCCAGGACCAGTGGAGGCGGGAACCTATGGGAGGGACCTGGTGGGCTACTGCAAACCCAAGCACCCTGGGCAACTAAGGGCGGGCCCCTTTGCGCAGCGGCAGGGCCCCACACACAGGGCACTGAAGGGCCGCACTTTACGGGCAGGACTTTGCCAGGAAGCTGGGAACACACGTGGCTGGATGCTCATGAGGAACATCTGAAGGCTACGGGCAGGATGCACACGTGGAGGCCAGGCTTGCGCGGCCAATCTAAGGCCGATCGCTGGAGAGGCGTGTGGCCACATGTGTATCCGGTTCTCGCCCAGACCGGCCGCGTCCTGCATATCGATCTTCCTGGCAGATAGTCGACAGCCAATGCTGACACCCAAGGCCACTGAGCCTGGGCCTCTGTGGGCGACGGCCACCCGCGACAGCCAGGGCAACTGAGGCGAGACCCTGTCGGCTGGACCGATACCGCTATTCCCCGGACCTCTACAAGGCCGCGTCCTGAACAGGATTCCGAGCCGAATCTAACGGTAGCGACGAGGGCCTCCCAAAGACCCCAAAAAGGCGGGAAAGCGAGAAAAGTGTTGCGAAATGGGTAACTGTGCCTCCTCTGACTTTTGCGGGGTGGACCCAGACCCCCGACGTCATGTTTTCTCAAAACGTCGACCCCGACCCATTCCCCTGGACCGGTTTTCCACCCTGAATCGTTTTTTGACCCTCCCGAGGGCAGGTAAGGGCCTCTGGAGGCCGGAAATTAGAAAAAAAAACTCCCGTCACGATTTTTTCATTACCCGAGGGGGTCTGGGACAGCAGCCCCGACCCCGTACGGGCGCGACCCTGTGAGCAGGACCCCGCGGTGGACGGCCACCCTCCACACACCAACGGGCGGCACCCACCACCCAGGGGCGCCCACGCGACACGCCGGGTAACCACAAGGAACGCGACCCTGCGGGCGGGATCACGTGTGGGCGACGACCAGTCCCGACCAACCCAGGCACCCCGGACAATTACCCATCGGTCGGAAGAAGTAGGTAGAAACGTGAAGTAGGAAGGCGTCGGAAGTAGATTGGGTGTCCGCCCGCCCCAGAAGGAGGACGGAGCAGGTGAAGCCACCCAATCATTGAAGTCGGAAGGCGCTGAAGGTAGATTGGAACCTGGGTCCCAAAAATAAGACTCTCAACGACCGACGGGTACGGGTGGCGACCCTGTGTGGGACCCTGGGGCCACCAGGAACGTCGACACCGATGCCCAGGACAGGAGAGGGCGTTAGGGCGTCGATCGAATGCAGGACAGGTCCAGGACAACATGGGGTCCCGAGGCGACGAATGGCAGGTACAGGACAGCATGGGCGACGGCCGTATTTTGAACCTGGAGCAACTCGGGCATGACCATGTCGGCGACGACCAACCCCGACTTCCAGGACACAGAAGTGTGGGCTCCTATCATAGTGACCCTGAGGGAAGACGGCCCGTACCACGGCGTCCGAAGCAGGCGAACACATAACGACCCCTCTAAGGCTTGAAGACCTCGCCCAGACTTGCACATCCCAGCAACAACAGAACAACAGCTCCTGACGCAAGTCGTAACCTCTCATGGCAAGTATCGTTCGGGGAGCAACGTCAGTACACAACGCCTCCCACATGAACCAGCATGTGTGGGTTCCATTGTGGGGTCCAGGCGGGGCCTGATGCCTCCCCTCGCATGCCTGAACTAGCGGCCCAACCCTCACATGCCTCAAAGAGGCACGACTGCGATACAAAACGCCAACTATCGCAGCGCACTATAAAGCCCCTGTCTCTGGCTCGGCGGACAGATTCCGAAGACGTCAATCAAGTCAAGATCTGGAACTGGCACACATAGATCACTACAAGCCAATGAAATTCAACGACTTGTCACGAGTAGAGATTCAGGCATCATACAACGTCTGAATGCTGACGCGTGAATACGCGACCAAGACTACTTCACACATACAATCAACTGGCACATATACAAAATTCGCCGGCCCAACGGGCCAGCGGCGTGCTAAGATCTCCGGTATCTACTTAACAATATTTCTAGTTCGCTCGCGCAGGGCGGCCCCTGGGAGGCCCCGGACAAAAAATACCCCGGCTGATCCCCGGCCGGGTCCCGGGCGATCCCCAGGGGGGAGGCTATTCTTCGCCACCCCTCACGAGGATCGTGGCCTCCGAGGGGGGGGCTGCAATCGACTACCCCCCTCCCGCCCCAAGGGGCCCCCAAGAGCCCCCCAAGAGGCCCCGGGGGAGCCCGATACGCCGCCAAGGAGCCCCAAGACGCTCCCAAGAAGCCCCCAAGACGGCCCCAAGAGGCCCCAAATAGCGCTCCAGGGCCGGCGGAATGAGCGAAGCGATTACATAACCAAATCCTGAAACAACCCGTACGCTTGTATGACAAGTGTCGCTGGAAGCGTGATCACATGCGACCCCTGGCAGTCATTGTAAAACAACGGCCATCATACATTTCAGGACGGATTTGCCTTTACGCTGCCAAGCGGGCGAGGTAGAATGCTGTTCATCCTGCATCGGTATGATCTCCATCCCTAACAATGACCAGACGGTCTTATAAGGAATCGCCATCATTGAGAATGGCATGAACCAAAATTCGCGATGCAATTCGGCGGGCTCGCGTTCGATGACGAGCCGTAAAGTCAAACAAACGCCCAAACTGTTAGAAGGACTTGCAACCAATGATGGCACGGATGTCTCTGAGACCTCTTGTTAGCAGCGATTCATTCGAGACTCGCCCATCTTTTGTCGACGGAGCTCAACTCAGGGTAACCATTACTATCTTGCAAGGGTCATTCATCTTCCATTATTGTCCTACTTGGCATGGACTTTTCCTTGCACTAAGTTTGAATACTTTGTTGACTGCCTCCAGGCCCAGAAAGAGCCCCATGAGCATAAATACAAAAGCGAATCTTCAGGATGGCCCACCCGCTCTTTTCGACGGTGGTGCTCGTGAGGGGGCGCACCCGACTTAGCAAACGATGTCGCACAGGGAGGTGAGACCCATCACCCCGTAGATGCGCACGTCTTCTGGCCGCGTCAAGAGCTGTCGTCAGTTGAACTCTGGGCCGACAGTGCCGGCCAAGCAACATCGGATCTGCGCACTTCAGGGGCCTCAACAAGGGCGCACAGCCCAACAAAGAATGGGCATTACATGTATTCTAGGGATCGACGACGCCCGAACACGCACTCGAGCAATGCCAACTCCCTGGGCCAATTTCCGAAGAAAGCCAATTGACACAACGGTCACCCGCCCGGCCCACATCCGCTCAAACCCGGTCCCAGGACCCCTTGCCCAGGGTCCATCCCAACACGTATTCGGAAGCGGATCCAGCCGCGGCGACGCGAAACCGTCGTGCACAAGCAGGACGACATGCGGCAAGGAGGGCCGCTGTTGTCTCGACTCCTGTGGCCCACCTCTGACATTCGCCACTGCCGCCGCCTCCGAGCACTCGGAGGGGGGGGGGCGGCGGGTCCCGCCGTCGTGCCGCACGACCTCGTTGCCGGGGCACATAGCGGGGTCGAACCGCCCGCACGTCGCCTGGCAGCACGCCTTCGCGGCGGGGGGGGGCTCTGCGGCACTGGGCTAGAGCGCGCGCCGTCGCCGCCGCTATCGCAGCGACGCCGCCGCAGACGCCGCCGTCACCCCGTCGCCTCCGTCGACGTCGTCGACGCCGTCGCCGCGGCCGTCGTCGACGCCGCCGCCCGCCGTTGTCGATGTCGTCGACACCTCGCCGCCGCCGTCCGCCCCGCTGCCGTCGCCGTCGTCCCCGCCGCCGTCGCCGCCGTCGCCGTCGTCACCGTCGTCGCCGCCGCCACAGACGCCGCCGTCACCCCGTCGCCTCCGTCGACGTCGTCGTCGTCGACGCCGCCGCCCGCCGCCGTCGTCGACGCCGCCGCCCGCCGTCGCCCGTCGTCGCCGCCTCGCCGTGGTCCCCGCCGCCGTCGCCGCAGTCGCCGTCGTCGCCGCCGCCGTCGTCGCCCTCCTCGCCGTCGGCGCCGCCGCCATCGTCGCGGGCCCGCTGCCAAGAATGATATGGGGAGGGCGGCAGGAGGGAAGGGATGGGGGGACCTGGAGCAGGGGGGCGGACATGGGGAGAAAAGAGGGGGGGAGGAGGGAAGGATGGATGGAGACGCCCCCCACTGGGCTGGCATGTTGAAGCTTCGGGCTGTTCTCGGAAACACATGGGCCAAGAAGCTGGGGCTGGCAACCGTCGGCGCCCTCCGCTGTGCCCATCCAGAGAGTACCGGGCCCGTCCAGAGCACGGCTGCGGACGAGGAACAGGAGGAGGAGGAAGAAGGAGCAGGAGGATGAGGAGGGGGGAGCAGCAGGAAGAGGAGGAGGAGCAGGAGACGGAGAAGGAGGAGCAGGAGGAGGAAGGGCGACCTTATTCCCCGCCGAAAGGAACAAGGGGGGTACTTCAAACTAAAGACCTCCCTCGGTCTCCCTTGGTCCAGACCCCTCTCGCGCACCACTTCTTCACGACACAGGAAAAGGGAACGGCACCGGCAAATGTTCGTGGGGGGCGGCAGTGGAGTTGGGAATCTTGTGACGCTGGCCGACGTCCCTGCCGTTTTTGTATCCTGCCCTGCTCTTCTGCTTGACGGGATGGAGCGCCGCCCCCTTTCCCCCTCTGATGGGCCACGTTTTGCGGACTGGGCCGGCTTATGTAACGGGGAGCAGACAAAACTCACCTCCACAAGCGACACCTACAAAGATCTGAAATATTCCTGGGTGCAGGAAACAAGCGCTTCCATGCAAGAGACAACGCGCGTCCACGTGGAAAGCACTAACATCAACGCTGCGACACTCGCATGGAAAACGCAGGCTCAGCTGGAAAGCACGGAGGCACACTCAATTGAAACAAATGACGACCAGTCAACGCGGGAAACTCCATGTTGAGGAAACAAGCCCTCGACACATTGAAAACAAACCTGCAGATAACAGGCGTGTTCTGAGCGCCGGGAAGCATCAACAAAAACGAACCGGTACATCCGCACGCCAGGCCAGGAACTCTGGAAGGGCGCAATCCGCCTGGAATGGGCGCCGCTGAGAGGCGGCCATGGGATCTGAACTGGTTGGGAGCCCAGAAAATCGGCCACAAGAGTGGTGGCAGTCAGATCCGCTCAAGATCGCTCCCCAGACCCCTCTCGGGGTCCACCTGGAGTAGCTTTTCGCCCCAGATCCGTTCCTGGCGGTCCTGGGGGCCCCAAAACCGCCCACCACTGGGATCGGGGCGCGGGTTGCTCAGGGGATTAGGGGGTATCAGTGGACGCCGAAGAGGTCATACCTGGCCTGACCTCAACTGGCTTCGAGGGATTAGACAACCCCACCAAGTGGGCGGAGCTCACTTAGCCTGGATCGCAATCCCCCCCGAGCCACTTGGGGCATCAGCGGCATTAGCAATCCACTCATGAGCTAAGTTAGGCCAGGTATAACCCACCTCGGCGTCCACAGATAAGACCTCTATCCCCTCAGCATTAGGTCGGGCATGTCCTCAGGCGAATGTTGACCGAAGAATTCAACATGTGATAAGAAAGCAAAAAACTACCAACGACACTCAAAACATCGTCCCTAGACTATTGTTTGACTATTCTTGAATTTCCCCCATGTAGAGGGACACGCCCGACTTGCCCTTAGCAACCCCCGCGCCAATCCTGGCAGGCTCCAATGTGCTGGCCTCCTCGGGAGCGCGCCAAGGGGCGGCCGCTGCTGCCCGCGCCGCGGGCTGCCGCCTCCTGGTCGGCCTCCTCGGTGCACACGTCCAGCGCGCACGGCACTTCCGCGGCGTCCAGCCGTACCGCCATCCTGGGCCCGAGACCCCCTCGCCTTCAGAAAAAAAACACGGCGGCGGGTTTCGATCATTTCGAGCCAGGCGCTGTTCTGCCCGGCTTCGGGCCCCGGGGCCCTCTCACATCGACCTGGCTCGAAAAATGGCGCAGGAAGATGCAGTCTGGGGCTAGAGAGGCCTCCTAGATGGGGTCCCAGCAGATGGGGTCGGAGGATCTATCCGCATCGCCAATGCATCGGCCATGCATCGGCGATGCATCTGCGACGTCGGCGATGCGTCGGCGACGTCAGCGTGGGAAAAATCGGGCTCCACCTCGAGCCGCATCGTCGATGCATCAGGGATGCGGCGTGATCCTCAGACCCCATCCGCTCGGACCCCATCTACCCAGACCCCCGACGTCATGATTTTGTCATAACGTCGACCCTCAGAGATCTCGACCCTTTCCCCTGGACCAGCTTTCCATCGTGAGTCGTTTTTTTGACGGCCCCGAAAGCCGGTAAGGGACTCCAAGGGAAAAAAATAGGAAAAGCCTCCCGTCGTGATTTGTTCACTACCGATGAGCCACGAAGGCCACAGAGGAGCCCTCTAAGGCTGCACCCAGACCCCCCGGGCCAACCCTCCTACCCAGACCCACTCGAGCCATGGCAAAAACAAAATAAGAAGGTGGTCTGTACTTTTTACCTCTGTGGGCCCTTACCGGACCTCGGGGCCGTCGAACAACATATCGGGATGAACAACTGGTCCCCGAGAATGGTTTGAGACCTCTGGGGGTCGATGTTATCAGGACATGATTGGCCCACGAATCGGGAAAGGGATTTAGACACGCGAGGCACTGTTACGTGTTCAAGACATCTGATTGGGCGGCAATGCTGAAGATGCCACACGTGATGTAATGTGCCAAGGATTGTGCTCTGGTGTGCCGTGCTGAAATCAGATGCGCAATGCCGCGATGCTGGAATCAGATACGCTGTGCTGTAGAGCTGTGGATCACTGCACCAAGGGACTTGTCAAGGGACGTCGCAAGAGACGCGCCACGGAACGGGCAGGGACAGCGGCAAGGAGACCGCTTTGGCGCGTTAGCAACCCACGTGCTTTCACGCTTCTCCCGCTCTGGGGCGTTAGGAACCCACGTGTTTTCACGCTAGTCACGCTAGGAGGCGTTAGGAACCCATGAGGTTCATTTGCGCTGTTAGGAACCACGTGTTTTCAGGTTTGCCCCGCTATGGGACCTTAGGAGCCTACGTATCTTCACGCTTGACGCCCTCTGGGACGTTAGGAACCCATGATTTTAATATTGTCCCGCCCTGGGGCGTTAGAAACTCGCGTGGTTTCACCCTTGCCCTGATCTGGGGCGTACAGAGCCCTAATGGTTTCACGCGTGTCCCGCTCGGGGACGTTAGGAATCCAAGTGATGTCGTGCTGTTCCCGCCCTGGGGCATTAGGAACCCCGTGTGGTAACGTTTGTCCCGCTCTGGGGCGTTAGGAGCCCACGTGTCTTCACGCTTGACGCCCTCTGGGACGTTAGGAACCTGCTCTTTTTCATGGTTGTCCAGCCCTGGGGCGTTAGAAACCCATGTGTGTTCGCGTTTGTCCCCCTCCGGGGCGTTAGGAACCCATGCGTTTTCATGCTTGTCCCGTTCCGGGGCGTTAGGAATCCAAGTGCTTTCACGCGTGTCCCGCTCCGGAGCGTCAGGAACCCATCTATTCTCACGTGGTCTCGCTTCGGGGTGTTAGGAAGCATTGTTTTGTTCATGCCAATCCCGATCTGGGGCGTTAGGAACCCATGTGTGTTCACGTTTGTCCCGCCCTGGGGCATTAAGAACCCACGCGTTTTCACGGTTGCGCTGCTCTGGGGCGTTGGGAACCCCGCTCTGGGGCGTTGGGAACCCATGTCTTCTCACCTCGTCCCGCTCTGGGGCGTTGGGAACCTTTGTTTTTCCATGCTAATCCAGCTCTGGGGCGGTAGGAACCCATGTGTATTCAGGAAAAGGCTCTCGGGTGTCTCTGAAAGCATCGCAGCACCGCTGCAACGCGATTGCCAGGTGCGCAGCTGGCGCATTGGTAGGCGTGGACGCAAGACTGTCGTTCGTGGACTCACCCCATCCAGAACGTCGAGCTACGGCGCTGCAACCGATATTGCTCAGCTGCGGTTGTGCACATCACTGGATACATATACACGCGTATGCAAGTGGGTGGGCACGCGCTTTTTTGTGTACACACATATATAAACACACACACGCGCACCTACATTTTTAATATATATATATATATATATAGAAAGAAAGACAGAAAGAAAGACAGAAAGAGAGAGAGAGAGAGAGGGCTGCGTGTGTATATACACATATCGGTATATGTACTGAACAAATGTGTCTACGCGATCGAAGACACCTACGGCGAATCACCGCCACCCCCTGCCTTCTGAACGGGCCTACGTGACCGAATATTGTGGCCATAATTCAGCCAAACTATCGGGCGGCACGTGGGGGATAACGAAGAAGATGAGGAGAAATCTCTTCGAGCTTTCCTGAAGGCTCTCTCGGAAAGCCTCTTGGGGGCCTCTCGGATCACCAGGAACTGTCATGGGGCTATGTTCGGTGCATCTTGGGCCGTGTTGGACACCTCGCGCGGCTACATTGTGCTTTCGTGGGGCGACCTTAGACGTCTAGGAGACATTAGGAGGCCATTCTCAACCATCTTGGTGCGGGAACACGTAACCTAGGAAGTTTACAGGTCCGTGTCGGGTGCCTTGGAGGCCATCTTGGGGCCGTCAGCAGGGGGGAGACAGATGAACTGGGAAGTGTATGGGCCCTTCTGGGTGGCTGGCGGGATCGGCAAAACGCCCACTGGGAAGTTCAACGAAACAGCTGAGACAACTAACTGATGTTGGCCTCCTGGAGGTCCTCTTGGAACCCTCTTGGGGCATTTGTGGAACAATCTTGGGCAATATGTGAGCACTTTGGCTATCTTGGGTGCATCTCGGGCCGTCTTGGGGACACGTGGTGTTATCTGGAGCTCCCTTGGGGATCGTGGATACGATACTTTCCAGCTTTCCCCCGTCTGGCGTGTCCTTGCTGGTCCTTGCGTGCCCTTCTGGGTGGCTGGCGGGTAGGGCCGAAAACCCTTGGGACCCTTCAAATACAACCAACATCTACCTAACGTCTGGCACGCCGTGCACTCCTGTGGCAAGCCACAGGGGACGGCGGATATGTGTAAGATACCCCTTCGGTTGAAGAATGAGGTTTGGAATATGGGCGCAACCTGCGGCTTGAGTTGTTATGCGTCAGGTTTGCAGTCTATGTGCTCTAGGTGTGCACGCCTCTACCGATACACGGGCCGACATGTCAATGTACTTACTCATCTTCTTAGATACCTGACTGTCATGGTCCCTGTAGCCGAGCTACCGGTAAAGCCACCTGCCCGCTAAACAGAATCGATTTCTGGGCGCTCCTGGATGCTCCTGGGCGCTCCGCTCCAGGAGCTTCCTGCGCGACTCGTCCAGTGGACACGGTGTTTCCTGAGCCATCTTGGAGCCCTCCTGGGCGCCTCTTGGGCCGTCTTGGAGGCTCCGGGAGCCGACACAACATGTTTCAATGATGTTAGCCTGCTCGCCGTTTCAGTTTGGGCAATGCGCAGGCGAGCCCGAGAAGCCGTAAATATCGACCCAAGCACGGCTTCGGAGCCCCGTGAGGGGCCGCAGCTCGCCCGAGCCCCGCCCCTCGAGCCCCCTTCCACCAGAATGCCTCCCTGGGCTTCGGGCCAGCCCGAGCTCCTGGCTGGGCAGCTGTCGTTGTAGCTGGCGCAGTTGGAAATGCTCCGACAGCACACTTTGTCGTCGTCCTTCGGGCTCGGCCAGGTGGTGGGGGGGTCGCAGCAAAGGGACGGGTAGGTGTGATGTGGGGGGGGGGGGCGAGGAAGGCGACGAGGGGGCTGCAGAGGAGGGAGGGAAAGAAAGTGCGATGTGAGGAGGTGAGGGGGGGGGCAGGCCGAGAGGTGCAGAAGTGGGGGACGGGAGTGGACATACTCGAGTAGAGAATCGTCTACATAATGGTTTTACCCAAAAGCTGTTTTTTTCTCGTCGAGTCCTACGCAGCATCTTCGTAGATCTACAACCATAACATGTTGCTTTTGTGCCTCATGAGTTCGACGAACTCATCAAGTTTGGGGTACACAAATTCTGTAGACTATCCCATACCCGAAATGAATAGACGGGGGAGGGTGCAGCGGGCTTGGCCGATGGGGCGGCGTGGCGCGGCCAGCTTGGAGCGGGCCCACTGCGCCCAGTAAGAAGAAGGGGAGGAGCGGGGGGAGGGTGGGGAAGGGAAGGGAGACGGGGGGGCAAGGAGAGCAGGAGACGGGAAGGGGGGATGGGAAGGGGCAAAGAAGACGAGAAACAAGAAGAGGATACATAATGATAATAGTATGAATAATAGCGGAAATCAAGTTCAACAAATAATACGAACAGTAACAATAATAACAACACGTATCATAACAAACATACTACTAACCCCATCAAAAGACACATAAGAAGACGAAGAAACAGACGACGGAACGTTCTGCTGAGAAGCAGCGGCGGGCCATGCCCCATGGCGCACGGGAGCGCGCCGGAGCAGACCGAGTGCGACGAGCATTGTGGATGCATACCCAGTAATACAGCAACTTTGGGGGGAAAGAGGCTGGGGGGCTGGAAAATGGGAAAGGAAGAGAAGGGCCACGGGGGCGGGTACGGAGAGACGGATGGGGAGGCGGACGGTAGACTCGCAAGAGGGTGCACGTGGAAGGACCAGGAGCAGCCCGAACGGCGAGCTGGCCAGACCGGGCTGCAGCAGGGGGGAACGCAGGTGTGCTGGGCGGCACGGTGCCAGTACCCGCTTAGACGTTCTGGAGCGTGGCGGATAAAAGTGTACTGGGCTGGCAACTTGCCAGAGGCACCTGGGTATTGACCCTGAAGCTCCGATGACTACCTGCATGGTGACCGCCGCTCACCCTCCCCCCAACCGTCCCCGCCAACTCTCCACCAAGGCGCCAGCCCGGAACGTGAGGCTGGCCCACGTGTGCAGCGCGTGGGAGACGATGCACGCTGGGCAGGTTCTCAATCGTCGGCAGTGGCAACTGGGGATCCTGCGAAGGCGACGAGGGCGTCCCAGGAGGCCCCAACGGGCGACAACGAGGGACGGGTAGCGGCATCGGTACCTTTCCCTTTTCGGAGGGGACGGAAACGGGGAAAGAGAGAGAGAGAGAGAGAGAGCGCGGCGCGAAAGGGGAACGAGAACGGGCGGAAACTGGGCGATGTCTACCGGCCCAGTCGCCGTGCGATGGCCACGCGCCGGCTCCTGCTCGCAGCCGCAGGCGTTGCACATGACGTCGGCCGCGTCGTGCCGCAGGGTCTTGTGCTCGGGGCAGGTGCCGGGGAAGGTGTCGCATCTGGCCTCTCGGGGCAGGAGGAGGCAGTGGGATCCCCAACCCCTCTGGTTCCCAAACAATCGCGACGGGAGGCAATCATAGGCCTCAAGGGAACCCTCATTGGAATGAAAAACAACCGGTCCCGAAGAAGAGGTCCAGATCTCCTCGGGCCCACGATGCGAGAAAATCATGACGCCGGAGCATTGAGGAGTAGAAAGGGGCAAGCCCGCGGGGAAGGGAGGCCGCAGGACGTCCTGGGCTTTGTTTCTCCAATGAGCCAACCAGAGTTTGAAAACCTGCTAGTCCGCGCGTGGCCCCAATGTCCAGCATCTTCTAATCCTTATGAACGACTTGCCAACTGTATCGTGAATTCAACGGCCTCGTCGAGAAGTTCAGGGTTCTGGAGGGGGGAGGTTCTCCTGGCTTTCTGGGCAACCTGCATGGCCGATGTTCACGCCCTTTGTCTGCCACTCTGCTTGACTGTGACCCGAAGCCTTCGAAGTTCTGCTCGGCCTATGCCTGTACTACTACTGTCCTGCCTTGTCTTCGTGGTGGTATGCTCTCGCGCATGCTGAAGTGTTCCTTTCGGCGCGAGCGGACGGACACGCTGCGGCCATAGTGGGCCAAAACCACGGCAAAACGTCAAAACGAGGAAAGGGAGGAACTGGAGGAAGCGAAATCAGGGGACGAGCGCGAGGAGGGGATGATCCTCCTCGACGCCGCAGCCAGAGGGCGCCGCTGGAGGCGGCGCCATGGTGCTGAGACCGCCCCAGGGGTTCTCGGGGGGGGTCTGTGGAGGCCAGCTGGGGACTACTTGGGTGGGGGGGGCTGCTCGTGCCCAGCCCGAAGCCTCACCATCCTGAGCCATCCTCCCTGTCCAGGAGCGCAGACACCAGAGTTGGGTCGGGCATGTCCCCCACAGGCGGGTTGTGGACGAGAAAACCAAGTCCCCCAACAAAATCAGACATAGCAACAAACAGAAATGCTCCAAACACCGCCCCCCGACTATTTCTGACTACTCTCGAATCTTCCTCCTGTAGAGGGACATGCCCGACTTAACCTTAGCCCTCCCTGTCCAGGAGCGCAGACACCAACAGGGGGACACCCGCGCGCAGGGGCCGAAGGAGGCGACGTTCGGCGCCGGCAGGATCTGCAAGGGGAGAGCACGCGCCTTCGGGGCGCAGCACGCACCGTAGTCGTCCTTCGTGCATACGTCGAGGAGGCACTCCAACCTGCTCGCTTTGAGGCTCAACGCCTGCCCGTCGGGGCACGGGAAGTCGTACGTGTCGCACATCGCTTTGGGCCTCCGCGGCCATCAGAACAAGACGAAGAGACAACTGCACAGACATGCCACCACTGCAGCACATGACAACAAAGAGCTTTACAATCTGGCGGGAAGACGGGCATAGACGGAGACGCCTTGCCCGAAATTGGAAACGCTTGGGGACAACGGAAGACAACGGGAGACGATGGCGCCCCACCGATTCCAGGTCCAAAGTACCTGTTGAGGGAATCGACTTTCAAAGGTCCGCGCGGATGTTTTGAATCGGAACCTCCATGTCGCGCGGCGCCGGAGGCTCCATTCACCAAAGCGGCCCAGCGCAGATTCAAGACTTCCGCGCGGAGATCAAACGATTTATGATGATGCCGTCGCTACCAGCCTCCCCCATGGGGTCCGAGTAGATTGGGTCGGAGGATCGCGCCGCATCGACGGTACGTCGGCGATGCATCGGCGATGCACCATGGATACATTGCCGACGCGGCGACGCATCCGCGACGCCAGCAAAGAAAACGTCGGGCTAGACATCGAGCCGCATCGCCGATGCATCGGCGATGCCGCGCGATCCCCCGACAGCATCTACTCGAACCCTGTCTGCGAGGCCTATGGTCAAGAACTTCCGTTTAGCGTGTCGCCGCGGCGGCCCCAGCAACGCGCCACGCCCTGCGAGCGGATAGCGCGACGCTCCGCCCCGCGGGCCGACAAGCTGGGAGGGGCTCGGGACTTCACGCGTGTCGCGCCGAAGCGTGGTGGGCCAGAACTGGCGGCCCGACGCGCAATCCGAACATCCCGACCGTGGCGGGTTGTCTCGGGGCCCGTCCGGCGCAAACCCCCTGGCCGCCTTTCAGGCCAGGGCCACACTGTGCAGCACCCCAAGTAGCGGTAAACCCTGGGCCACGTGCAAGCCCGCCGCAGCCCGACTCAAGGCCAGCTCTAGCTCGGATGCAGCCACAAAAAATCCCGACCGTGGCGTCTTCGCCCTTCTCCGAAGAGCGAAATCCGCCCGTCGTTTCGCTTCGCTTCGCTGTAGCGGAGGAGCGGAGAGCGCGTCACTGCCGCGCGCCCGAAAACGCAGCGCGGCGTCGGCCGCCGCAACGCAGGCGCCTCAGACCTGGGAAGCGGGCGGAGGGCCCCCAGACGCGACTCCCAGAAGGGGAGGCCTCAGCCTAGTGGAATGGGCGCAGGGGGTGCTACGGGGACAGGGGGGTTATTAGTGAATGCCCAAGGGGTTATACCTGGCGTAACCTAGCTTCTGAGCGGGCTACACATGCCCCAAGTGGCTGGGGGGATTGGACAACTCCGCGAAGTGTGCGGAACACACTTAGCCTGGATCGCTATCCCCCTAGGCCACCCATGGCATGAGCAACCTACTGATAAGCTAGGTTAGGCCAGGTATAATCCCTTCGGCGTCCACTGCTAAACCCCCAAATCCCCTTAGCCCCCCCCGCGCCAATTCCAGCAGGAAGACGAAGGAGGCCTCGCGCACTAGACCTGCACTGCAAGGGCAATGAGAAAGAAGCAGCTGGCCTCTTGGGAGAGAGGGTCTCTGGAATGCAAGGGGGGATGCGTGCAGTGGGGGGGAGGGGAATTCACAGGGGTGCTCCGTGCACAGTCGAGCCTTTCCTTGATACGAGACGCCATGGTCGCCTGAAGCGGCTTGCAGGTCGTGTGACAAAGTCGCACCGAGGCCAGCCACAATCGGTGCAGCAAGCGGCTGTCAGATTTGACAGGGCTGCGCTCCGCAAACCTAATGATGACTACGGGCAATTGGACTCGTTCTCTGGTGAAGCGCCAAAAGAAAGCCCCGCACCCCTCCCCCCCGAGATCCCAAACATCATGATTGCTTCAGCATGTCGACCCACAGAGATCTCGACCAATCCCCAGGACAGGTTTGTCATCCCGAAGCGTTTTGTTGACGGCCCCGAGGCCCAGCCAGGGCCCCCCAGGGGCCGAACATGTAGAAGCACCTCGAGCCATGACTCTCTCACTGCTCGACGGGGCCCGCCCCTCCTGCTACTGACAGCCTGGTCCGAACAACGGCGCCCCGTGGGTAGCGATCCGGCAGCGCACCCGCCGACTGCCCTCCTCCCCCTCGCGCGGGCGCCGCTGGCAGCGCCGAGACCGCCGGCAGTAACAGCATGGCACCCCGACTGAACTCCTGTGGTCGGTGCTGCACCTGGGCCTCCTCTCGCCGTGGGCGTGTGGAGATCTGGAGTGCCACGGCCGAAGCGCCATGCCCTGCTCTGCTTTCCAGGCGTAGTGCCGAGCGGACCGCGTCGGGTGGGAGGCGCTTCTCGCCACGCCCGTGTCTTGTGCAGTAGTGGGCCGACCACAAGAAACCGTCCACAAGAAACCCAACCCTGAGACTCCAGGGCGTCCATAGTTTTAGGGTCTGGGAACGTCACGCTTTCCATCACAAAACCATGAACACCCAAGAAACCCAGGGCACCCTGGAGGCGAGCACGGTGTTTCTTGGCATGGGCCCCCCACTGTACCGAGTGGACCGCGCCGCGTGGGAGGTGCTTCTCGCCACGCCCGGTTCTCGTATGCAGCCCCTCCCGCCACAAGAGGCGGGCGCAGCGTAGCGCTGGTAGCCCCGCGCCAGGACACGCGGTGTCCGAACCATTGCGCTCTCGTCTCGTCGGCGGTCCTCCGGATGCGCGTTAGTGCCAACGTACTCTGGATCTCTTAATAGGCGTGGGGGGGTACCCCCCCGACGGGGGTCAACCTCGCCTCGTCGTCGCGCCGCGACTGGGGTCGGAGCGGCTTCGGCGAGCGGTGGCTGCCCGCGACGGAGGTCGATGTGGGGCTGTCGGCGGGGGTGACGCCCCCCCGACGCTTATGAAGAAACTCGGAGTATGCTTGTCCACTGGATCTTTTCTATTCGACGCAGGCGGTATCTCAAAAACCAATGCAGGCTGCGTGCCACGGGACTGCACAGAGGTTTGGAACATATAGGCTCTGAGGATCATCGGTCACATGGGTCCTCGGACAGAAGCCTGCACAAGGAAAACGTCGGAGCGGGATACATCTGGGACCTCTGAGATCTGGCGGCTCTTGAAGGCGTGTCGGGCGCTGCGGCAGATTCCAGAGCGCTCGGGATCGACGTATCCTGGCCCTGCTGGGCCTGCTAGAACCCCGAGTCCGGGCTCGCGGCCCGCCTTCGGTCTGCAGCTTCCGCCCATGCCAATCGTCGTCGTCGTCGTCGTCGTCGTCGTCGTCGTCGTCATCATCGTCGTCGTCGTTGGCGGCGGCGGCGTCAGCGTCGGCGTCGGCGACGCCCGTCCTCCTCTTCTTACTGCCCTGCCTTGCAGCTCCCGCTCTCGGATCTTTCCTCCCCAGAACTCCGACGTCGTGATCTTTGCACAGCGCTGGGCATCGTTTGACCGATCCCTCTCCCCACGGGCGTGGCCTAGACCCCACTGGACGACTTATGCCACTAGACTGTGATATGGGCTGTTCCCTTCGAGCTTCGAGAGGCATATCCCCAACTGGGGTGGTGGGATGGTGGGGACCGGGATGGGGATGGAGATGGGGATAGGGATCGGTGAAGCCATACCGAAGCGTGGACCCATGGGGATCTGGGCTCTTTGGACAGGACCAACTCTTCATCCCGAGTCGTTCTCTGACGGTCGCAGGGCTGGGTGCGAGGGCCCCCGGAGGTCGAGAGTGAGCAGAAGACCTCCCGTCGTGATGCGCTCTCCTCCTCCTCCTCCCCCACCTCCTCCTCCTCCTCCTCCTCCGACTCCGCCTCCGACTGCCCCCCACCCCTCTTTCGTCATCATTTTTCTATGCGGATCCCCGAGGAGGATGAGGACGAGGACGCGTCGACCGGGGCGGAAAGAGGCCGCAGAGGAAAGGCGGTCCAGCGCTGGCGGCTGCATCCTTTCCGCCTCCTCGGAAGCTGTATCACCATCCTCGTGCTCGATACACGTCTGCCCAAAGCGGCTCTCTGAACTCACCCCGGCGTGCGGGCAACCTGACCCCGTAAACGCCAGCCGAAGCATCGAAGCTCCAGTCAGGTAGAAGAGGGGGAGGTATCTTCCACATGGCATCGAACTCCTGCTCCCTGACCTCCCCCATGTGTCCTGCAGCAGGTGTCGTGGTCAACCGTCAGGTCGCACACGTCCCTGGCGCACTCGATGTCTCGGCTGTCGTGCCGAAGCGCCTCGTGGACATGGCATCCTCGGAGATTGGCGTATGAAGGCCCTGGCCAGAACCAAGAGTCCCCACAATCTCCTGCCTCACACCTCTGCTGTCAAGGAAAAGCCCGCGGCGACAGGGCTCTGGATCACCTTTTCGGGCGCGGCCCAACCGACCCCTAGCAAACCATCCCCTCGCATCACGTCAACCTCGCCTCTGAAGCTTCTTCCCGGCCGCATGCATACGTCTTGGGGCGATGCGAGGGGGACGTCACGGAAGGGCATGGTTCTCAGGGTCAGTTAGGCCACTGCCTGCGAGGGCGCCCCCATGCCGGGCCACTAGAGGGGAGCAGTGCTGACAAGGCGCTCCGCTGTGCGCCGCCGCCAGAGTCTGGCCATCCCTTCCAATGGGGCGCCCATCCGTGTGCTCTGCGAGTCGAGGGGCGCGGCATCGACGCGACCATATGGCGCCGACGCCCGACTCCGCCGAGTGTGGCGCCCGGGACGTAGACCACACACACAGCACAAGGGCATCCTCCACAAAGACCGACGAGGGGGCCCGACCCACCAGTGGCCCACCAGCCCTTCGCGTGGGTCAGCTTTATGCTGAAATTGTGCAGGGGAGGATGCGGGCGGGGAGGATGAGGGCACCTGAAGGTAATCAACAGCACATGCGCGATCGCAGTGCGCTCTTCCATACAGGAACGCACGCTGCAGTGGTGGCTTCGATGATCACGTCGCCCGATAATCCTACAGCCTTCTTAACATCTCAAACACATTGCCGGTGTAGGGAACCACAGTGAATTCCGCAAGCGGTACAAGTTCGGCAGCGACAAATGAGTTTGACGGCCAGGAAGTGGGGGTACAAAGCTGATATGGAATCAGGAAGGCGGGGTCGAAGAGAGGACGACAGGGATAATAGAGAGCGGGTCCTGACGGTGAGTACGTATCACATCTTGCGAGCGCTGCGCAACAAGTGTCCTGGTCCCAGTCGTGGCAAACTGGAGGCCGGCTTTTCAGGGTTGAGTCTGCCGCCCTGTCGAGGAAAAACGACGCCAGGGACACCGGCGACAACATCACCGACGACATGGCGAGCGCAATACTGACCACAGCCCGAGGGCGATGACAATTATTGGAACACGCAGAACATGTTGATGCGCAACAGGATCACTCGGAAAACGATGAGGTCCACCAGGGCCGAGCAAATCCACACGAGCCCACAGGAAGAGCTGAAAGAAGGGGAGCGCAACCAGGTGAGCGTAGCAACGCTCACGGCAACGCTGGGCGAGTGACGACACAGACAACAACGACGAGGATAATATAATCGACGCATCGGCAACTTGTGGATCTTGCCCCTGGCAGTGTGGCGAAGGCGGCAGCTGGAGTGACGACCAGTCGTTCCTTCACCCTTGCTGGACATGTGCCTACATGCGGTGCGTGCTTGTGTTCCCCCCGCCATCCACTTCTGGATGGCTTCTTGCTCCTCCACCGCACCGTAGCCTCGTCCTTCCACCGCTCTCCCCGTCATCCACGTCCGGATGGCTTGTGGCAGCCGTCTGGCGGTTTATGAGGGCTCGGGCGCTCTCAGACGCGCGCGCGTGATTGTCTCCGCCTGTCGCAGCGCGCAGGGCCGCGACGCCAAAGCATGTGTTTGCGGTTGCGTGTGTGGGTAGTTGTGTGCGTGTTGGCTGTGTATACGTGTGCGTGCGTGTGCGAGCATGCGTTTGTGTGTGTGCGTGTGCGTGTGCGTGTGCGTGTGCGTGTGCGTGTGCGTGTGCGTGTGTGTGTGTGTGTGTGCGTGTGTGTGTGTGTGTGCGCGGGTGTGTGTGTGTGTGTGTTTAGCAAGTCGTGGTCTTTGCCTTGCTGGCATCGCAAGGCGCACGCACGGCCCCCACCATCGGCTGCCTCGACGGGACAGCCGTTAATGCTGGTCTTGCGGATGACGCGCACGTGTGCGCTCATTCCCTTTGTTTCGTCACTGTCGGTCGGCTCGTCGCTGTACTGCTCGTCTTCGTCGTCGGACGTTGTCACCAATTTTTGTCACCACGCCACCCACGCCCGGGTGACCTATGGGCGGTTGACCCAATGGCGCCCCGCGTCTGAGGGCTCGGCCGCGAGCGTTAGTTCCGTGCCGCTCGGTCGACTTGCTCCGCCCCGCCGCTGCGCGCAAAGCCACGGTCGTCAAAAAGTGTGCCTAAGCGCGCCCCGCCCTTCTGCTCGCTGCGGTGTTGTCACCTGTCCGCAGAAGTATGTGGGCTGGAGGCTGAGCTGAACGCGCTCGCCGCCCCTGCCCCGCTTCGCGAGGGGTCGGCCACGCTTGCTCTGATGCGTCCTGCGCTCAGCGCAACTGGGACTGGGGACGACGACGACGACGCCGACGACGACGTCGGCGCCTCTTGGAGAACCAAAGGTACAGATACCGCTACTCCCCGGACCTCTCGGGGGGCGCGCTCTGACCAGGAATTTCGAGTCGAATCCAGCGGTGGGGACGAGGGCCGCCCAGAAGGGCCCCAAAAAGGGGAACACGAGGCGAGGGTAGGCATGTGGGGACGAGCTTCCTCCTCTGAGCTCTGGGATTGCGGGTTCCCCGACCCCTGAGCGCCCTGGAGCGCCCCCTCGGGCCTCCTCTGGGCCCACGGCGCGGCCCGTGCGGCCCGTGCGCTCCCAATATGTACGCCATGACAATGGACACCCAAACCGTTCTATCATTGAGTTGGAGATGTCCGTCAAATGTTTGAACAAAAATGTCAAAACATGTGGTTTACATGTTCCCATCATGCTTAAGACATTGTTTAGACATCTGGAAACCATTGGGCAACATGCTTCTCTCCTTCTATCGTCGTCCACAGCGCTCCCCACCTCCGACCTCCCATGTGGGCGCGGCAGCGCCCGCGGCAATCTCCCGACGGCGCGTGGCGTGCGCGCGCCGCCGGCCTGCTGTCAAATGGGCGAGAGCACGACCCAGCCCCACCAGGACGGCCCAGAATCGAATCAATCAGTACTTAGATTTAAATCGCAGGGCCACACAGAAAGGTAGCTAGCTCTCTCCCCCTAAAACAAGCACGAGCGCAATCTAACAAAACCCTTGTCTGGTCGCTCACGGATCGGCGATCGGAACGAGTCAGATCGGCAAAAATCGGTAGCCGAGTCGGGAGAAGTCGAATCGGCGAAAATCGGCAGGATAGTATGCCTCCCCTGAGGAAACGGAATCCAAGTCGGAATCCCATGCCGAACCGATTCGGAATCGGAAACCATCGGAATCGAATCGAATCAAATCGGAGGAATCGAAAAAGACCCCTCCCCCACCCCCAGCCAGGATCCCTCTTTTCCCGACCTGGTGATCCAGGGGGCCCTGGTTGGAGTGCTTTCTTTTTCTGGTTCTTGGGGGCCGACGACACCATGCTTGTGAGCGCCAACTAGCTCAAGCTCCAAATGCTGCTGGATTTGACGATCGAGATGGGCAGTCAATCTGGTCCTGATTTGGACTGGGCCAATACAGATGTGATGCAGATTACCAGAAATAGTATGGACAACGATGTACGATCCCTTCTCAAGCCGCTCAGAGTGGCACAACAAGCGTTATACCCTGGTGAGCTCCAACACAGTAGTGCCGCAAGCAAGCCCGAAGTTACACGACGCCTGGGAGAAGCTCGACAAATTGGCTGAAATCACACTGGTATCAGCAGGCACTTCAAACTACGCCTCGTCGACGCCATTGAACTTCTTAAGCTACTGCACAGAAAGGATCCCTTTATGGCTATCGCAAACAGGCAGCAAGAGACTGGACCGTTCTCAGACGATGTGTCTTCGCAAACTTTTGACAATTCAACACGCTTTTTACTCCCGTGTTTCCAGCGCAGAGGTTCTTTCGCCAGCGAAAACAAAGCTTCTCAGCGAGACCCTACTCGAGAGACAAATGCAAACTTTCGTCGGAATTCCAAGGGTGCCAGAAGACAACCCTCTCGAAGCATTTGTTAGCGAGCTGGGGGAGGCCGTCTGCAGGCAATGTCATGTTGCGCGACAGCGGGGCCGCCCGAAATTGCAATGCGTAAATTGCGTATACACATTACTTCAGAAAGGAACTGATGAATTGCAACATGTGTCATTTGACGTCTCCTAGGGCAAGCAAATCATCGTCATCCTTCCTCATCGTCCGCTTCCTTCCCCCTCCTCACTCGCCTCCCCTCCCCCCGGCACGCGTTTGGCGTGTCCGCCACTTCGCGAATGCATTTGGCATGTTCTGTCACTCGCTCCACGCGTTTGGCGTGTTCTGTCACTCGTTTCACGCGCTTGGCATGTTCTGTCACTCGCTCCACGCGTTTGGCGTGTTCTGTCACTCGTTTCACGCACTTGGCATGTTCTCACTTCCTCCAAGCGCTTGGCGTGTTCGGTCACTCGCTCCATGCGTTTAGCGTGTTCTGTCACCCGCTCCACGCGTTTGTCGTGTCCGTCTTCCTCTGCCGAGGTGCCGTGCCTCAGGCTGGCGCATGGCTTCTGTCTGTCTTGGAGGCCAAGAAACCGCCCTCATCCCCAGCCAAGACCCCTTGGATCACTTGTCGGGGGTGGGGGTCCTGGCCGGGGGTGGGGATGGGTTGCGCTGTCCTCACAATCCCCCCCCCCCGATGGGCCCGCGAGCGCCCCGAGAGCGAGGGCACCTGTTATCTCACACAGCGTGTCCGCGGCGTCGAACCTGAGGATGGTGTGCCGCTTGCAGCCGCCCGTGTAATGGTCGCACGAGTCCCTGCGGGTGCCGTCTCCCGTGCCGCAACCGTCCCCACCTCTTCCAAGGCTGCGAAAGAAAATCATGACGGGGAATTCCTGGCAAGGCTCGGTCCTCACAGGGCCAGGGACCGTCCGCAAAACGACTCGGGACGAAAATCTGATTCTAAGGAGACCAGATGTCACTGGTCCACACTGTACACAAACCACCATTCAACCCCGCTTTTCCCTGAACCTCCCCATTTGATAATATCTTGCTGAGTCTGCCCGCCAGAGCCAAAGCCCTGAGTACCTCTCGAACTAGCGCGCCCGAGGGCGTGAGCCGGCTATGATAGGCTACAACGCCTGCTCCCCAAAGATTGCCAGTCTTGCTCTCCGTGCTCCCACACCAACTAAGCGTCAACGACATAGGGATCTCGCGACATCGCAAGGTTCCCTCATTCCCTTCTCGTCCTCATCGTACCCAACTGGTGGCTGACGGACGGGAAATTCTCGCACAAAAAAATATCCGGATGACTACTTCATCCGCCGGGCCTCCGGAGGGGCCCCAAGACGGCCTACGAGGGCCCCGGGACGGCCTGAGCGCGCCGTGACGGCCCAGGATGACCCCGAGATGGCCCCAGGACGGCCCCACGTTGGCCCTAAGAGACCCTCCAAGCGGCCAAGAGAGCTTTCAGACGGCTCAACAGGGCCCCAGGATACTCCAGGAGGGCCCCAAGGGACACCAGGACTGCTCCATTGGAGCCCAAGACTGCCCCCGAACGGCTCCCCAATAGTTCCCACGAAGGCCCCCCAAAATGCTGAGACGAGAGGTGCCACACGTTCCCGCCTCCTGGGCGGCGCTGGCAAGGTCGCCACACATCATGCCTCGCAAGCACGGCGGCGGACTTGCCGCAGGTGCCCGGGCAACGTCGGGGCAGCGGGCGGCGCTGCCGCTGCATGGGGAGGAGGCTGAGGCGGCGACTATCACGGGGGGGGGGAGGAAGGGCGGCCGTTCCAGCGGCTGGGCCCACTGGTCAGCCCGCTTTCGGATGTCCTTACCTCTCCTTCTCCTCCTCCATCTCCTCCATCTCCTCCTCCTCCTCCTCCTCCTCCTCCCTCCTCCTCCCTCCTCCTCCCTCCTCCTCCTCCCCCTCCCCCTCCTCCTCCCAAACCGGTCTCCAATGCGCCGTTCTCCCCGCCCTCCTTCCGCTCCCGCTCCCTCGTGCCACGCTGGCGACGCTCGACCGTCGATCGCCTCCATGTCCAGTCTGCTACCACCAGACCCCGGGCCCCCGAGGCGTGTTCGACGGTCCCCCGCGCGCCCCGCTGCGGCCTCGCCGCGTGCGTACGCATCCCCCCCGCCCCTCCTCCTCCCCCCTCCGCGGCCGACATTCTTCCTTTCCCCTCCTCTTGCAGTCGGGGGCGCCCACGAGAGGGGGGCGTCCAAGAGGGCGGAGGCGCAAATCATGACCGGCGGCAAGTGCGCGGCCCAGAGGGGGGGGGCGGGGACGTGCTGAAATAAGAGGCGGCGCCATGAGGTCTGGGGAGATCTCATGGCCCCCGCCATGACACCCACTCCCCCCTAGTCATCACCCCCCCTTCTTGGCCGACCCCGATGCATGCGGGACAATTCGCAACACCGTGCCCCGGGTTTCCTGGACGCGCGTGCGGACTGCCTCTGCGGCGCTGCGGCGCAAGGAATACTCGACGGTCTGCGGAGGCCCCTCGGCTGGGCCTGAACTACCTTCTCGTGTTGCAGACGAGCGCGTTCCACGACTCGCAAAGTCACCACTCGCAAATGGCCTGGACCTGCCATTGGGGCGTTGCGATACATCACGCCGAGGCAAGGGACGTTTGCGAGCAGGCACTCTGCGAGTAGTGGATGGCTCTCGGTGATGCTAGGCAGAAGGCAGCGAGCAGGTCAATTGATCGCTGCATTTGGCTTGGAGGGGGCCGATGCGCACAAGATAGTTAAGGCCTGTCCTGAGGAAGGGCACGCTGTGTTTTGCCTGGCCATGCCGCTCACTTACGTTGCATCTTCGAGGGGCCTCGCCTGTCCCCCAATTTTGGTGTCCTTTCTTGTGCCCGACGCGGGCCCGATGCGGACTCGGCGCGGATTTGGCGTGGATCCGACGCGGATACGAAAAGGTTTCGACACGGATCCGACGAGTCCGACATGGATTCGACACGGATTCGACGCGGATGTGGCCGCGACGGGACAGACAAGGTCCCCCGAGGATGCAACATAGGCTCTCTCGCCGCCGCCCCTGCCGCGAGGCCTGTCTCCGCAGCACAGCGGCGCGTCCACCTCGGTGCTGCACTCCGTGGAGTGGCACATGTGCTCGATGGCGCTCATGCTCTCTTCCTTGGGCCCCTGTCCCTCTGGACACTCGAGGTTGCTCTTATTGCACATGGGCGGCATGTACAGGCGCAGCGGGTAGATGTGCTCGTCGTGTCCAAATTGCAACTTGAACTTGGCGAGGCAACAAAAACGAGGGCAGCAAGCGGAGGGCCCACACTGAACAATGCGAGGGCGAAGGAATACCAAAACGAGTGGCCAAAGTGTCAGGCGATACTTCACCCACGGATACCAAGATTAAGAAACCTACGCGCTAAACAGGTACTCTTGCGCATGGGTATGTGGGGTAAAATATAGCACCTGCGGAACACACTGATACAGGGATGCAAAGGCAGAAGCAACTCGTGAAACATTCTGCTACAAAATACCCCAAATCCGGCATTGCTCTACTATTGTCTTGGGAGGCTACCGGGATTGGACGACGACCAACCAACACGATACGAAACGACTAGTCCTGGGAATAGGTTGAGAAGTCGTGCGCTGCCGTACGATACACGACGTTGATGTTTGAATGGCCTGTTTGTCTGGCCGCGCTACGTGTAGAATCCCCGCTGGTGGCATCATTGATAGGTGGCGTAAGTCAACTCAGTATACGTACAAGCTACACGGCCACGCTTAGCCTGTATGGTGTATGGTGAAATGTGATACGGCCACGCGTAGTATTTATATACACTGATTTTTATACACACGCATGTGTTAATGTAAAGGATGTTCATGCGTATGCGTCAGCGTGGGACCCCACAGGGTGGGTTCTTGCACTCTGGATGCGTAAGCTCTGTGCTGCGACATGCCTGTGGCAACAACTCGGTGGTATGAATTGTGTCGTGCAAGTGACGTGGTGCAGTGTATGTAGTGTCAGCTGTGCTGGGCAAACCATGTGGTGAGAACGACGCGGTGCAAATCTATGCAGTGTACGCAATGTTGTGCGAGCTTATTGGTGTAGGTGTAGCCTGTGTAGTGCCAGCTATGCCCCTAGATGGATAGAACTCTTTCGTACAAGCGCATCAACCCGCGGGGCGGCGACGAGGCGGCTACTTGCGGCCAGCGGGGGAAAACCTGGCAACGCCAGCTAGCGGACGGGGCGCCGATAACCCAGCGACCAAGCTGGCGCACCTGGCCGCGACAGGGCGGCGACTGGCGGGCACGGGGCAAAAGCCGCGCTCACCTTCCCAACTCCTGACGAGAGAAGATCCTCTGAATGCAAGAACTGTTCGCAACACTTATCCATTGTATGTCACAGCGCCGTGAAACATGTTGTGTAGCATTGTGTGTAGCGGGAGGTCGGAGTGTCTGGCTGGCTGCCTGTAGATTTCAACGTTGTGCATACCACGTCGAAACACTGCGCGGCGCCGCCAAACCCCAGATGTAAGATATTATTGAACGGTGCGGTTCAGCAAAAGCCGCACATGCACAACGTATTTCTTGAACTGCGAATGGCACTGGGACGAGCAAAGAATGCACGCGACGGCCGGTGTACACGATAACGTGCAGCCACATGTCAGACCCTTCGGTTGGCACAGTCGGCTTTCACAAACACGACAATGTTTAGCCAAGTGTGGCTAAAACTAGCACGCAGAAAGCGCGCAGAAAACATAACAACTTGCAGCGACATGTGGTGCAATACAAGAAAGCATGGTACACTGAATGCAGGGACACGCCGCAGCATGACATAACCAGGCAGGGCATGGCCACGCAACGCATGGAACGCATGGGTGGGCGAAGACACACTGATCTAGAAGACTACGGCTTCCTGCCAAAGCAACTGAATTCCTGAAAACACAGTTCCCAACGACAGCAACACTGACATATATGCGAGAACCATCGCGCGCGACACGCGCGCGCGATGAAGTTCTCCTTCATATGGGGCCAAGCGTATAGCGCGTCAGAGGGGCCGTGTCCGGATGATCGGGTCCTTGGCTTCGAAGCCCACGCGCTGGTGCCTGAAGTCGCATTGAGGCTTGGTATTCGCGGCAGTCGTCGGCCACTCTTGGGAACCATTGCAACTCTCGTTGCGACCATTTTGGGCTTCGAGGCTATCTCGGAGCCACGCGTTGGAATTCCTTTTGGGTGTTTGACTCATGTGGCCCTCCTGGAAATCTGTGTGAGCACTCTGGCGGCCTCTTGGGGCCTCATTGTGCTGCTGGAGACTTCCAGGGGCAACCTAGGGGGCTTCTGGAATCCGTCGTGGAGTCCTCTTCTGCACAGCTCCGGGAGCCTCATGGGGGAGCTCGGGGGAGGCCCTGGGAAGGCTCTCAGAGAGGAGGCGCCACTTAGTGCAGCCTGGGTGCCCCATATGTGCTGTGGCCTGGGGCCCCGGGGGTAGGGCTTCAGGGGAGGGGAGGGGTGGAGAGGAGGAGTAAGAGGAGGAAGACGAGGAGAAGGACGAGGAGGTGGAGGAGGAGGAGACGGAAGGGGAGGCAGAAGGAGTGGGAAGGAGAACGTTGAGGAATGGGCGGGAAGGAGGGAAGAGGACGAATGAAAAAGGAGGGAAGAGGGAGGGGGAATGAGAACCGCTGGAGGGAGACGGAGGAGGGTGGAGGGAGGAGAGGGCAGCAAGAAAAGAAGGAGAGCAAGAGAGTTAGAGAGGCGGAAAGGCCGGAGGGAGAAGGGAGGAGGAACCAGGGGAGAGGAGGGAGGAGTGGGGGAGGGAGAGGGGGAGGGGACAGGAGGATCAGGGTGAGAAAGAGGATGAGGACGAGTGAAGGGGAGAGTGCTTCTATACCTTCTGGAATGGAGGTGTCTTCTATTTGAGGCGTGCAGGAATATCTTGTAGTCTCTACTGGGGCCGCTCGGGGGACCACTTGGGCGCCCATTGGTCTTAGGGCCGTCTGGCCGTCTGGGGGCGTGTTGGGGGGCCTTGGGCCGTCTTGAGGTCATCTTTGGCCGTCCGGGAGCAGGCTGGAAGCCGTCTGGGACGTTCGGAACTTCTACAGTGGGTCTTGGGGCTTCGGGGAAGGTTCCCGCGGAGGCTGCGGGGACGCCCTGGGGAGGCTCTGGGAGGGGAGGGGGTCCTTCGTCTGCAGCCGTGGTCCCTGGTGGTTTTTGGCTGTGGCCCCGGGCACCCACGGCCAGTGTTCCGTTCTTTACATACATACATACATACATACATACAGACAGACAGACAGACAGACAGACAGACAGACAGACAGACAGACATACATGCATGCATGCATCCATACATACATACATACATACACACATACATACACACACATACATACACACATACCTATATTCATACATAAATACACACATACATACATACATACATACATACATACATACATACCTACCTACCTACCTACCTACACACATACATACATACATACATACATACATACATACATACATACATACATACATACATGCATGCATGCATGCATACATACATACATACATACATACATACATACATACATATATCCACATGTGTATATGTTGAATTGTATATATATGTATATATATATATCCAAGTGGCACGTGTGTGCCCAGGCTCATACAAAACAGGAAAGGGCGTTTGAAGCAGGAAGTCACCATGACGGCGGGATCGGAGATGGAGAAGGGGAAGCTGGGGCGGCGCCGCCAGGGCGTGCTTAAGAGAAGGAGAAGAGGCAGGAGGTGAACGCATAATAATCTAAGACCGAGTAAGAGCCCCCCCCAGAAGGATTGGGGATCGAGCAGGAGGATCGACGAGGGCAATGCCTCTCCGAGGTCAGCGTTGCGAGGATGTCTCAGGCGAAAGTGGCCTGACCACTTCAGCTCAGGGCATCTCAGAACCCAGAGTTGCGAGGATTCCCACCAGCCGATTTGGTTCACCAGACAATATGTGGAGGGAAAGAGAAGGAGGAGAAGAGGAGGAGGATAGCTACTGGGAGTGAAATGCAATAGCGAGGTCGCACTCGAGCGCAAATGGGGTTGCCACACCTTGCGATGTGTGTACCAGGGCCCCCCAGGAAGCCTTAGGGGGCCCGGCTTGGATACCGGAAGAGGCTCCAGGAGGCCCCAGGATTGTGAGTGTTGTGTGTGTGTGTGTGTGCGTGTGTGTGTGTGTGTGTTTGATGTGTGCTCTGTGTTGTCCTTGTTTTCTGTGCGTTGTAGGTGTTGTGTGTGTGCTATGTTTGTCTAGGGTGTGATGTGTTGGGTGTGATTTATGTCTCTGTGTGTGCACGTAGTTCTGAGGCCCCAGGAGGCCCCAGGCGGCCTCAGGAGGCCCCAGGAGACCCCAGGAGGTTCCAGGAGGCCCCAAGAAGCTCCAGGAGGCGGCAGGAGACTCCAGGAGGCCCCAGGAGGTTCCAGGAGATGCCCAGGAGGCTCCGAGGCGGGGTCTGGGGTACCAGAAGGTACAGAAAGCTCCAGGAGGCCCCAGGAGGTTCCAGGAGGCCCACAGGAGGCTCCGAGGCGGGGTCTGGGGTACCAGAAAGTATGTCGGGGCTCGATTGCGGGAGGATGTCTCAGGCGAAACCGCCATTCTCTGAGAATCGAGGTCAAAATCATTGAAATTACCATGTGTTGTTGAAGGCTTTTTGTTAGAATGCTTTAATTCCAATTTGTTTTTTGTACCCTGACGTCACGATCTGTGTAAGGGGTGCCACCGATTTTCAAAAGTTCGAGGATGTGCAACCAAGTATAAATGATGCAGAAGGTACGTCAGTGCAGGTCGGCCGTACACATATATATCTATATATGTATATACAACAAATCGTATCCGTATACGTAAAAGTATATCAAGAAACGAAAACAAAGCAAACACAACGGTTTGAGGCATCAGGCATCACGTCGTGCGGGCCCAGGGCTCCTCAGAGCACCTGCTTGGCAGACAGTAGCATGGTGCGTTTCAATAAAATCAGATGTACATCCAAATTTCTGTGTCTCCAACTCTCGACAACAAACCTTCCTTGAGCTGGCGACACCCGCCAAGAATTCGCAACACAACTGTAAACGCGACCTCCCCCAGATCGCAACAGAACATTCGAACTAGAACAGGCGGAATCTAAGCAATAAAATCTCGAAACCTGCTTTTCCCTTCAACAACTTAACGACGTGCTTGGCTTGAACATGACATAAAAGAAACTCAACTTGGGGACTGCGTGGCAAAAGAGGACGGGGAGAGACCGGAAATGATCTGAGAGGAGGACGAGGAGGAGTTTGGGGAAGATCGGGAGATGCTGGGAACCTGGTAATTGTCCGCGTCCTCGGGAAGCTTTATGGGCATCGGGATTCCGTTCTGCATCCGCAGCGTCGTACCAGCCTCATTGTCCAGAAGATACAGGGAAGCCTGAATTAGTTGGGAGGAGAAGGGCGACGATGACAAATCGTACCAAGCAAAGGGTGCTCATCCATCGCGTAAAATGCCCGGGCTAAAACCTTGCGCCTTGTTGATCCACCTCAGCCACGGATGAACGTTGCCTATGAAAGAAGCGACGGCGGTACGGCATGATTGACAGACGGAAGCACGTGACGCCGAACACGGAGGAGGGCACTCGATTTCCTAGCTGCTCCGCTCCTGTTCCCTCTCTGGTCCGACCCCGCCTTCCTGCTGCACACCTCCACATCCCAACCTCGTCAGACATCAGCCCATCTCTCGCTCTCCCTCTCTTCTTCTCCCTCTCTCTCTGCCCCCCCTCTTTCCATCACACTGGGTAATTAAACCTCTCTGCAACCCTCCATTCGCTTCATGCGCGCGGAGGCATTGGATATGCTGAAAGCTCAACTTATGCCCAGGCGAACGGTTGGCCCCGAACTTGGGCCTGATGCTGGCTGGAGTAGAAGGTCACCTTCGGCTCGTCCACTCTAGTTCGGCACTCGAAGCTCTTGGCGCCGTCAATAAGCACCTTGTCGCACACGCCCTCGAAGCTGGGCATGTGTACTAAAACGTCCCCTTGGAAGGTCACGTTTCGTTCCAAGACTATCTCGTAGTAGCGCATGCGCGGAAGCCGAGTCCAATATGGGTTCTCGTAGCGGCACACGGCAGACACCCTCTTCGATATCTCGTTTGACATGTCGATGTTGTACGCCTCTCCACTGCGAGGGTGAAGCACGCATGAAGACGCGGCGGCGGGGTGTGGAGGCGGGCCTGAGCTGGACTCAGAGAGCCAGAGGATGGCAGACGACGAAGGACCCAGCGGGCGACTGCGGAGTCAACAAAGAGAACAGATCAGACGGGGCGACGTGGATGCGGAGGGCCTGGGGGCAGCGGAGGCCGGCTCTGCGGCGTGCCTCGCTTACAATGCTGGCGCGCAGCGCTGTCTGGGGTCTACGTCCGTCTACATGTCGATACTCTACGTGTCCCAATGCTGCAATACGACTTCACTTGCCAGGTATGGCGCGAAGAACCCACGGTCTTTGCAAGCTGAATCGAAAATGCATACGGCCCAAGATGCACCCACGACTGACTAAGTTGGCCTCTGGATGGCCCGCGACGGCCCAAGAGGCCCCGAAGAGGCCCCCAAGACGGCCCAAGAGACCTCGAGGTCCTTTAATAGAGAGTTGAACATTCACTCTCACAATGAGGCCGTTTAACCAACGCACACAAGGAAGGATTCGAAGAGGGCAAAGCTGTTTAGTAAACGCCCAGGGACGCCTAGCAAACGCCAATTATCTCACCCCTTGCTCACGGAAGGCCTGAAGATGCCAAACTCATTGATTGCCCGTCGATTGTTTTATGAGTGTTACATATGTTTTGTTGGGCCTTCCGACGGCACAAGACGGCTCAAGATTCTCCAAGATCGCCCCAACACCACCCAACATCCTCAAATACGGACCCATGACGGCCGAAGAGGCCCCCAAGACTTGTCAAGAGGGCCCACAGCCAGACCAAGAAGTTCCCAAGACGCTCAAGGTGGCATTCAAGATTGTCCAGCTGGGCCCAAGAAATCCCAAGATAGCTGAGACGGCCTAAGTTGACCTCAAGATGGCCCACGACGGCCCAAGAGACCTCCAAGAGCTTCCAAGAGGCCTCCAACAAGTCCTCCGGGAAGGCCCTCAACCTCAATCATTGTCCTTTGGTGTTCGATCATTGTCTGCGTTTCAAAGTCCAGGACGGTCGCAGAGGCCCCAACGCCTCCCAGAAGGCCTCAGAGAGGCTCGCAAAATGGCCCCAAGAGGGCCTCAAGACGGCCCAGGAGGCCCTCAAGACGCACAGGATGGTCTCCCAGACAGCCCTGAAGCGCCCAAAGACGGCCCAACCTTTGCCCAGAGAGGCCCCCAGGACGATTTCCGACTGCGTCAGACGAGCCAGGAACGCCCTTAGACGGCCAACGAGCCTCCCGAGGAGTGGCTCAAGGAAACCTCCAAGAAGCCTCCCAGAGGCCCGCAGGAAGCTCCCAGGAGGCTCTAAAAGTGCCCCCCCAAGAGGCTCCCAAGAGGCCTCCTTCTCCTCCTCCTGTTGTTTCCTCCCTCTCCATCCCTTCTTAGTTCTCCCGCATGTGTTTGTTCCCCGAATGGCTTCCACAGCGGCTGGGGGCGCACATGGACCGATAGCTTGGCCGAGCTCAGGCCGCAACGTTCGGCCACATCACAGGCGCTCGCAGCAGGCGGAAGGCGAGGGCGATTCGCGGCAGGCGTTCTCCACACTGCGCTTGTCAAAGGAGCCCAGGGCCCGCACTCGCGCGGGGACTTCTGGGCGCTCTCGGGGCGGCTCGCGCGACTCGCTGCAGAAGCCTCGGCAGCACGGTCATCCCAAGCTTCCAGCATGGGCGACCGTGGCCTCCGGGGTCGTCTGGGAGATCTCGGGGGTGCATCCTGGGCCGTTTGGGAGGCCCTCGGGGCCCGCCCGAGGGGCCAAATCCAGTGAAGAGCGCGGGGTGTTTGCGTGCTGCTTGCATGCTTGTCCTTTCGTCTTGAGAGCGGCCATGGTGGCCCAGGGGGCTCCCAAGATCACCCGAAGAAGGCCCCCGAGGCCGCCATAAGGGCCCAAGGGGCTCCTGAGATGGCCCCAAGAGGACCTCTTGCCGACATGTTGATCCCTTTCCTTTGGGATGGCCTCAGAGGTTGCCAGCAGTCCGCTTAGGATCACCTGGGGCCACTCTCAAAATGACCATGTGTTCGGGCCATCTTGGAGGCTCACCAAATCGACTGGAACCGTAAGTAAAAAAATGCCCAAGCCATCGAAGCCAACTAGCTCCCAACCCTCATGTGTGTGGTGTTCGTTTTGAGGGCTGTGTGGTTGCTCGTTCTCCTCATGGCTCCCAATGTCCGCTCCTCGCTTCATTCTCGCTTCCTTTCCTTCGCCCTCCCTGGGCGCTGCCGACTGCGCAAGGGCCGTCATTTTCGCGAGATCCTGGGAACTCCAACGCATGGGAGTCCCACGCGGGCCAAACCCCAGGCTTCCGGCTGCTCCAATTGTTGTTCCATGCGTGGGCCCCGGACCGCTCCACTTTTTGGGGGAGCGTCAGATCTCTGCCACGAGATCTCGCCCGCTCGGGGGGGCCCGGGGGGCTACCAACTGAGAAACCGCCGTCGCCATGGTCGTGAGCTCCTGGGAGCTCCAGCGGAGCGCGGCGCAACGCAGGCCAGACGAGACCTCCCCCACCGAGGACGCTGCCTCTTGCGCAGCCGTCGCCACGGTCGTCCCGGTGAGGTCCACGGCGGAAAGCGGTGCGGCGCGGACCACACGAGGCCACGCCCGCCCCGGGCCGCGGCCAGCTTCGCACCCGTCGACACGTTCGCGAGCTCCGGAGGCCGAGGGAAGCCTCGGAGGGGCCTGGGGACACCAAGAGTGCGAAGCCATGCAGGCAACAGGGCATGGGACCCCAATGCGGAGCTGTCCCCAGCGTTCCGCCCACGGTTCCGACACAAGAGTGGGGGAACACGGAACCCAGCATCATGGTCACTTGTCGGAGCCAACGATTGCTCCGTTGCAAGCAAGCAAGGGCCGGCTTTGTTTTGCCGAGGCTTCTTGGAGAAATAGCGCGAGTATGCAGATGAGCAAACGGCGGCGCCTCGTCGTTCCCGACGTTGTGGCTATCGATCCTTGCAGCGGTAGCAACACTTGGACACCGGAGCCGCAGCTGAACAATACACGAATCGTCCTCACGCGTCGGGGAGAAATCCAGTGCAATCAGGAATCAGCGCATGCCAAGGATTGATGCCCGTCTGATGACTTGCATATACTCATCGTGCGACCAGATAGTACGCTCACCAGGTAAAGAACGAAGGGGCTCTCCTGGCCACGGCGAGCCTCGGCCACGAACAGGCCCCCCAACCTAAACCTTCAAGGAACGACCAGACAACAAGAGCCCCTCCCGAGCCCAAAGTGGTCCATAATTCAGCGTCTCGGCTCCATGCGCTAAGACGTGTGATCTTTGTAAGTGACCGATGTCGATACACAGCGCACCCGACTGCGCATGATTGCTGCACCATGCAGAAGCCCATGTTTCTATTATTCGCGATGACGCCCGCATGACGCCCGTGACCGGTCCCGCACACCCGCCCTCCCTACCCGTGGTCACGTCATGACTCGCGCCAGTGCCGTCTGGAAACTCGCCTTCCATAAACGTTCCCAGACGGTGCCAACGCGAATCGTGCCGATACCGGCCCCCTCCCCCACCGTTATCGCCAGGGTATTGGCAACATGCCTCCTGCCTCCTTCACAAAGCCAAACATGTGCGTCAAACCGAAAAAACGCCTGCAATCCCTGGCCCGCTACTACCGTCACCTCTCAGAATCCCTCGAGCCTTTGCGGATCCAACATGCTGGCTCAATCTCGCTAGTGCCTCGCGGGTTTCCCCTCCGGCTGCTTCGCCGCTTGCCGATTGCGGAACCACCACCCGTCAGAAATTCTCTCCACTCCGTATTCGTCGGCCCCCTGGAGCCATTGCCTGCCGACCCCCTGCGTGGGGGCTTGTTATTCCGCGAGGCCAGACTGGACTCGATTCTCACGATCCCCCTCGATCCCACTCGGCTGGCCCGCTCTCGCCAGCGCCTCGCTGGCAACTGTGTGTTCCTCTGCCCCTCGCCAGGACGAAGTCTCCCGAAGCAGAAACTCTTTTTCGGCAGGAGCTGCGACCCCCCCTCTCGCAAGGGCCTCCCTGGCCCCCCGCCCAATCCCTCCGTCGCTGCCCCGGCGTGAACTGCTATATGATGACGACCTTCCCTAGTCCCTGTCAGACGGTCCTTTCTCGCTGGACGTGTTGCCGTTGCTGCCTTCGCGTGCGTTGGATGTTCTTCCCAGCATCCGTCCCTACGGAGGTGCACTGCGTGTTGTGGCGGTGCGCATCCCGATTACCCCGCGGGTGCTGAATCTCCCCGCGTGCATCACGTAGCACTTGTGCAAACACTCCCTTACATTATGACGAAGTTCGAGCTATGCATGCATTGTTCATGCATGCATGCTGGAATAAGGTTCGGTTTCGCACATACCGCGCTCGCATGTGATGTGGCCATCCTCATGCGAATGGAGATGTAGAGGCCGCATGGGCCTGCAGAGGCGCATGCAAGGACTTACGCCGACTTGAAATGTCTTCTGTCTGCGAGCTGATCCGCACCTGCGTCGAGCGCAACTGACCATTGATGATATGGACGTGCGGAACACTCGAAAAGTGCCAGGGAGATAGAGGGAGAGAAAGAGAAAGAGAGAGAGAGAGAGAGACAGAGACAGAGCCAGAGAAATAGAGAGGGAAAGACAAAGCGAGGTAGAGAGACGTGTATACCAAAACAAAACAACCAGGTACCGAAGGAGAGAACGACAGAAAGAGAGAAAGAGAGAGAGACAGAGAGAGAGAGAGACAGAAAGGCAGAGATACTAGAGGGAAAGAAAATGAGGAGTAGGTAGACCTAGATACAAAACACAAAGTAATGATATATCGAAGGGGAGAAAGACAATGAGAGAGACAGGAAGGCAGAGAAAGAGAGAGAGAGATAGAACACAAAAAAATAAGAACAAAAATACACATAAGAGAAACATAACGAGAAGCAACAAAACAAGCAGAGGACATTCCGTTGAAAACCCAACCAGAGGCGGAGCGCGGGACAGAGAGGAAGAGTGTCCGAGGCGGGGCTGCGGGCGACGGGCCGCTCGCGAGGGACCGGTGTCCTTGCACTTGCCTCCCTCCGCCAGCGAGTACTTGTAGGACGACTGCGCCGAAGTGGCAACGAAAGGACTGTCTGGCAGGATCTGGCGCCCATCCACATCGGTCAAATTTATGTTCTCGGCCTGCACCACGAGATTGTATTCCTGGGGCTTCAAAATATGCTTCATGAACCAACCCCTGGTAGGATTCCGCAAATTCCTCGTGGCCCTCCCAAACTTTGTGTTACTGCATCCTCCTCCCCACCCAGACGGCGCGTGAGTACGAAAAAGTTGCACACACACACACACCCTGGCTCCGGCGGCTGCTTGATCACAACCCTGTAGACGTGCTCTCTGTGCTTCAAGAACACGCCTGCAACTTGTTTCGGATCTGCGACCCTAATTTCGACAGTCTTCTCTACGCCATCTATTCCGTCATCCAAATCTGTGGTCACCGTATTAGCACCGTTCAGGTTAAAGTCTTCAATCTTTGTCCCATCTACGTAAATGGCTGGAAAGCCTCCCTCCACATACTTGCCCGCATCGATCTGGAAGTGCAGCTCATGCTTCTTCAGATGGATGTCGTTCACATTCACTGTGAAGTCCTCTCCACTAGGAGCTGCTTGTTTGGAGAGCAAATGCCTGCCAAGGTGGGGAGGGTGCGTGCTCACAGATGTAGAGGTAGGCAAGATGTTGAGCATCTGAAGCATAAGTGCTCATGCATACACGGCGTGCTCTGGATTCCAAGCGCGCGAGGATAAAGATCTACGTACGCTGCGCCATGAGATCAGAGGAAGAAAAACACGCATTCCTGGGAGAGAACGGCTTCTCAAAGCTCCCTTGCAGCGTATATATAGATCCGAGGAGCACCCAATAATCCTTGTCACCAGGCTTCGCTATTTCGCCGCCTCCAGCCTTGCCGTACACCAAGGGCAAGTGCAAACACAGCACGAGAAGCCGCAGCATGCCGCCACCATGCGGCATGGCCCCGCCCGCGGAGGAAACCTGGCACCCGCCATTAAAATGGATCCCTCCGCAGCTGCGACGACTGTCCCTCGCAGCTGCGCCAGGACACTCGTGTGTGTGTGTGTGTGCATGTGTGTGTATGTGTGTGTGTGATCCGCCGTTCCGTCCCCCTCCGGCGCCGCCGCCGCTGGCATCGCCTCCCACTTGCCGCCTGGGCAGCCGCCCGTTTGGCGGCTGCAGCCCCGCCGCAGCCCGTTGCGGCGCCGCCTGGCCCCGCTGCTGCCTCCCCTGCTGTCGGCGCCCCGCGCCGCCTTGCCCCGCCACTGCCACGAGAGGGTCCGTGTGTGTGCGCGCGTGCGTCGTGTCGTGTCGTGTCGTGTCGTGTCGTGTCGTGTCGTGTCGTGTCGTGTCGTGACGTGTCGTGTCGTGTCGTGTCGTGTCGTGTGTGCGTGTGCGCGCGCGTCGTTTGCATGTGTATGTGCGCGCGCGCGTCGTGTGTCGTGTGCGTGTGTGCGTGTGTATGTGTGTGTGTGTGTCTGTGTGTGTGTTCGTGTGTGTTTGTGTGTGTGTGTGTGTTTGGTTGCGTGTGTGTGTGTGTGTCTGTGTGTGTGTCCTACCCTGCGGCGACTGTGCCACTGCCAGGCGCTGCGCGGGCCCTGGCGGAGGGCTGGGCGCGCGCGCGCGGGCGCTCGCGCGCCTCAGTCCCCGCCCATTCCCCCCCCCCCTTCCCCTCCCCGCGCCCTCTGACGTGTCCTCACGTCGTCGTCGTCGTCGTCGCCGTCGTCGTCGTCGTCATCGTTGTAGTCGTCGTCGTCGTCGTCGTCGTTGTCGTCGTACCCCCTTCCCTTGCTAGAAGTCTCCTTTCCCATCAATCCCCGAAAACGACAGGGCCGCTGGTTTACCAGTTCCGTTTTGCCATGTGTTTGCTGGTTATGGCGCCCTTTTCCTGCCAATTCTGTCGACAAGTGTTTGCCGGTCCCGATTCCAGTTCCACATCCGCAGCCGTTGTTTGGCCGCTTCTGGCTGCCATTGTTTTACTTGTCTCCGTTTACAAGATACCCCTTCGGAAACAAAGATAAAATGGCCCTGCCATTTCCAGCGCCCACCAAAGCTCCTCGCGGCTTGTATGACAATGTTTGGAATAGTTGCATCGTGTCGTCTACTTCCGCCGAATGTTCCCGAAGACGGTGCCCCGCCCCATCCGCAGCATTTGTATGCGCGCGCTCGTGAATACCAATGCCATAGTTCGAGTCCACTGCGGATGTAAATGGATGTCAACGCGCGCGCACACATCGTAAGCACGCTTGGCATCTTCGCGTTGCAAGCATCCCATCACATTGTAACAACATACAGAACTTTTTTCGGATGTCCGATAAAATCATATCCAGCGTTCTACACGCGCGCAGTTGATGAAACACTTTGGGACAACATCGATTGAGCAACCCCGTCCAGACCCACGTTCTCATCTCACTACGCGGTGCACCCACGTTGATTTAGCACGCGCCGAGCGTATGAAGGCATGCCACATAAAATAATGCGGCCACCATGCGCGCGTCCGAATCCTTCCAAGGCCGTCGATGTCAGACGCATCTCGCAGCATAGTTCTTCAGCGACATCTAGAAACCAAAAAAGCATCGGGATTGCTGAAGACCTGCGGGCGCAATACTTTATCGCCCGCATCATCGCCTTCGCATCACCTCCGTTATCGTCATCGCAAATCGCCGCCAGTGCCAGCATCACCTGCACAAGCATCTTCATCACCGAGAAATGAAAATCATCATCGTCACTGTCATCACCAGCATCGGCGCCGTCATTGGCCGTGCCGCCGTCATCGTCATCTTAGCCACCACCATAGCCGAGTATTATCATAATCCTCGACATCTTCATCATCATCAGCATCATCAATTCATCATTTCATCATCATCATCATCATCATCATCATCATCATCAACATCAACATCAACATCAACATCATCATGTTCATCAACATCACTACCGCCGTTGCTGACGTCATCACGATGTTGTTCCCGCCCGAGTCACGGACCCGCACTGAACCGCCCGCGCGACAGCGCGGCTTCTGAGACGCGCTGGGGGGTGCCCATCGGTAAGCGCCATCGCAGGCCGCATTAGTTGATCCAAACCAGCTGGTCGCTCTGCGCGCGAGCGTGTGCGCACCAGCGCGGCTGTAGAAACGCGCTAATAAGTGCCAAGCAATTGCGGCCGCATGGACTTTGCAAAACAAATCGCGGGTGTGAGGGCGGGATGTTTGCGCAAGCAGTTGAGATGAACGCGCGTTACCAACTTTGATATTACACCAAATAACTAACACCACATGGCTTGCACTACAAAGCGTAGACCACAAAGCATGCACAACATAGTTGGCTCACACATCCACGTTGCACTTCGCCTGTCCAACGGGCCTCAGGCGTGCTAAGATCTCCTTTAGCAAGTGTGTAACATTTCTAGTTCGCGCACGCGCGTGCAGCCCCTGAGGTTCGCCGGGCGAACAATACCGCAGCCGATCTCTGGCAAGGTCTGGTCAGAGATGGTTCTGCTCCTGGGTGTCGCCCTCGGGGCTCCCCGAGGAGCCCAGAGAAGGGCCAAAGAGGCCCCCAAGAGGCCCCCAAGAGACCCCCAAGAAGGTCCAAGAGTTCTCCGAGACGCCACAAGACCGCTCCAGGATGCACAAGATGGCGCCCAGACAGCCCAAGAGGCCTCCAAGACGCCCCGAGAAGCTTCCCACAGCACTTTCAAGATCGGCCCAAGAGACACAAATCATATATTTGTCCTTGGTTTTGTTGTTAGCAGCGTTCTCGCCATTTCAGCTTCCCGACGCCCGAAGACGGCCCAAGAGGCCCCCAAGATCGCCCCAAGACGGCCCAAGAGGCCTCCAAGAGGGCCTGAAGACTGCCCAAGAAAACGTCCAAGACGGCCCAAATGAGCCCCAGGACGGATCCAAGAGAGGGACTAGAGGGGGATCCCGAACGGACATTTCGAGCCCTCGGCCCTGAGAGGCGCCCAGGAAGCCCCGAGATGCTCTCAAGAGCCCTCTAACATCCAGAGGCCCCCAAAGGCCCCAAGAGAGCCCCAAGAGGCCCACAAGATGCTCCCAGGACGCTCCCAAGAGGACTCCAAACCGCTCCCCAGGGACCCCCGAGGGCCCTCCGAGGAGACTCCAAGAAGCCACCACGAGGACTCTGAGCGACAACCCAGGCACGGTTGCCCCGCAGCGACGCGTGGGGAACGAACACGCGGGCAAATGCCAGCGATGCAGCATTAGGGGCCGGCGGAATGATCGAATCATTGCAATAACTTGATGTTGTGGGTCTACGCTCGGCTAACACTGTTTGACTCTGACACCTTGGTCGACCCTGGCACTAAGGACGGTTCTCTATTATCACGTCTGTGTCTGTCTACTCTCTGACCCTGCAATCGCATGGGCCCTGGGACTTGACTTGGCCGCAACCAAAAACTCGACAACCTCCGAACCCCGAACCAGGAACTGGGGCACCTGGTCGCTTATAGGAAGCGGCCCGGCATTTGCGCCGAATCCTTCGACCGCAAGCACTGGTAGGAGATATGGGGGGTGATTTCTCTCGCCGTCTCCTAAGGATTCGGCAACAGAGCCCCCCGCCCGAGCAGTACCCGGGAGGCTGCCTCTGGCCCCCCTTGTCGCGCATCTCCCCCTCCTCATCCCCCCCCTCCTCCTCCTCCTCCTCCTCCTCCTCATCATCATCATCATCATCATCATCATCATCATCATCATCATCAGCAGCAGCAGCAGCATCATCATCATCATCATCATCATCATCATCATCAGCAGCAGCAGCATCATCATCATCATCCGCCTCCTCTCTTCGTCGATCCCTCCGCTCGCCCTGTTACGCCTCCGCCTCCTGCTCCCTCCCTCTCCCCATCATTGTGCTCATCCTCGTCCTCGTCCTCGTACTGCCCCTCCTCCTCCTCCTCCTCCTCCTCCTCCTCCGGCCCCCCCTCGTCGTTAGCATTCCTTTTCCTCTGCCGCACCAACCTCGGCACCGACCGCTTGCCCATGGCCTGGCCGCGTTGCCCTGGGCACTACACCGTTGCCCTGGCCACGCTGCCGCACAAGCCAGACATCATCCGTCCGTCCACCGCCTGCCTGGTTGCCTCGGAACGAGGCGCCGCCCCGCCTCCCCAGACTCCCGACATCATGTCTTTATATTTTTTCTTCATAGCGTCGACCCTCAGAGGTCTCGACCCACTCCCCTGGAACAGTTCCCCGCCCTGAGCCATTGTTTGACGGTCCTGTGAGCCCGTAAGGGCCTCCAAAGGAAACTTCAGGGAAACTTTAGGAAAAATGCCTCCTGCCATGATTTGTTTGCGTTGCCCGAGGGGGTCCAGGTCCGAAGCATGGAAGGCGCCCGAGCGCACGCGGTCACCGCCCGGTCTGGCGGAAGAGGGGGGCGCGACATCATCGCGGATCGGGGGCGCCGCCCTGCCAGAGGAAAGAAAGAAGGAGGAGGAGGAGGAGGAGGAGGAGGAGGAGGAGGAAGAGGGGGAGGAGGAGGAGGGGGAGGAGGAGGAGGAGGAAGAAAAGGAGGAGGAGGAGGAGGAGGAGGAGGAGGGCGCGCTCGCGCGCGCTCGCGCGCGCGGTCCCCCCGTGCGGAGGGGCCGCGGAGCCCCGGATGCGCTCGGCGATCTCCCGGTCGCCCCAGCTGATGATGGCCTTGAGGGTTAGGCCGGGCGTGTCCTCCTACAGGCGGATTTTGGAGGAAAGAATGAAATGAAAATGATCCAACAATAACCACACATAGTCCAGAAACAACAGAAAAATCGTTGCCATACATTTTTTGTTTAAAGAAAATGAGTATTTCGTTTGTAGAGGGACCTGCCCGACTTAGGGAGGGGCGGGTTGCAGCGACAGGGAGGAGGGATGGGGCGGACGGATCCCAGGCCTCCTCCCGCTGCGAGACTTGGCGAGGCGCACCAGGGGGGTCCAGTGCGGCCGCGGTCTCAATAACCCCTCGCAAGAAGCCCAACCCGGAGAACCCGCGCGCGAAGTGCCCCTGAGGGGAAACCCTCAGCACCCTGAACGCAGCAGCTTCTCCCACGCCCGCTGGGAGCCACCGCGTAGCGCGCGGAGCGAAGAAACCCAGGGTACGTTGACGAAGCGCCTCTGGTTTCTCGGTGTGCGTCCCCACTGTAGGGGAGGGGGACACCTTCTTAGAAGGAGGCTGCTTCTTAAAAGGCGCCGTCCTTAGATCTACAGACAAGGCCCGCGACTTCTAAGAAGCAGGGGGGGTTCTACGAGGCCTTCCCCCTTCCCACTTCCCCCCCTCTGCGCGAGTCCGAGAGAAAACCTTGCAATTGCCAGCCCCCAACTCATCGGGCCCCATGGGCCGGCGAAATACGACTTGGGATGCAATTCCGGTCCTGGGGGAGGGATCTAGACCTCTTGGGGACTATGCAGGGGCGCGGACAAGGTGGGGGGGGGGGTCGGGGCGAGGGAGGGAAAGGGGGGGCGGAGGTCGGGGAAGGAGGGCGAGAGAGGGTTGGGGAGTGGAGCGGGGGAGACGGGAGCGGGGTGCGATGCTGCCTTGGTTTCTGTGGCGCTGCTGCTCTGACTTCTCTCCACCTAGCCGAAGCCGCTGGAACCTGCCCCCGAGGGGACCAAGCTGCTGGCCCGACAGGCCCTGCGCCCTCCTCTGAGGCAGTGCTTGCGCCTTGTCATCGTCCTCGTTGCCGTCGACATCGTGACATTTTCGCAACGTCGGCCTCCAGAGGTCGACAGACCCATTCCCCGACACTGGTTTTGCATCCCGAGTCGCTTTTCTGACAGACCCGGGGCCCAGCGAGGGCCCCCCGAGGGCGAACACTGCCGCAAACCTCCCGTCGCAATCTTTTCACGACGAGAGAAGGTGATGGGGACTCTCCTCTGATCCTGCACGTCGGCGACAAACCTGGAGCTGCCCCCCCCCTCCCGCCTCCACGGCCTCCAGGCCGTTGCCAACTGGGAGCGTCTGGCCGAAGCGGGCGCTGAGCCCCCTGTAGTCCGTCTCGCACAGGACGGTGCAGAACTGCCCGCGGCGGTCCTCCGCAGGTGCCCGGGGGTGGCAGTCCCCCCCACGTGCGCGGGGGCTGCTAAGGCGATACGGGGGTTATCAGTGGACGCCGAAGGGGTTGTACCTGGCCTGGCCTAGCTGATGAGTGGGATACACATGCCCCAAGTGGCTTAGGGGAAATAGACCACTTCGCTAACTGGGCGGCGCCAACTCAGCTTGGATCGCTATCCCCCCCACCAAGCCAGTTGGGGCATCAGCAACCCAATATTGAGCTAGGTTAGGCCAGATTTAGCCCACCTTGGCATCCACTGATAGCCCCCCTATCCCCTTGGCAACCCCCGCGCCCAGCACCTCCTCTCGCCGCGAAAGAAGCACGACCTCGGGGGACCCTCGCCGGGCCCCCAGGGCCACCAGCAAACGACCGCTCAGGACGGACCCGAGATCCAGAGGATTCCGCAGGAAAGCTAAGCTAATTGGTGAGATACGAGGACAATCGAGCGACGAGCAAAAACGGGTCGTACGTGAGATGACGTCACGACGGTACGCAGTGGCTTGCGCGGGCCGCCAGCGCGGCACGCTACTTGGAGAAGAAGGTGCTGACGCGCCAATCGCGGCGCAGAAGAGCCCGTATTTCTTGTGTCGCTCAGTTGTGCTGCTCACTCAGAGCCGCGCGAGAAACACCGGCTTAAGGGAACTCCCGTCCGCGGGTGAAGAAACCTGGCGGTCCCGGGAACCCGGACTGCTCAGGATCGAAACCCGGTCCCAGGAAAGGGGTGCAGATCTCCCAGAGTCCAGGCTGGGAAGAAACACGACGTCAGATTTCTGGGCCCCCTGGACTCCAAGACCTCGCCGCAGAAAGTCCAGAGCCCTCGACGCCACCACGACGACAACGATAACACCACGATCACAGCGGCAACGATAAAACAACGATAGCAACGATAGCAACGACGACGATATCGTTTGTATCTTTGTCGGTGTCGTGGTCGGTGTTTTTGTTATCGTTGTCGCTGACGGTGTTTCATCATACCTCCACGAGAAGGCCTCCGAGGCTCGGGCGCGGGTGCGGCAGCCCTCGGGGGCACCCCGCGCTGACTGGCCTCGGGCTTGTCCCTAGGCCCTACCCCTAAGATCCCGAACATCTGGTGCCTCGACAAACTCGAGACGGAGGTTCTTTGCAATTTTCGGTTTCTGGGGACCTCGCTGGGCCCCGGGAGCGTGAAACAATTCAGGACGCAAAAGCGGAACCAGGGAAATGGTGCAGGCCTCTGGGGACTCCGCATTGAGAATCTCAAGACATCCGATCCCTAAGATTGACAGGCCCCACGCGACGAAAGTCTTAGGGAAGCGCACTCAGGAACCGAGGGAGGCCCTAAGGTTGGGACCGAGATAAGCCGATGCCAATCACATGGACAGGGATATGTTTCAAGCAAGTAAAAACAATTTTGGTAGTAAAGATGCGCGATAAGGACGCAGGCCCCTTGGAAACCCGCGTTGAAGCTTCTTCGAGTGCCGTGGGCCATCCAGATTAGCCAAGGATGGACCCAAGAGGCACGGATGCAAGGGTAATTACCCCTGGAAAGATGACCCATCCTCACCATCGATTCCGACTTCAGCATGCTCCCCGAACCTCGGGTCACGGATCTCGGGCCGAGCCGAGCCCGCGGCGCAGCCCCAGGGCGGAGCCGCGCCCCGCGCCCCTGGCATGCATCGCCTCCGGCCGCCCCGCTCGCCAGCACGGGGCCGACGGGCGGCAGAGAACGCTGGGGCTGGCGGACTTCTGGGTCGACCCTGGCCTAGCAAGGCAGGGCAGCCTTCAGGCCGCCACTTGCCTCACCGGCCCCACCCTTCGCCGCATGCCGCCCCGCCCCCCCCCCCTTCCCCCGAAGGACCTCCCCGTCCCCGCCCCTCCCTTCCCTCTGTCTTGCACCCCCCCCTCCCCCTGCCTGCCATTGCCCCTCCCAATCACCTCACGTACCCTCCCTCCGTCCCCTCACATTCTCTCACCTCCCCTCCTCTCCCCTTCTTCCATCCCTTGCCCCAAATCCCATCCCTCGCCCCCCTCATTCTCTCTCCCTAGGGCTTCTCCGGAAACGACGACCAACCAGTGACAGGCGAAGAAACATTCCGCCTCCATGCAGTGGGGACGGTCAAGTTGGCGAGAATAGGACTCCATGGATCACTGGGTTCGGCATGGATCGGCCACAGTGTAGAAGTGGATGCTAACTGCAGCCAACTCAGCGTTTCTTTCAGGAGCTGCGCACGTCCTTCATAGAGGGTGCAGTATTCCCGCTCAAGGTGTATGGGATGCTGCGCCCACTAGTGGGCACAGCACCTGAAGAATAACAACACGAGAGGATGTCCACAAGCCTATGATCAATACACAATGCACACCACATATTGAGTTCCCCCCGCCTTTGCACGACGCCGACGGCTACCGAAGACACACAGTGGCGGGTCCCAGAGTTTCCCGATGGGCACATGGAAGTTCTGAGCGCACTCTGACCATTGCCATCGCGAGCCATCCCACCTGAGATCTCCACGGTGTCAGAACACGTGGGTCGCTCGATCCTTGGGACACGGTCCGTGAGCTTCGTACGTTTTTCTGTCCAACGAAGCAGATGGCTCAAACTCGAGCATGACAGGAATGGCTTCGGCGGCATGAGCGTGCCAAGATGCGAGGCAACACAGAAGCAAGCTCGGCGACGAGAGTCTCACCTCCTGCCCTCAAGCCCCATCTGTGGCGAGCACGTCTGCCAAGGAACTCCCAGCATCACCAGGGCGCGCTCACACTAACTCGTCGCGATCGTGCCCGCTCAGCTCGTCGATGCATCTTTTGCGCCTTGAATTTGCATGCGCGCAGGAGACAAATCCCACCAGCCCTCTGGTCGGAGGTGGCATCACGAGTTTGCGTCCTCACGCGTCCTCAACACCTCCTTCCCCTTTTCGGCGAGGGGTTGCGCCCTCCACCTGCACTCCCCCCTGGGTCTGGACGGTGGAAGGGAAGAGGGGCGGAGGTGTCGCGGGTGAATCGCGGGTGGGTCGCGGGTGGGTCGCGGGTGGGCCGCGGGTGGATCGCGGGTGGGCCGCGGGTGGTCACGGGTGGGTCGCTGGCGCTCGCTGGCGGGTCGCAGCTGGGTCGCAGGCCCGGTCGCGAGTGGGACGACTTCAACAACAACAAACGACAACAAACAACAAACAAAACCCAAGAAAAATCTCCCCCGCGGAACCCCACTTCAGCCACGCACGCACCCAGGGACAGTGAATGACCATTTGGCCAACTCAATCTGATGGTGTGAAATCTCTGTTTTTTTTATAAGTGGTGATACTACGTGGTGCCGCACGGTGCAATCAGAGTGGTGGAATCTATGTGGTGCAATCTGTGTTGTGCTACCTGTGGGGCAATCGATGCGGTGCAATCGATGTGGTGCGACGGGGCGGCGACGGCGAGCACGGAGCCACCAAACCGCCAGCCAGGCCCAGACGACGGGCGGCGACGAGGCGGCGACAGGGCTGCGACGGCGAGCACGGAGCAGTCAGACCACCAGCCAGGTTCAAACGACGGGCAGCTACACCAGCTTACTTGTAGCGGTGGTCCCTGCGCAATGTTTTACGCATATTCGGGACCTCGGCTTCCTGTCCCGGACGCAGCGTGCAGGGTTGACCCCAAAAAAGCTCTTGTCTGGCAAGTGGCAATACGGGGCTCCCCGGTGGGTGGCGCCTACCTACCCCCTGCCGCGCCACATCTGCCCCTCCCTTCCCTCACTTCTGTGCCCCTCCCTTCCCTCCACACCCTCCATCCCGAAGACCGCCGTTGCCCCGCCCCTGCGGGGCGGTCACAGGCCGTGGCCTGCTGAAAGGCGGTCCTGCCGGGCCGTGCGCCCCAAGAACTGGATCCACTCGCGCTGCGAAGTGGGCACGATCCTGCCCGCCCCGTGCAAGGACGACGCAGACGGTACCGTCGCGGGCGCCAGCCGTCGCACGTGCTCCAGCCAGACCGTTTCGCCGTTGCTTCCACACTGCTCAGCAACGACACGCAGCAGAGGCCTGCTGCGGCGGTCGCGCGGGGTGTTGGCGTCCATGGCTGGTTGCGACGGTGGCGGCCTGTGAGCGGTGGCGGTGACATGTGTGGGTGGCGTTGGCGATAGCGGCGGTGGTGATAGCGGTGAGCGGAAGCGGTGGCTGTGCGGGACAGTGGAGGCGGCAGTCGCGAAGGCGGTGGCAGTGCTGGTGACGTGGTCACTAAAGGAAATCCTACATCGTTGAATATGCGAGCCTTGCTATGCGTGTGTTTGGTTAGCGTGGGATCAGAATCCGATGAAATTGAACACTGCTGGCGTACACTAAGATTCCACGCGCAAAGCTTGGTGATCCGCCACTGAGACCCTGAGGCGTGGTGGAAGGCCAAGTGCTGTCTGGTATGGCAAACCACTGATCCACTCTAGGCTTGCACTTCCTGACACCCTGCGGATTCGCAAAAACAAAAAAAAGTGGGGCGCACTCTGGATCCTGTTGGACCTGGAGCAGGGTCAAGGCGGGTTTTAGACGACTCAGGGCCCATGGAGAGACCAGTCAGGCTGCCGAACGACCCCCCTCACCCCAGTAACGCGCGGAGAGGACTGGCAACCACTCGTTCCTTTCACACGACGCAGTAGCCGCAACCACAGCACGGCGATCGGAAAACTAGTCCAGGTCATCTGCTGACCGATGGCCAACGCGTGCCTGGGAAGACTCCAAGGACGCCTGGACCGCGCAATGCAAGGATGCTGAGAATCCCCACTGCGAGATGCTATGTGGACTTCAGCCGTGAGCCAAAAATCTGGCACGATACCAACATGGGGGGCAGAGATCCGCAGTGGTGGTGGTGGTGGAAGTGGAAGCGGTCGCCGTCCTCGCGGCGATGATGGTCGCGGTAGACTTATCATGTTTCCAGATCGTTCAGCATCGAATCGGGTATTCGGATCGAGTCGGACTGTGCGTTGGATTGGGCCGCATCGGCACGGGGTCGAAATCGAATCGGATTGGCTGCGCCAGGATGCACAACAGCGCCATGCAAGCATCGGTCCGCATCGGATCGCCAGAACATCGGAATCCTATCGACTCGGGCCTATCCGAGCCGATACCGAAGCGGATCGATCGGATCGAAATGGGGGTGACCTAAACAGGCGGTGAGGGAAAGGCCCCTGAATTAGCCCCAAAGGGGCACTCAAGAGCCCCTTTGGGACCCCTTTCCTTCACCGCGCATCTCAAGCCACTCTGCATTACCACCCGCCCGAGTTCTGCACCGGCAAGCCGACGTCCCCGCCCTGGAGGAACTGGGCGCTCGCTCGCCCTGCTCTGCGCTCCACGCCCAGGCCCGCCTGGCCCCGCAGGCCCTCCTGCGAGAGGGAACGACAGGGGGGGGGACTGGCTCAGAGGGGCGACTTTCGAGCCTCGTCCTGGTCCGCGGGGATGCGGGGGGAACGATGGGGGAGGACGTTTCGGATTCGAGGTTCGCGAGGGGGGAACGAGGGGGGAGGACGTTTCGGATTCGAGGTTCGAGGTTTTCGCGAGGTTTTTCGTGAATGTTCGTCCGTTCTCGGCGGTCTGCCAACCTCGGGATGCCTTCCAGCGTTCTGGGCGTGCCCCTGTCGTCCTGAACGGCCGCCGGAGGCCCATGTTATGTCCGGAAAACCACCCGGGACTGGCTGAGGGGTGGGGGGCGAATATGAAGCTGGAATCGGCCATACATCGGCGATAAGCCTCCGGTGGGGTGGGCTATCGGGACCCTATCGGCAATCCATGGGCGATTGGGGGACGATGCGCACCCCCCCGAGCCTATTCCCCCCCGACGGTCGGGAACGTTTGCTTAGCGTGTCGCGGCAGTCGCACCGAGGACACGCTACGACATGCGAGCGGACAGCGTGTCGCTCCGCTCCGTGGGGCAGGAGCTTGGGAAAGGCTCGCGCCTGGACGCCTGGGGACTGGGACGTGGACCGCGTGTCGCGCCGCAGCGTGGTGGGCCCGAAGCGGCGGAGCGAAGCTCCAAGCGTACGCTCCTGACCTTCACGTGGCCCCCAGGTGCTGGCTCCCCAGACCCCCGACGTCGTGATTGTGCCAAACCGTCAACCCCCAGAGGTCTGGACACCTTCCCCAGGACCGGCTCTTCATCCCGAGTCGGTTCTTGGACGGTCCCGAGGCCCTGCGAGGCCTCCGGTGGCCGAAATTTGGGAAAAACCTCCCGTCGCGATTTTCTCACGACGCAAGGGGGAGGAGGAGGAGGAGGAGGAGGAGGAGGAGGAGGAGGAGGAGGAGGAGGAGAAGGAGGAGGAGGAGGAGGAGGAGGAGGAGGAGGAGGTGGAGGAGGAGGAGGAGGAGGACCAGTGTAAACCCAAGAGGCATCAACGATATTGGAGTAAATCCTCCCTCCAAGCTCTCTCTTACTAGGCCCCTACAACGGTTCATTCCCATTGATGGAACTGCCTCGTTGGAAGACACCCGTTTGAAGACCCTGGAGCATGCCAGACCATTGTTATTGGGATTCCAACGCCATGGATCAACCTGATAGGTGCGCCTCGACAATCCTGAATCGTGCCAGAACGCCATTCCCAGGACTTCAGCACAGAGAATCAACGTAACTGTTGCACACGCATAATCCTGAATTATTCCAAAGCGCTTTTCTGTTACGCTGATGATGGGAATCCGTGAAACTTTTGAAACTTGTGTGAACGAATGTGCGAGGCGCTGCGACGAGAACCACATTTTGAAAAGGAGCCGCCCTCAATCCGTGAAACTCCTTCGAATGTTGAAAACGAATGTGCGCCGCGCAAAAGCGAGAGCCATATCTTGAAAACCACCCGCCCTCAATCCGTGAAGCTCTTGCAATTTTTGAAAACGAATGTGCGCCGCGCTAACGCAAGAGCCACATGTTGGAAAGGAGCCGCCCTCAATCCGTGAAACTCTTGCACATGTTGACAACGAATGTGCGCCGCGCTAAGGCGAAAGCCACATTTTGAGACCCGCCCTCCATCTGTGAAGCTGCTGTCAGCTTTGAAGCTTCAGTATCATGAATGGTGAGGAAGGCTCAGGCGAAACGCCCCGCCCGTCCTGAAAACGGGCCTCGGGGTGCGACAGGGAGAATTCATTCATGAGGGAAAGGCATGGAGGAGGAGGAGGAGGAGGAGGAGGAGGAGGAGGAGGCCCGTGGGAGCCTGGGCCCGAGCCGCGCCCGCCCAGAGGGGGCACCGCGCGCGCGGGCTCGGGCGAGCGGGGCCATCGCCCGCGGCCGCAGGTCGGCTGACCCTGGACCGCTGCTCGTCGTCCTGGCGGCGTGCCACCAGGGGCGAGCACGGCCAAGCGGGTTCGGTCCCCAGCTTGGCATCGGCGCTTGCGGCGCCAGCGAGGAGCGGCGAGGACCCTGCTCCGCGTCCTCAAGGCGCGCAGCATCTTGGACTTGCACCACAGCGCGGGCTCACCACCTGTCGAAGCCCTCTCAACGCTGTTCGTGATGGCTCAGCGCGGTGCTGGTCAGTCTCGTGGAGGTGGGCACGCTCGTGATCAGGGAGGGCACGCTCGTGATCAGGGAGGTCGTGACCAGGGAGGGCACGCTCGTGATCAACGAGAACCCAGAGGGCACGCTCGTGAACAGGGAGGTCGTGACCAGGGAGGGCATCGTGATCAAGGGCGACGTCGGGCAGACGACGCTGTTCCTGACTTTCGGGCGGAGGCCAAGGAGATCATCACCTCGGCCACGATGTGTACCACGACCTATGCGTTGGCATCGCCCTACTACCGCGGCCCCCCCTCAGCGCGGGAAGGCCTCGCACGCTACCGCGAGGACGTTGCTTCCAAGATGAAGGTGCTTGCTGAGTTCATCGCCCGAGCACGAGTCTCCCAGCTCGACGCGTCACATCAGGAGAAGGAGTTGGCCGTCCTCAAGTTCATGGCTTGGACTGCGAAGCCGCAGTCGGTCCGAGAGAAGGAAGCCCTCGACGGGATCAGCAAGGCCAACGGGAAGCTGGAGGCAGTGCGACGCCAACAGCGGGACCTTGAGATAGAGATCTTGTTGCAGGAAGCGAACGTGAGGTACTGGACGGACCTGCTCACAGAGGCGCGCAACCTGCCGCCCGAGTCGCCCAGCTCCGACGAGTACGGGCATGACCGAAGGAAGGCCCTTTCGATCTCCATCGCGCGCGAACCTCCAGCTGTTCGTGCCCACCAGGAGGGGAGTCATGGCCATGATCGAGCCCAGCATCCCCCGCATCCCCCTCGTGATGATGGTCAGCCACCTCAACAACCTACTCAGCACTCGGCGCGAGGACTTGGTCTCCCACTTCAGCCTGGTCTTCAGCGTGACCATCGACCGCCGACATCCTCGTCTCCTATTGTCCCAGTGGTCGATGGCAGGCACATACGTGGCATCACTACTTCTGCCCCTGTCCAGCCGCGTTCACCTCCTCCTGTTGCCCAGGCTCCTACCACCGAGGACCTCCAGGCGACCCAACGCTCCACGACCGCGAATTCCAGCCGCACGAACGTGGTAATGTCTGCTACTGCAGCTCCGCCCTCACCTGCGCCGCCGAGGACACCCTCGAAGATTTTGAGGACACCAGTTGCCACACCTCCAGCGCGTTCTCCCCAGGTCATCACGGAGACCAGTGAGATCACCATGATGCGAAAATGGTTTGAGGAGCAGATGACGATGCAGGGCCGTGCCATTCAGCAGATCAAGAAGGAAGTCCGCGAACGCGACGATCGCCATGCCCATTCAGCTCCACCTGCCGGCCAAGCCCAACCTGCTAGCTTTGCAGTTGCGGACCTACGACCCCAGGAAGCCAACATCGCACAACAGGCTGAACTGGAACGGGCCATTGCCGAACGTAACCAGTTGGTGGAGGAGTACACATTCCAACAGGCCGAACTTCGTCAACATAAGATCAGGGAGG